ATTGAGTGCCGTAGGCCTAAATACAAATCGATTTGCATACCATCCAGTCACTCACCTACCGGGACACCGTCCGACGTCACTGTTGGAATCATGGCCGACACCAAACAAGAAGTTGAGGAGACGGGCATGTCTATCTCCACCCACGAGGAGTATCCGCCCAAGGTCATTGAAAAGGGAGCAGATTTGGCTGCCACCTTTGCGGCCCAAAATGCCGACGTCGCTGTCTCCGCCGAGGCTGAGGCAAGATGTCGGCGCAAGATCGATCTCTGGCTGATGCCGACGATGATGATCTCGTTCGCTTTACAATACACCGACAAAGTCATTCTTAACGCTGCATCGCAGTATGGCATCATCCAAGATCTTCATCTGTACACCCCGGTGGTGGACGTAAGGACTGGAGAAACGACCTTGAACCTTCATCGATACTCGGTTGCCACGTTGATGTTCTACTGGGGCTACCTTGCTGGCTGTAGGATGGGTCGCCTTCCCCGATGAACGACTCCAAGGCTGACCGAGAGATAGTGGCCCCTGCCGTCTTCCTGGCTCAGAAGCTGCCGGTGGGGAAATACCTGGCTAGCACCGTCATCACATGGGGAGCGGTAGTGATGCTGACCGTGTGTTGCAAAAGCTATCAAGGGTTGCTGGTGCAACGGTAGGCAATTGCCGCGTGTCAGAGTGTTCCGGAACTGAGGGGTCATAGATTTTTCCTAGGCATTTCAGAATGTTCGATTGCTCCTGCTTTTGTCATCATCACCGCAATGTGGTGGAAGAAGAATGAGCAGCCTCTACGAATGGCCATGTGGTACACCGGGGCCGGTTGGGGTGCTCTCTTGGGACCCATGATCCTGTACGGTATTGGCCACATCAAAGGCAGTCTGAATCCTTGGAAATATCAGTATCTTATCCTGGGTGCCGTTACCATCTTGTGGGGGTTCACTATCCTCTTCTTCTTTCCCGACAACCCGATGACAGCCCAGTTCCTGACCAAGGAGGAGAAGGTCGTCGCCGTCGAACGCATGAGGACGGAGCAGCTGGGCATTGAGAACCGACATGTCAAGTGGTACCAGATTGTCGAGGCCCTCGTGGATCCCAAGACGTGGCTGCTGGTCGTGATTGTCTTTTGTGTGACCTGTGCGAATGGGGCCATCTCTGGCTTCAGTGCGGTCATTGTCAAAAGCTTTGGCTTCAGTCCCTTCCGCTCCGTCCTGTTGACCGGATGCGTAGGCGCCTGGGTATTGGTCAATCTGTTTGTTGTTGGCTGCATTGGGACATTCGTCAAGAACTCACGGCTGATCCTCGCCATCATTTGCGAGATCCTGGTCATCATCGGTTCGACCCTGGTGTGGAAACTTCCCTGGGACTCCCACAAAGGGGGGGCGATTGTCGCATTCACCATCACGGCTGCTTTCAGCCCCGGCTACACCATGGTCCTGGCAACCAACTCGGCCAACGTCGCTGGACACACCAAAAAATCCTTTGTAGGGGCACTGGTTTGGGGCATCTACTGCGTTTGCAACGGCGTGGCGCCGCTGTGGATCAAGACCACCGAACAGCCCGAGCAGTACCCAACGCTCTTCATCGTCACCATTGCAACAGCTGCGATCGCCATCTGCTGCTGCCTCGCTCTCCGAGTATATCTTCAATTAGTCAACAAACACCGGGATGCCAATTACGGAGTGGTGGAGCCGACGGAAGCTGATGCGCAGGGATTTCGAGACCTTACCGACATGGAAAACCACGCCTTCAGGTACGCGCTTTGAACAAGGCGAGCAGAGGAATAGTCGCACCCTTGGAATTAGGATAACTAGGAATTCCATCGCGATCGCCTCCATATTCCTGGGCTCTGCAAGTATAAGCCGCAAATTGGGGTCATCAAGATGGTGGCCGTACGTAAAGCTCTTGAAGCAGAATCTAGTATTTCAGATTGAGTGCTTAGAATCTTTCCCGCCATAGGAAACCCGCAGTTGAGAGACTAGAAGTCGCGCACCGATGATGGGGTCCGCGATTCCGTGAAAGGTCGCCTACTTCCCGACTGTCTGAGTAATATCAGCTGTCTAAACTCGCTGAGCCCTGAGGGTGTGAGCTATAGCTAAGTCTCGCACGCAACGTCTAATCTCCCCCGCGCCTTCGTATTGAACCTTCCGGGGGATCTAGGCTGCTCCGGACTCTGGGCGGGGTTGGGGCTTCCTTTGGCCCTCCGGCAGGTTCTCTCCATCTGGGGCGAAAGGCTTGACGGCCAGAGGTGGAAGATTAGGATCTAGTGACTGGACCTTGCTCCTTCGCTTCTTCCCCCACCTCTGATGCCACTGACTCTGCAGCGTCCTGCATCAACATCGTGCCAGGTTCTCTTCTGCCCGGCTTGACAGGATGAACGTGCCCAAATCCCACAGCAGGATCGACCGAGCCTGCGAACGATGTCGCGCTTCCAAAAGAAAATGTCGACCACCGTATCCCTGCTCGGCGTGTTGCGAAACAAGTGCGACATGCGTGGTGCGAGAGAAAGCTCGGTATGTCACACAACACTATGTATACGCCGAGTGTATGTCTAGCTGTGGGCTCCTGCCTCCTGACATGCTCTTCGTAGGCCACATCGACGACGACGCCGTCCGCAGCCGCCGTCACCCACCTCCCCTAACATCGAGTCGCAGACTTCGGCCAGCGGGGTCGGCGACCAGGCCACAGGTTCGCCTCAGGACGAGACAGCACGCAGCGAAGTCGCCAGCCAGCCTGCAGCTCCCGGGGCGAATCAAACGAGCGCGATGCCGGGCCCAGCTTTTGTCATCGTCCTTCGATTGGTGAGCGAGTACACGGTCGAGCACTTTGGTATGCCCCTTCAATCGGCACTTTGGCAACATGCTCACCAGGAGAGTAGCTTATCAGACGAAGTGCACGTTGGAAGAGCCCAAACCACAAGCCAGTCGAGGCCAAAGCCTTCTTCAGCGGCTCCAACCAAAGACTGACATCCATTGTCTCCAGAGCTTGACCTTTCAAACTATTACCGAGCTGGTCTCTGAAGCCCCTCTCGCACTCGGCCAACACTTCGAAATCCTGGATGTGAACCGTGTGCTGGGATTCGTGCGCCATCTGTTCCCATCTGGTTGCTCCAAAGAAACCCTCATGGCCATCAATAGCTATGATACAACATCGCCGCTGGACAGCCTGGCACTTTTATTTGCTACCCTCGCTTGTCCCAGCATGCAAAAAGGCAGTCTGACCCTGGCCACCACATTCTTCGAGCTCTCTGTCCAGTTCACCAACGACTTTACCGGCCAGCCGACGTTTGACACTGTAATGACACTATTTCTGCACCACATCTATCTTCTGCATGTCGGCGCGACCAGCCGAATACGAGCAGTTATTGACCGAGCGATCCAGATCGCCCATGATCTTGATTTCAATCGCGAATCTAACGACAGGATGAACAGAGTGCAAGAATTGCATTTGTACCTAATTCTGTGCTATGTTGACCAGTAGGTCGGATCTCTCGCGGTAAAGCACTGCTCTCTAATGATGCGATCAGATATTGCGCCATGAGCTTCAATTCCCCAACGCGCATTCGACCGACGGACTATTCAACCCAGTTATTCCGGCCACTCATAGAGACACATCCTCGACTGTCGGCGGTCGTCGAGCTGGTCAAGATCAACGGAAACGTCATCGAGCACCTCCAACGATCCCGAGGGCACATCAGTGATGTCCTCCGGATCGAAACCAGTATCGGGCGAATATGTGCCAAAGCTGGGCCGGTGAAACCGTCGGTCGATCCAGACTCGACCTTGGAGGCTCTCGTCCGCATTCACTTCTTCTGGTGCGTGCATCCTTCCTTTGCTACCGCCGCCCTCTGACCATTTTGCACAGGCTCCGGCTTTGCTTGCGCGCTTCCTGTCTCACTTCAGAACAGTCATGGGTGCCTTCCATCAGTATCTGCCTTCGGGCCGCTCAGATGCTGCTCAACACGTACTACACTCTCTTGGTTCCACAAATGACCGAACTGCAGCGCCCAGGCTCGGTCCGATCGAGCGACAGCCATCGGCCCCAGGATGGGGGAATATCAGGGATGCCATCGACATGGCGGCAGGTCCAACGAACCGTTACCTCAGGCCTGGTGATGTTCTATGCCTATTGGCACGGAGAGTGCTCTCAAGCCGAAATCGCTCAGTCTACCGCAATCACATTGCTACTACTCAAACATCATCGCACGAGATGGCAGCAGCATCTGAATGGCGCTTGTTCCCTGATTCAAGACCTCGCCCGGATCTGCGACGTCCAAATCGAGGGCGCTGTTCGGATTTTGATTCCAGATCTGAGCCCGGAGGAGCATATCGCAATGATCGAGTCCCTCTTCGAGCGGTTCGTCTCGGAAGACGACCACGATGGCCAACCTGCAGCCGAGTTCGGTGGAGAGACGTTGGCTCTAGGCACCACGTCTATGCCCCCGCGGATGTCAAGGCGACCATTGCAGTGGAATCCTGAAGTTGATGACCCAGACTTGTTGGCCTGTGTGTTTGATTCGTCTACAGACCTGGGATTGTTCGGTGCCATGCCTAGTCTAGAGCACATCAACTTCTGGACTTGACCGTAACTGTGAGGTGCTTATCCATGACCACTTGTCACTCCACCTCGCTTACTGTGTTGTCAGACCTCGTGAAGCCTATCCCCTGTCAAATTCCATGGTCTTTCAGATGTGGAACACAAACAAGACATTCGTGCCAGAGATGCATGGAGCTACACTCATAAAGATCCTTGTGCATAAAAATAGGCGCGCCAAGTGCCTGGAAAGTGGCCGCGCTGGGCGGAATCTGACTCGCCCCAGCATCCTAACCAGCAGATTAATTCGCCGTGCAAGGGAATAGCGTCCAGTAATTCGTTCCCTTGAGAATGGCTTCGGTGATCCGCACAGAGGAATGGAGGCTCGAACCACGTGATACGCGTGCTCTAGAACCGCAGCAAGTTGAATGCGTGGAGAGCCGAGGCCCAGACATCGAGAAGACTGGCAACGTCCTCGGTACCTGGACCGCATCTCCAGATCGGTTGTGAGATAACTATCACGACTCCTCAATTCAATATGATGATTTCTCCCACATTGTGGTGGACGCGCCAGATCCTCACCTTGAGAAACATCCCAACTTCCAACGAGCATCCACGGTACAACCCAGATTTCCAACCAAGATGAGCTCTCGACGTAGGTCATCCACCTTGGAAACCCGCAGTTGCTCTAGTGACACAATGGACAGAGAAAATCCGGACAACCCTGACGGACCTGTTTGGCGTGAAGCATCCTGTGATGCTCGCCGGCATGGGAGTCGCGGCAGGGCCAAAGCTGGCAGCGGCGGTCACTAACGCTGGCGGCATCGGTGTCATTGGGGGCCACGGGTACAGTCCAGACGGTCTTCGTGAACAAATCAATGAGCTCAAGTCGTACTTGAACGACAAGGACGCGCCTTTTGGCGTCGACATTCTGCTTCCTCAGGTGGGAGGCAACGCACGCAAGACAAAGTAAGTAAAGGACGACACACTGCCGTGCCAGAACCGTCACCGTACTGGCGATGTTGACAATGAGTTGTATAGCTACGACTACACCAAAGGCAAACTGATGGAACTCATCGAAGTTGTGGTCGAGTCCAAGGCCCGCGTCTTCGTTTCTGCGATCGGAGTGCCCCCGAGGCAGGCCGTGGATCGTCTCCACGCCGGCGGGGTCTTGTACATGAACATGATCGGGCACCCCAAGCACGTCCAAAAGTGCTTGGATCTGGATGTGGATATCCTGTGCGCCCAAGGAGGGGAAGCTGGTGGCCACACCGGCGACATTCCCTTTTCTGTTCTGATCCCGTCTGTGGCAAAACTGCTCAAGGGGAAAAAAAGTGCTTTCACCGGCGTCGATGTTCAGCTCGTCGCAGCTGGTGGTGTTTCCGGCGGTGAGAGCTTGGCTGCGGCTTTGATGCTGGGGGCTTCGGGTGTTTGGGTCGGAACGAGATTCATTGTTGCCCATGAAGCCGGTGCATCGAGGGCTCACCAAGACGCGGTCTTGAGTGCGACTGTCGACGACACTATCAGGAGTGTCATCTTCTCGGTATGTTTCTGTTCTGAATGTGCAGGTATACACTGGCTAATGACGGAATCTTAGGGACGACCGTTGCGGATACGTAAGACTCCATACATCCTTAACTGGGAAGAGAATCGGCAGGAGGAGATCAAGTCATTAACCGGGCAAGGCATTCTCCCGGTCCAAAATGACGCAGAGTTACGTCCGGATGATGAAGATGTCCTGGACAATCTACACCCGTATCTCATGGGCATTGTGGCTGGCACGGTGAACTACAGAAGTAGTGCAAGGGAAATTGTGGACGAGATCGTGGATGCTGCAGCAGAAAAACTCCGGTTGGGGAGTGTTATGCTTGTCAATGAGCCGAAGCTATGAAGCAGAGGAGCTGCACTTGTGGCTGTGACGACCGTTGATCGAGTATAGATCTCTGAAAAATAACCTGTGCCATTGCTGGGGAACAGTGGCCCCTGATCGAACTCCATGCTCCTGTTCGTCAAGTAATTCCGCTATAGTCTTCTCATGTCACAAAACCGGGGCTTGCTTGCCACTCATGGTCGTGACTAGATGGTGCCCAGTAGGATATTCAGTTCGAACAGAGACCCGCAGCGAATCATGTGCTTCGCCAGGAAAAACTAGAAGAGAGAGAACAGCGCCAAGCAACAATTGGTAGAGGTTACTCTTCTGTATGGTCTGAATCCGAAGCTGGCCCAGGCAGCAGGATGAGTTTTGTGGACCCGGGAGCCATCCGCCGGATCCAGGACCAGAGACGGGCTAAAGAGATCCAAGAATTGATCGTAATCGAAGAACACGGTTTCAACCGCCCGGGAAGCGGGACTGGTCAAGTACATCTAGTGGCCTTCCCTTGCTTTTGCAGTATGAAACGCACAAGACGGCAAGTCAACACTATTCAGTGTTCACAGGTTATCCGAATATACACTGAGCATTCTCCGGTCGAAACAAGTGGGCACTCTCTGATCTAAGAAGCTGCGATGACGGCCCAGAATGGTGTTACCAATGGCAACCACCACTCATCGCCAAAGGTCAGCTTTACTGAGTTTACACAGTACATCGACGGCGCTGCAGTTGACACGAAAGCGACTCGCTGTGGAATCAACCCGGCTACCAAGCAGAATCTCTGGCCGGTCCCAGTATCCACCAGCGACCATCTTGATAGAGCTGTAGAGGCTGCGACAAAGGCCTTCAAGACATGGTCCCGAAAACCATATGAAGAGCGTCAAAGATCGGTTCTGGCTTTCGCTGATGCAGTTGAGGAGTATAAGGAGGAGCTAACCAATTTGCTCACAACCGAGCAAGGCAAGCCGGTATGCTTCTCGCGACAACTTCTCAAGAAAGTCACTAGGGATCTCCGTGCTGATTTGACCACAGACATGGCAAGCCGCTCTGGAAGCCGGTGCAGGCATTGATTGGATTCGAGGAATGGCAAAGCTTTCAGTCCCCGAAGATGTGGTCGAGGAGACCGACACCAAGAAAACCGTCGTGCGCTACACGCCAATTGGTGTCGTGGGCGCCATCATTCCTTGGAATTTCCCCCTCATGCTGTGCACGGCCAAAATCGCACCAGCTTTACTCACGGGCAATGTTGTCATCTGCAAACCCTCACCGTTCGCGCCGTACTGTGGCCTCAAGCTGTGTGAGATTGCACAACGATTCTTCCTTCCCGGAGTGGTCCAGTCAATCAGTGGTGGCGACGACGTTGGTCCATGGATGACGAGTCATCCGGGCATTGGCAAAATCAGCTTCACAGGGTCGAGTCCGACAGGGAAACTGGTCATGCAAAGCTGTGCGAAAACTCTGAAGAGAGTGGTTCTCGAGCTGTAAGCGATCCTGCGTCTCCAACCTGACCTGACACTTTCACCCCTAGTAACAATTGTGACGTCCTCGTTCCTTTCTCTCTGACTGGGAATCTCAGGGGCGGCAACGATCCAGCTATCGTCTGTGGCGATGTCGACATCGAGAAGGTTGCTCCCAAAATAGCCACGTTCGCCTTCCTCAATTCAGGTCAGATTTGCTTGAACATGAAGCGAATTTACGTCCACGAATCGATCTATCAGGAGTTTCTCACAGCCATGGCGAGACACGTGAAGACTATGACTATGGGCAACGGGCTCGACAGCGGGATCGTTCTAGGTCCTCTCCAAAACAAAATGCAATATGACCGTGTCGCGAGATTCTTCGACGACATTCCCAAGGAGAACTGGAAAGCCGTCACCGGAGGGAAGATGAAAGACAGCAACGGCTACTTCATCGAGCCCACGATCATTGACAACCCGCCCGACAACAGTAGGATCGTCATGGAAGAGCCATTCGGTAAGTCGTCTATCCAGCAATGTAGCCCGGTAGAGAAGTATCCTACTGACTTGGACACAGGACCGATAGTCCCGGCACTGCCTTGGAAGACTGAGGACGAGGTAGTCAGGCGCGCGAATGACACCCGAATGGGGCTTGGTGCTTCGATTTGGAGCAGAGATCTGGAAAGAGCTGACAGGCTGGCGCGGCAAATGGAAGCCGGGAGCGTCTGGATCAATTCGCATTTTGACCTGTCGCCTCTCGCCCCTTTCGGAGGCCATAAGGAGAGTGGTATAGGGACGGAGTGGGGCATCAACGGCCTCAAGGCAATGTGCAACGTCCAAAGCATCTTTTATAACAAATCTTTGGACGAGGTGTAGGTCTATCTCTTTATAGCTTCAACTGCTGCTGCTATCAAGGAATACGATCTCTCCTGTCGGATTCGTTATGAGTTGATAATACGGCTTTTTTTTCCGAAAAGATCGAGGTATCACTATACCTTCTCACACCATATCATATGGAGCATCATACAGCTAGGCCCAGGCCCACAGCGTGCCTCCTCATGGGACCTATATTTATGTCCCCCCTCTCTTCCTCGACTCCCTGATCTTGAAGAATAAGCTTCCGTCATAACAACCCAGCAGCTGATCTTTATACACCCTCCCACGCCGCTGGATGAGCAGCCACGTGGTCAACATCTCGAAAAAGCCGTAGAGCCAACCACCAGGATCCCCGGGGCTGCGATTGCCGTCCCACAGGCTGAAGAACTCGGCCGTGGTCAGATACCCCCGCCCCGACGCGTCGAAGCGGCTGAACATGGCGTCGAACCGGTCCCGGTGGAAGTGTCCTGCGTGGTCGAACACGCCGGAGTCGCTGGTGTGCATGGCTTGGTGGATGTTGCGCACGCAGATGCCGAAGCGCGGGTCCCGCTTCGCGCATCCGGGGTGTTTTCTGCGCGGCTGGGTCGCGTACGAAAAGAGCAGGGGGATGAGCAGGCTGAGCAGGGCGTAGGGGATCGAAAAGCCCAGGTCTCGGAATCCGCGCCACACGTCGGACGGGTGGATGATGCCGTCGTTATCGTGGTCCCAGAAGCTAACGTGCTGCTGGAGCTCAGTGAGTCCAGTCGCTCCTTCGTCGTGCGTGTGGGTGCTTAGAGGGGGGGATGCAGGTGCTGTCACTGCTGATCCATCCATGGTAGACCAGGAGGTGGGTGTTGACAGAGAAATGAAAGTCGTCTGACCCCGTTGGTATGGATCGTGGGAGACGAAGGGCTTCGATCACTGCTTTTCGCCAGAGAAGGGTTTGCCCATATGTGTTCTCTCGTGGTGCTGAATGCTGAAGCCATCGCGGTCATGAACGACGTTTGGCCCCTTTTTGCTTGGAGGACAGAGCTGGTACTTCGATCCTCAGACCCTGGTAGTCGGGCCGGACCCGGAGGCATACAAAACTTGCGTGCGATGAGGCTCGAGCGGCCAAAGACATTGAGAACTCACGGCAGTCTCCGAATCGTTATTGGGGTAGTGCCTCTTTTCGCCCTGATTTTCCTGCGACATTCTGTACAAGGAGGCTAGAGTGGACAGCGCCCGGCTCACTAGTAATCAAAAGTATTGTAAGATGTTTGGCTGTCTTCAAAAGGTTGTCTATAGGTAATCCGGGCGAGCGGGTATTGGATGGAGGTTGTTCTCATTCACTTGATTACACGGCACAACATCCGCTCACGTGCCGGTGGCTCGAAAGGTCTGTACGTAACTTGTTGGCTATCCAAGTACACTTGAAGAGCTCCATGGAAGACTGGCAATATCTGATCTCGCACCGATGGAATACTTATATTACAAGAGTTCACAAGAGTACTTGAGCCATCTCGAAGACGGTACCAACTTTCATGGCGCCACAGAACTCGATTCCTCCCGCTGCTAATGCCCTGGGAACCTTGGGGACGCTCTGCTGGTGTGTTCAGCTTATCCCACAAATCTATCACAGTTTCCGCACAAAGTCGACGGAAGGGCTTCCTTCAGCCATGATGTTCCTTTGGTCGGCGTGTGGTGTGCCGTTCGGCGTATATGCCATTGTGCAGGACTTTAACATCCCCCTCCAAATTCAACCGCAATGCTTTTGCTTGCTGTGCCTCGTCAGCTGGGGTCAGTGCAAGTATTATTCGAGGTAGCGTCTTTCCCGGTCCCTTACAGAAGAACAATGTCCGATTAGTGCTGGTATCGAAAAGGGCAATCTCCAAAGGATCCAGACTGCATCTTCCTCTTCGCCACTTGCGACACATAAACTGGACCGAGCTAACCCTTGGAGACAGTAAATGGAAGGCTCAGAATGCAGTCCTGGTATCAGGAATCATTCTCCTCGTCGATGCCGGCCTCGAATTTGCCCTTGTATGGCTGATACGCCACGCGTACTACGCACGGCAAATGGCGTGGCCGTTGACACTCATTGGAGTCGTTGCTTTTGTCCTCCTCATTGTCGGCTACCTCCCAGTACCATTTGAGTTGATGGAGCGGAGAGGTAGAGTTGTCGGTATCAACTTTGTGTTTCTGATAATCGACTGTCTCGGGGCACTGTTCTCGCTCATGGCGCTTGGTACGTTCTCATCCAGATCTCCTTTGGACTTTCTGAAGGGTCTGAAGCAACTGACAGCCATGCAGCAGCACAAAACACATTTGATCCGCTCTTCGGAACACTATACGCACTCTGGTGAGTCTCAAATGAATGTCTTCCGCGACATTAGAAAACTGCCGAGGCCGTAAGGTTGACTGGTACCTTTTCGCGTAGCGCCTCTATCGAGATGTCCATATTTCTGTCGCATGGGATCTGGTTGATGCGAACCCGCAAAATGCGCAAGAGAGCAGAGGAAGCAGGGCTTGACTTTGACACGTATCCCGAAAGCGCCGAATGGCAGAAGAATGGGTCCAAGTTCCGCCTTTGGCCTGTGAGAGCCCGAACCAGGCCGACGGAAGACGATTGTTCTTCCCAAGCAACCGCCGAGGTCAGCTTTCCTGCTGCGACGAAGCAATCGACGGCGCTAGAGAAGTCTCGAATATGATCGGCGCCCCCAAGTCAAATAGGTCCTTCAAAGCTGCTTCTTTATGTTGCCCGTAATTGACTGCACTGGCGTGAAGAACACCCGCACCCCATGTGAGTTCTCGAGTCGACTTGATATCGATGGGCGCCGAGGCACGAAAGGTGCAAGCAAGATCCATCTTCCTCCGGCAATCATGCGCGGATGTGCATTCCTGCGACTTTTGGGCGACCATGGCATGTCCCTGAGGCTGTGTAGCTGCCGAGAGAACCATGTAGCATGCCCTTGGCACCCCAAATATTCAAAGCTCTTGAACGGCCTCTTTGCTTTGCAGCACCTTGCGGTTTCGACAATTCTGGTGGATTCCCCTTCCTGGAGGCGATCATGATGCGTTCATGTTGTCTTTACCAAAGCCTCTTTGACCTGCTGGTCCAGCTGTGAGTGCGATGTGATGTGACATTGACTTTCTCTGAAGCTTTCACGGCCTCCGACACCCTTTAATCGACATTCTCTTTCTGCGAATCGAGCACTGCGACGGGGTGGCGGAGGTGGCTTAACGATTTTCGAGGCCAAAGCTCGAAATTCTCGGTGCCTTTCCTTCCTTTTTTGAGAAAATGGAGACGAGAATTCGAACCGTGCCGGCGAACAAGGTGTACGAGTGTCTGAACCTGTGAGGATGGGACGTGTGGGTCGACACTGTTGCCTGCACGTCGTCGCATGGGAAGAGAGTCTCTGTTCTGCGAGAGGAACCATGTTAACGTTGGCCTCTGACAATTTTGTGTTGACTCTTCGCTTACTAGTTCTGCCGTAGCTCCTGGTCTGTTGTCCTCGTGATTGCCGTCGCCGTATTGTCAAAACTTGATATTGGCTGTGCAGCCGAGCGGGGGCTGCGTTCACGCTTTGCCCAAAGAGAAACCGGACGTCTTTGGTGGCAATGTCGTTTTGGGAGGGTGTATTGCTTTCGGCGCACCAACCTCGGACGGATTGAACTCCCATGTCATTCGGATCTGGAGGTGCAGTGGCGCGGACTTGTTTCTCCATTTCCACCCCGGCGAATCTCTTTCTAGACTAAAGTAGAAAATATATCCTGAACCACGACCAGCGTTCCAGTCCGCCGATGTCCCTGTGGATCAGCGGAAGGATGGCGCCCAATGGGTGGGCCGGAGCCTGTCCAGACCACACAGCCTTATCCAGCCTTGCGCGAAGTATATATCCAGCTTCGCCAAGGCCAACCAAAGACTTCAACCTCATCCCCAGATGTTCTCTCTGGTACTGCCACACCTTCACTACCTCTTTGTTATCACATGGTGGATCCATTTTTGTTATTACTGTAATATTAATTACTTCGACTCAATTCTCTCAACAATTGTCGGATCAGGACTGCATCACAACAGATCTCTCCACCACTTCGAATTGATGACTGCAATCTGCTTTGTTAACACCAACAAACAAGGCCTCACAGTGAGAGAAGTGCAAGGGTGAATATGGGGTTGAGCGCTCAGGAGGAAGAAAGAGAAGGAGGTCGAGCAGGAGGGGTCCGCGTCGAGAGGGGAGAAGGTCCGCAAGGTCCGGGATTCAAATCACACACATAATAAAAACCCCCCTGGGGTTTTTCCCTGAAATCTCAGGTTTTTTTGCTGTTTTTTTGCTTCTCTTTTTGTGTGTGTGTGTGTGTGTGTGTGTGTGTGCGTGCGCGTAGCATAGTTGTGTCCTTCACATATAGCGCGTCACTACCACCAGCCAACCTTGGCGTCTCAACATCCATAGACCAGTGACCAGTCCCTTGACACTCAACGCAAAGGCAACGCCAAGAACTAACAGGAGGATCATGGTCATGATGCTCACCATCGCCGTATGTTCTGAGACCGTTCTTTTCATGGTACCCAGGGTGGCCTTCCAGTCTCTCGCAGGTATGGATTCGTTCGATGTGGGCGTCAGAATCATCATTGCATACACCAAGAGAATCGTCCGTGTACTCGCTGTCAAGGGCAGCTTGGCTACCCTGCGGGGTCTTTTTCTTCCGTCATGCCGGTCACTGATGGTCGTGCCGGTTGGCAGAGCAGTTTGTCTGGGTTGGCTCTATAGAAGCGAAGTCAAAGGCGTGGCCGTTAAAATACCAGTTTCAAAGCCTGGATATATCCAGTTCGGCATCGGAATCTTGACCTCGACAAAAGTCCATTTCCCGTCCCCAGACCCGAACATCCCGCCATTCGTCCTGAAGCGTGGCTGAGCCACTCTGAGCTGTGGCCGAGTCATCCTGAGCTCGGCTTGGCAGACCCTGAGGCATGCCCTGGAAGTCTTCAAAAGGGATGCCTGGTTCAGTGTTTGCTTGTATTTGTCCTTGGTCAGCGAGCTCGAGAAAGAAGACACCCACTCGAGGTGAATCTTTCGTCGGGACAAACGTTTGGTCCTTCGTGTTGGTTACCGGGAAGGGAAGGTTAACCGACGTCCCGAGCGCGCCGGCAAGGCTGTTGGAATGTGAGTACATATCTGTCCACATCCGACGGATCAGAATCGGAGATGTTTAGAGAGCTCAGGTATTCGGGAATCATCTTCGGTAACTAGCAGCCAGCTGTACCTGTGCCTGAGAAGACCTCTGTGAACAATGGAGACAGACAAGAACTACAATGCATATGTACCTTTCCGCACACACACACAGATACACACGCAGGATGTACGAACACCAACAACCACGCCTTTGATAGAAGCGCTACCCTGGGCGCCTGTCCCCCAGGAGCTTGCCCTTAGCAGACAAATTCTAGAACCATACGTTTCGTGTGGATCTTGACACTTTTGCATTCGCCCCACTCGTCGGGGTCGTCGATTCTAAGCGTACACGATGCATTACCGCGGACAGATCAGGACGTCCAAAACAGCCAGCGCCACTTCAGTCCTATCTGCGTCACAAGCATCCATCCACCCATCACAAGAATCTATCCACCCATCACAGGAATCCATCCATCCACCATAAGACTCTAGTTTCTATCACAGCCATACCCTTGTCGATTGAAACCCCGTTACAAAGGCCTATGAGATGAATCGTCGACCACGCCTGCACATTTTCTGCTTTCGTGAAGCCACGCGCGGTACCTCAACAAGGCGTGGGATAGAATGTTGGTCTTCAATTTCGTTCGGAGTACGTCCCAATTGAAGCTTGTCATTTGAGGATTGTCAATGGGGAGAAAGTCGGCGAGTTGGAATTGAGGAGACTGGTTTGTTGGTGGAACAATAGATATTCGACCTCCCCTTCGCCTGGGGACCCCAGTTCTAGGGTTGCGAGTCCAAATCTCTAGATATACTTCTGAGATTTGTCCAACCCACTGATGTCCCTTGAATTCTACAGGGCCATAGTCTCCATGGAGAGTGAAATGTTCTTCTGTCATCTGATCGCCATCCTGGGGCATACCGAGTTCGTCACAAAGGTCCAAGTCGAAATCAAGTGGGCATTGGTGTATTGGGCTCTCCGTGATATTGACAAGAACGGCCATAGAACAGGTCGGGTTGCCGATAAGCCAGAGTCGAATGTCTTCCCGAAGATCGTCGTATTTTTCAGAGAAGCCAACCTCAAGAGCCCATCTAAGCTCATTCCGAGTATTGTTCGTCATAAAAATTCCGATATCCGCAACTTTAGTCGAATCTCGATATTCTGCGGCAAACCCATTCATCTTTAGGCCTGTAGTAATCTGAACATCGTCGAATATATGTGTAGGAAGGGCTCGCTCGAAAGTTGTCCAAAAGTATTTATTGATAAAACTGATAACAGTTTCGTGTAACCAGGAAGCCATCGCGTAGATTTTGAGAGTTGATGTGACGGAGTTGTATGAAAATCTAGGCCACCTTGAATAGTACTCAGTAAAATGCTCTTAAAGAAAAGGACACCAGAATATGAACATACCTTTCAGACCTCGCGCCGTCAAGATCGAACTCCCTACAGAGGCCAAACCACTCAAGCGTCGATATCCTGCAGATAAAGGGCTTCTCGAGGTCGTAGTAGTCTCTGGATCCCAATCGCTGGTTGTAGAGTTGCTGTAGAAATGTACGCGCTTGATCAATTCCAGCTGGAGGCTGTTTCGTAGCTGCTGCGCTCTGCTTGGGTCGGGAATTGGTAGGAGAATCTGAGAGTTGTTAACGACTGGAATGGAAGAATGTGAAGGTATTCTGACCATGTCGCCGATATATAGGCGAGCCCAAACTGCTCGCACTGCCTTCTGAATGCATGTCTTGAGACATTGAATAAAGCTGTATGATATGGCGGTGAACTCAAGTCTCGCCTTCCGACGAGAGGGAAGATCAAAGATGGTGCGGTCGAGGCTCGCTTTCCGACAAGTCACAAAAGGAACAGCGAAAAATCTCACTCTCGGGCGTGAGAGAGACAAGAGACAAAACGGAAGCTCAGAGATGTGGTGAAAACGATGAGACATGAGCAGAAGGAACAAAAAGGACAAAGGATGCCCTCAGGGAGCCCCTTATAGCTCTTGAACTGGAACAACAAAATCGAGAGGTCCGAGCGCCTGGCGGAATGTAACGTTCCCCGGTGACGTTCATTCCTGAGGTCGCAGCGTTGATGTTCCGTCACATACCAGTCTTGAAGTCGGAGGGAATGTGTGCTCTGGAATCCTTGCTGGTTCACCATGAAAAGAACATATGCGGGCACCAAGCTCGAGACCAAATTCGTACTGCGAGAACTTCGGCTACTTATCGTCTTGGCGTTTATGCCAATTCCAGACCTCGTATATCTTGGCCGTGCGATCTCGAAACTTTACAACTTCAACTCCTAACTTCTTGTTGAGCTCGAGGGGTTGCCGTACATGTGGGAGCTCACAGTGTGTGATTAAAGTATCACAGAAGATCGGCGCCGGTTTCGGCATCTTTGGTAGGGCTTGTTCGCCTGAGGCGCAATAATTGGCTGCTTATACTTCATCAGAAACCCCCAATCCGGCGAGAATCACCACCAGGCAATGCAGCAGCTTCGCCGAGGACTCGAGAAGGCTTTCGGCAACAATGACCACTTCCAAGGGCCCAGAGCTGGGTCTTCCCGAACGATGGTGCATGCTAGACAAAGGGAGCCTTGGGGCCAAATTTTGGGTACCAGACTTGTTCAGGGACGTGCTCAGGTCTGCACAGCCACAGCTCAACTGGCTTTATCATACATAGCTCAGGTCAAATGGCGGGTTACTCAGGCCTGGAAACGGAAATGGACCTCGGAGAGGTCAAAATTCGCTGCTGAGTATTACGGTATTTCTGCATCTCTCCAACCAAGAAAGTGCCACCCTCGGGGTGACCCATGGATCTGTCAGCCAATGGGTTAACTCGAGCCTGCAGTCTTTGTGTGGACTTGATATGATGGACAACAACAGAACCGCGAGGCGAGAACGTCTCGCCTCTGGCCGTAGCATGCGAGACTGGCGAGTCAGGAGGAAGAACAAAACTGTTTCGCCATCACACATTCGTCTTCGCTCATAAACATACCACCGCCACCTATGGCCAGTTGTTTACTCCATCATTTGCGTCCACATCGCAGTGGACGGAGCTGGTGGAGGAAATGAGAACGGGGTGGTTTTGCCGGCAGCGATAAAATCACTCCACGAGTCCTCCGGGACCAGATCCGCGTGAGTGATGAAATCCATGTTCAGTTCGTCTGGGAGAGGAGTGTGGCTGTCAAAGTCAAAGTGCTCTGAACTAACATTCTCACGTTGCGGAGAAAGAGGCTTTGACGATGGCATCACTCGACTCGTCGGTTCAATCGTGTTGGCCGTCGTTGACGACGCATTTAATATTGCTGTGTGAGTGGCCGAGTTGGTGCCATCTTGGACATTATCCACATGCAGCGATTTGGGGGACAGGTCGGAGATCTGAAACCCGTCAACAGTCATGGATTTGTACCGAGCTGGATCCGACAGCCAGCCATAGTCAAGGAGGTTGTCTATCATCTCCGTGTTGGAGTCCCGCGAGAGCTCTGGGGGATGAGCCGCTGTCACAAGCGATCGAGCAGATGTCGCATCTGGATTGAAGTTTTTGAGGGCAATGGCCTAGTTCGAATCTCAGTCAGGTACACCCATTTGCAGACCGAGATCAATACGATCAGTGGGAGGGAAGGATAATCAAGAGCGACTTGCAGAATGCTTTTACAAATTGACTTACCATTCCAGGGTAATGGCCCCAAAACGCCTGCCCCCGCTCCAGAAATTCCAGAGAGTACTCGTAGAGCTGCTTTGCCGTATTACGTGTGGCCTCGTCGTCGTGGTATGCAAATAGTCTGCAGATTACCCCAGCAACCGTCATTGCATACCCGTAGAATGAGGTGAAGGTCATTCCGTGTTTCTGCACCGTTCGAAGCGTGAATATCAGTTGGTAAGCATGCTCTAGAGAGCGGCGGAGGATTTCGCGCAAGAAGCTCAGCGGGACCCGGGCTCTGCATGATTCGAGCCGTTTTCGAAGTAAGAAGGGATGGTGCAGCAGACACTGATTCATGTGGTATAGCATTGTCGAGAAGACGAAGTGGCCGGCCGCTGCGTGGTCAATCGAACCGTCGGGCAGGATATATCGAGATATAATCGCCTCTGAAAACATCACATCCGTGATTTTCGAGTACCCTTCGAAACTCAAGAGCATGCTGTATATGGCTGCGAAGTCGCTTCGTGAGTCCCATGGAGGGTAAGGGTCGTTGCAGCCCTGTTTCTGGAGCATCTGGCGTTCCACCCGGCCCAGGGCCGAGGCCATCAGAATGGTGTGCGCAAACGAATCCAAATCATCGGTCTTGTCGTCCCCATAGAATTCCCCCAGTGTTCTGAGGTCAAGAGTGTTACAACCCACGTCAGGGTTGTCCGTAGGCAGGAGGGTCGAACAATCGGTATCTGAGATGGCCGGCGGCCTAAATGCACCACACGAGGATAGCCGATCGAGCATGTAGACTGACCAAAAAGTCAGACGCCTCTCGTCCTCCTCTTCGTACGATAAAGCCACTCGTGGTTCGGAGTTGAGCTGCAGGCTCTGAGCGAATCTAACTGCGAGTCCTATTTTGACCCATCCGAGATGGTGGCGACCAGCTACGAACTCGGAAATTTGAGAGATCAGTCGAATATCTATTCTCAGCATAAGTTGAGAGGTTTCATAGTACTCACCTGTGAAGTCTACCACTGCCAACATGTTCGTGGCTTGAACCGCGTGGATCTCGAGCAGATGATGATCGTCGGCAAACGCTTTATCAAAGATTTCATTCCAGGCGGTCCGACCATATGCCTCTGTAGCCTCGAGTGTTTTGGACTCGAAAAAAGGATCGGTTGAGAAGCGCGCGGCGATTGCGATCATAGCCATGAGCAGGTATTGCGGGAGTTCACCGTTGTCCAGGCGACGAAAGAACGACTCTTCACGGAAGTAGACGTATGGTTGGTTCTGGCAGTGCTGGAAGTAGGTGCTCAGAATCGATCGCAGAGCTGAAACTGGAGGCAGTTGGGTGAACTTGCTGCTGACAATATCAGCATCAACATATACGACTCGTTTGGCGAGGATGAATCGCCAGGACCTTACGCACCGTGGCACTGTATTGATAGCCGACGACGGCTCTGGGCTGTCGCCTGACTTATCGGAAGGGGCCGAAAGACCTGTTGAGGAAGTCTTCCTCTTTGAGAAGGGGGGATAGTCTTCCATGCTCCGCATGAGGCCACTGTTTGCTTAATTAGCCTCCCAAGAACGTGCCCGGGGACATCGAGACTCCATACTCATAGCTGGCATCATTCAAGAGACTGAGCTTTGCCTCTAACAAAGCAACTCTGGTCGCGAGGTTGATATCCTATTACATATAACTCAGCCGATGGACAACAACCGGAAGGCCACAATGGGACGGAGATGGCGAACACACACACACCTCTGTACTGCTAGCTCTTGGATGCGCATGATGACAAACGACTGGGCCATCATCGTAGCTGCATTCCTGATTCAATCGGTGACAGAAGCTGCAGGTCGGCTTCTGTCCATCGCATTTGGACTTTTTGCGACTATGGGATATGGCGTTGGGTAAGTTGGTTGCGGTGACAGATGGATCAGTGCATCAAACAGTATGTGGTCTGCTTACCGACAATTCTGGCACGCCTGCCGAACTCGTTTTGGCTCTCGTTGCTCATTCATCAGGACAACTTCTAGGTGAGTAATCTAGGCTGAAGGTGCGCAGCCTTGATATCATTTTCCAATGTAGGATCGTGCTACGAGTCCAAGATTGTCCGCAGCTTACGACGTCCAAGACTTTTCTCGGCGGGGTTCTGGGGTGATGCGGGGTTGTGACCGAGCAGTAATAGGTATTGGCGGCAAGGAGGCGGTCGGGAGGACGCGGGTAGATTGGACAGGATGGAGGATCCATTCCACGGCGCCACGGTAGCTGAACGCGGGGTTCAAGCTACAAGGTTGGAACCAATGTCTTGATTGACTGTGCTGAAGTCTAGCCAGGGGGTCCTTGGCCAATGCAATGCTCCGAACTCCCCAGGGCAACGGAGATCTGTCCAGAGCAAGGTGGAGGGAGACGGACTCTATTTCTTCAAGGACGTCCCTGGGGCCACGGCAAACATCGAATTCCGTGTGTCAATACTCAGTAAATCCAGGCCAAGTCAAAGGCGGACGTGGAAGCCGAGACTGCGGAGGCGCACGAAACTAGATCTTCGAGAGGCAACGATTTCCCCAAGGTTGGATAGTCCACGGTCCAAGGCCATTCATTCCCAGCATTTGTGGGCCCGGTCCAGCCCGATCTTACGTCGTTGAGGCTTCTGGAGTACAGTAGTAGTATTGAAGCGGCTTGGAGTAATGGTCCAGCTCCTGGCCAGGAAGACTCACGTATCGCAGAATGCTTTCCAACGTCGTTAGGATCGTGTACTCCAGCTCCTTCTTTTGAAGTCCAGCAGAACATCCCCACTCCTCGAAGGCTGCAAGACCTGAATCGCCCGGAGATGGGCGTTGTGTTATCTGGGACGCCTGTATTTTGCTTGACCTGACGCACTTTGGTTTTCTGGTGGCTCTAGTATGGCTGCAGCAACACCATTCAGCGGCTTTCTCAGATCAGGGTGAAAAGGCCCAGCTGTTGGACAGAGGAGAAAGAGTATCCGATGGCGCGAGCTGTCCAGGCCTACCTGTTATTGATATTTTCTCAAGCCTGCCAAAGGGTGGCCTACTCTGTCAGCGCCAGGGCGAGTGAACGTATTCTGGTCGAAGTCAATTCAAAACTTATAGTTGTCGAAACCATGACATTCCCATGTGTTGCTCGCAGCCTTATGACCTGCTCCCCGGAGTGAATGGGAAACACCGGAGAGAGATTGGGCCTCATGAACTCACGTGGTAAGCACTGAGCCGTCTGCAGCCCGGTCCCGACTGTACTCGGAAACATGAAAATGGGGAAAGCATCCAAAAAGAGGTGTCATTGGGATCGCGGTCGCCGGCCCGTCCTGCTTATCACCTCCGTTTCACAGAGCTGTCTCACGTGACATGCCCCTATCCATCTGTAGCTGTGAATGAGGGCTTGGACTGACCACCTCAGAATCAATATCCTCGTTTCTCAATCCACATCATATTGTCATGATCAACGCATGAGAGCCGATAAAGCTTTGCCATCTCTTTCAATTGAAAATATCAATGGTCCGTCATCCGTATTGCGTAGGTCAAACGACCGAAACCAAGACGCGCCGAGACATCGAAGCCGCAATCTCACGGCCGGGACCGATTTCTAGAGCCATGTGGTCCGGGCCTTGTGCTTCCACCGGGGAGCACAAGCAGACAACTCCGCCGGGTCCGCGGTCCGAGCTTGCATAGCCTTTAGAGGTCGGAGAAAGATCGGTTGGACAGGCCTGGATGACCAGGTATGGTCTGCTATATACCATTAACAATGTTTTCATTCCGCCTCCAGTCTAGGAACACACCGTCCGACTCAGCAGCCACCTAATTGACAGAAGCAAAGCACCAAAGACTGTCTTCACCCTGAGCTTGATTCTGAAGCATGAGAGCAGTCATGGATGTTCAATCGATGGAGAACGGTTTCGCGCCGAACGCTGACAAAATGGCCACGGTTTCGGAACAAGGCGAAGGCGTGAGAGACTTGCAACGTGTTAGCACCACCATCACCTTGTCTCCCGAGCAATTCGAAAGACTTTACCTCAACCCTCTAAAACGCGGAGAGCATTCTCTGATGAAGAAGCTGGCGAACCCCACTCCCTTGTAAGTTTCTACGCTTTCCATGCAGGAGAAAGGAGAGGAACGAGCTGATGATTTGGTTGTAGGGCGCTGGCCAGCTTCGTTGTCACCACCACACCATTTTCCATTGCATTAATGGGGTGGGGTGGAGCTGGCGGCAACGGCATCGCTTTGACGTGAGTCCGGATCTCCCTCGCACACAGATATCCCTCTGGGCGAATTTGAGGCACATTCTGACCACTTCCTCTTCACTCGCTCAGCGGAGCAATCGTCTTTCTCGGCGGCACGATGCTGGCGATCAGTGGGCTCCTAGAATTTATCTTGGGCAATACATTCTCATTCGTGGTCTTTTCTTCCTTCGGTAAGGACCCCATCCCGCTGAGACACTGTATGACAGCCCGAGGACTAGTTGTCTAACTGGTTGATGGTGTAGGCGCTTTCTGGCTGGCATTCGGGTTTACTCTCGCACCAGCTTTAAATGTTGGAGGTACGTTGACGACACGTGCGATCGGGAAGACAAGACCTCCCTGTCTCCCATCAATGCTGACCGACGGGATTAAAGCACCCTACTCCGCGAGCGGCACCGATAACCTCCAAGGCCTCTCAAGCGAAGGGTTTGTGAACACCTACGGTCTGTCCTCCTTGAGCCAATTCTTCAGTGCATCCATGCAAAAGCAACTAACCTGTCCATAGCATTCTTCCTCCTTTCCATGGATATTCTGGTTGTCATCTACGGCATCTGCGCCCTCACAACCAACGTGGTCTTCTTGGCCGTCTTCGGGTCTTTGGTCATGGTCTTTTCGCTTCTCAGCGCCGCCTATTGGAGGCTCGGAGTCGGGGACACCGTTGTCGGAAACCGGCTGATTGTCGTAAGTTCCATGCCCCCGTCCTCCTTGACGATCTCCTGATTCCTTGCATGCTGACAGCATGGAACACGTATAGGGTGGCGGCGCATCGCTCTTTGTCACAAGTATCCTGGGGTGGTACCTACTCATGGTCCAACTTTTCGACACGGTGAACCTTCCCATCAAGCTTCCGGTGGGAGATTTGAGCAGATTTTGGGAGAAGAGGCGCCGAGACTGAAAGGTTCTTCGGGAACCGGCTTTTCCAATAATGATCTTGCTCAGTTGACGGCGGCAAGCAATGGCTATATGGGGAAGTGGAACGCTGGTGGAAGTGGTGAAAAATGAGAATGTCTCAAGCGCGGGTAGAAAACAACGGTCGACGAAGAATCCAACGTCAATTCTTCCAATAATTGTCGGCTACTCAAAAAATAGCAAAATGCATGATTGTTACGGCGCAAGGTTCTTGTAAAATCCGTTGCGTCAATCTTTGATTCGTCGCTATACCATATCTCCGCTCCTGCATTTCTCAAGTTCTATCATCCCTAACACAGTTGATTTTTGTCTAGGAGGACAATGCATGCCGTGTACCAAGCTTTGCTAGCTGTTCCCGAAGTCTCAGGCTCTGAAATGTAATGGCCACGGATGAAGCCGACATAAGAGCAGCTCCAGTCGTCCTGAATCACTTTATCAGCATCACATCAGACCCTCAAATGGAACGGTTCATTGCTCGAATAACTTACGGTGTCAGTATCACGCCGAAAGGCTTGGTGAGCCCTGTCGCCAGGACCAGGGCACAGAAGTTGTACGCCAGCGCCCACTTGAGGTTGAACGAGATCTGCTGTTTCGTCCTTCGGGCCATTTTGAATATCAGAGGAAGCTGGCCGAGACTTGATTTCAGGAACACGACGGAGCCGCCCATGGTCGATAGCGCAGAGCCGTGCGCTATGATGATGCCAACGTCCGCTGCTGCAAGACTGGGTGCATCATTGAGTCCGTCTCCAACCTGAGCGTTATCGAATACGATTGTCAGTTTTCTGTCTACCTGCGCGGATGATGGACGGTATGGGAAATGGCTCAGCACTTGCCATGGCGACCTTCTGGCCTTGCTTCTGTAGCGAGCGCACGAGGTCCAGTTTCTCCATAGGCATCGCTTGAGACGCCAATACAGGGATATTAAGAATGTGGGACACCCGGTTGGCTTCCTCTTTAGAGTCCCCTGTAAGCTGTTATGAAGTAGTTAGCATAGCTGTTCTGCTCATGGAAACCGCCCGGCTGATCTCACCATATAGCATTTTAACCCGTCATTGCAGAGTTCTTGAATGGTGCTCAGAGTATCGAGCCTTATTTGGTCCTGCGGGAGATTAGTCTTCGCGGCAGTGCAAAAATACTAGCACGATGTAACTTGCCTGTAAGAGGATGCTCATGACATATTCCCCGTCAACAGCCACATAGATCCTTATACCCGGGGCTTGATTCGATCCATTCCTCGTGGGAGGGTCAATGGCACATTCTTCCAGGAAACGTAGACTCCCAATATGGACGGTGTGCCACACACTGGGTTGGACCTCAACGTCGCCGCTGACACCTTTCCCTGAGATCCCTTGATATTTTTGAACTGGAGGGTCTCGTATTCTGTAGTTCTGCCACGTAACTCCCAACCGTCGAATACCTTCCTTGAATATCGCTCGAGCTATTGGGTGGCCATTCGCCTCCTCCTCTTCAATAGCACATACCAATGTCCAAACCATCAACTCACGTCCGGCCCATGTCGTTTCGAGCGTGCAACTACTGACTCTGAGAGATCCTTGAGTAAGAGTTCCCGTTTTGTCTAGGACAACCTGACCAGTTGTGGCGAGGTTGTAGATGGTGTTGGCAGCTTGTGAGACTAGAATCCCTTTCTGCTGTGCCGCATCTGTTCCAGAGATATTAGCAAATATGGTTCGAGGCCTGACTTCAGAGTAAGTTTGGCTGACCGACGAATGCTACTACAGCTGATGGGCTTGCTAAGCCGAGTGCACAAGGACAGGCGCTGACCAATATGGTCATCGCTCGCTTCGCCAGGGCGATCAAACAGTCGGCAAGAGGCAACTGTGGTTCGAATGTGCAGTAAAACACGAATATTGGGATAACAGTGGCCGCAATCACCACGCCGATAATGAAATGTTTGATAATGGCGTCAAGATACCGGTATGAATCGAGCTTGCCGGCCATAGCCTCGGTGACTCCATCAACCAGTTGATCGTAGAACGAGTACCCGCATTCTTTATGGACCGTACAAATCAGCGATCCCTGCAAGTTTCGAGTACCCGCGAGGAGAAAGTCTCCAGTGCTCTTGTCGATAGGAATGGATTCCCCTGTCATGATGGATTCGTTGACTTGAGATGCGCCCACCGCGATGTAGCAGTCGCAGGGAACGACCGTGAATGGCTCGATCACCACTTGATCCCCCGCTCGCACAAAGGAAGCGGGTAATCGCTATGCTCACGAGTCAGACGACGATTCCACAAAACCAAAATAAAACAAAGAGCTTGGCATGATGAATAGACAGAGGCAGGTGCTCACTTTATTGTCTGGATATAGGATGACCTGCTCCATTTTCGAGGAAAGGCGAACCAAGCCCACAAGATTCCTGGAGGCCTGTCTTTGCGATAGCAGATCCAGCAGCCTCCCCATTTTCACCACCAAGATCAATCCAAGTGTAGTGGTCTCATAGGAGCTTGCCAGGAGCGGGCCCCTAACGGCCAGGTCCAGGATACTGATCAAAAACCCCAAGCCCGTGGATAATAATATCAGAGTGTTCATGTTGGCGGTCCATGATTTTATCAACCTCCATGCCTCGCGATGGAGCTGCGACACGTGGCGGTATTGGCAGTATAGGCTGGCAACAATCGACGACAGGCTCAGCATCCAGGCCAAAATGCCCGCCCAAGGCGGTCCGAGCCAGCCGTGAGAAAGCCAGTATAGACCCCACTGGAATACATTGACCGCCGAGGAGTACTTCAAAATCTTGTAGCATGTCATCTTGAGCTCTTTGATTTCTTTCGTCGCCATGAGCACTTTGATTGTTTCAGCGCGTGGGCGTTGCCCGAGTTCGGCCTTGTACCCAGCATCCTGTACGGCATGTACTAGCATACTAGGATCAAGAGCTCTCTCGTCTCCGCGATCGCAGATAACAGTAGCCTGCTGTAGCTTCAGAGACACGCGAGCATCACGCACTCCTTGGACTCTTAGGAGTGCCGACTCCACTGCCTGAACGCATGCAGCACACGTTAGACCCTCCAATGAAAGTGTGATTGAGTTGGACACCCTCGACTCTTTGAACCGATTGTTTGCCGTTTCAGCCATGCTTCCGGCCTGGCGTGGTGCTGAGAGATCATCGTTGTAGGTGATGCCATCATCGAAGTCAAAGAAGTGACAGGCTTTAACGAGTTGTCCAACGCAGAAAGCCGCGATGTAACAACAAGCCATGATGATACGCGGGTGCCAGATACAAGGATACAGTTATGAATGAGACCTCCTATATGGCAGCCTTTTCTCTTGGTCTTTAGAGGAATGAAAGGAGCCATCAATACGGTCGTCTCGGATCCTTCCTGTGACACGGAAGACCGTTAAGCTTCACGGCCCGGCACACTTTGGGGTTGGTGGCATCAAAACAACTCTATTTCCGGAGGCCGGCCCGGACATACTTGGAATATATGTCAAAGATCAGGCTGCTAGATCATTGGTCCGAAAGGTCGAAACCCTCACCAATCTTGGAAGAATGATGCCTGGGAGTCCAACTTCAAGGTGCACAGCAGAATGGCTTCAAAGGATCTTTATGCGCTCGTCTAATGTCTAGGATTAAATTCGATGGCAATTCCGTCTGCATTGAATATATCCAGAGATACGTACTGCAAAAACTATGGACCGAGTTCAACGGGTTCGAACTAAACAGTGCCTCCTTTTGTTGCTTGCAATTTTCGGCCCATTTTTAGGCTTGTGGCTTGAGAATGACATGTGTGCGATCTCTGACCGCCACCTTTGCTCTTCCCTTTCCATCCGCGTCTGAAGTGAAAGTGCCGCCCGTGCTTAAGGTGTAAGTCTTATTCGGGATGAGTCGCTCAAACCCTAGGTTGAATGTGCCCGAGTCTTTACCGTTGTAAAGGACAAGATCCAATTCTTGCGCATCTTTGCTGTATGCCTTTGCAACAAGCACGTCTGGAAACGGTGCGTGCTCAAGGATCGGGCCTGCTAGAGCGTTAGGCTCAGGACCATGGAGTGTGGCATTGGCAAGATCCCGGTGTCTGATGAGTCGAGCCATAAGAGCGATGACCTGCGTCGTCGCAGAAAGGCCTTTGTTTCTCAGTGAGCCCGTCTCCGTGGCCTCCACCGGGAAATACTTGTTGTCCAGCTGAGCAAGTGCTTCCTTGCGGACTTTTTCGTCGCCAAACTCGGCAGCAGTCGCAGCGATGAAGGCTCGAAGCGGTCCTTCACCTGCACGGTAGTTGCCGGGGTCCATTTTATCAGCTCCTTTGAGACCTTTGACGTCAAGCTGACCATCTTTGTCGTAGGTTAAGAACTCCTTTCGGATCATCGCCCAGTTTCGGTGTGCCAGATGCGGCAGGTATGCGGTCAGCAGCATTGCATTGATGCAATCTGTCAAGGTTCCGCAAAGCCCTGGGAGCTATATCGAGTCAGATCGACCATCTTCTTCAAAGAACGTTGTTTATACACACGGTCAATCCAGTAAATTCGCTGCGGATTGGCAAGATCCTTCCGTCACACTCTGTAAAGTCCTCCTCGAGAGCCCGTTCAAATCGGTTCCTGAGCCTTACTCCTAGGTCACGGCCAAGGATCCTGTCAGATATCACAAGGCCTGCCATTCCAGTTAAGCTGTAACAGATTCCAGTTAGTGCCCTACAGCAAAGAGGTGGGACTGGGGATTGATAGAAACGCGTACGTACTTGCACAGTGAATATGTCCAGTTTGGCTCACAGGGATACAAGCAATATGGGTTTTCCGTCATATTCTTGTTAAGAGCATCAGCAAGACCCTGATAATTGGTCTTGTAGTGCATCCCATCGTCAATGACGAACTCGAGTGAATCCTTGTCATTGTAGGATCGGTCTCCAGATGCTTGAGCGTAGAGTCCCATTGCGGAGCTCAAATAGCCTGTAACCATCTACCAGAACGACTTAGTGAGCGTTAAGAGGGTTTGGAGTGGGCCTTGATGAACGTACAATATTGTCCTTCTTGATAGGATCCCAGTCACTAAGTGTGAATTTGCCGAAGATTGATTCCCATTTCCAGTATCTACTCGATGAGTTAGACAGAAAGATTTGAAAATGTTTAGGAAAGATACTCACGACATGATGCGCTTTTGGAGACTCTTCTCAATGCAATTCTTCGAAGCCTGTGAAAGATAGCCGTGGAATCCAGGGGTGTAATGGCACTGGTACAAGCTCAAGACGTCGACCACGCCATAAAGCTGGTACCGAACAGCACCTGTTTGAAATTGATCGATCACATCATGGAAGCTGAAATCATCTCTGGCGCTTAACCCGCGCTCGAGCATATGTTGGACGTGGCGGAGTGTCTGGAGGTCCAGCTCGCGGCTCCCTGGTGGAGGCGCCGGGATTGCATTTGCGCGTTGTTCTGAGACCGCGTGCACGAGGTATTTGTTTCGTTCTTGCGCTTTGGTGTACCCAGCAGCGTTGAGACTTCGAGCATTGCTCATCAAGTATGCGATCGCAAGCCAGCAGAAGCCGAGCCAGAAGACACCCGCCCCTTCGACCAATTTGCCTTCTGCCAGGTAGCCAGCGAGCACGGCTGATCCAAGATAATTTGCAAGAGGAAAGAAGATCCCGCCCATGGCAAACCAGATGAAGACCGTGATTGGGATGAGAATCAAAGTCGCGATGAAGGCAGCAAAGGACGTCACCGTCCCGACTGCTGTGAGCCCGGCCCCAGGAAATAAAAGGCCTAGCGCAGCAGCCTTCCAAGAGGGGCTGGAAAGGTTCCTGAAAGCCCAATACCCCCCAAGTGACATTGCAGCATAGAGATACAGTGTCCGTCGCTGATAATACTTCTTGGTCAATCCCTTGCCGGCATATGGTGGGATCAGAACATCTATTTCAGTCAGTTTGGTTTCTGACAAAGTGTGTGGATTGCTTGAGAACTTGCTTACCCTGGATTTTCCAAGGGCCCCAGCCAAAGTCTCCAACTTCACTGTCTTGCCCATGGTGAGGTTTTTCATCGGATAGATACCCATTACTCAAGATCTCCTCGCCTGGGGAAAGAGCAGGTGGTGTGCTTTCAGCCCCGACGAGTCGTTTGACGGGGTTTGCGGCAGTAATGGTGGTTGCCTATAAGGTTAGATTAGGGCTGTCGATTCTGGTCATTGAAGGGCCCTCGACTTACGGTAGTCAACATCTTGGTCAGTCGGATTCAGACAGGAAGACACGAAGTAGTTTCTTGATTTCCCCGCAGACCCCGCAGGCATGTTAATGTATTTTGTTTTTATATAATTGTAGGCGGGCCGGGTCCGGGTTAGACGCAGATCACCATCCCCATAAAGCGCCCTCTGACTATAGAGCTCGCATGGCTTCTGATAGACTTGCCAGTGCCGCCGGGCCAATTCCCCGTGAAGTCAAAAAATGGTAGGTGCCCGGGACAGTCCCTTCCACGATTCCTACAACTCCGCGTTGATGGCCGGGAGCGGACCGGAGGCTAGCTGAAAACGGGAGGTACACTTTATAGAAATGAACAAATGGAGCACACGACGAGGCCATTGGCCGGTGAGAATGAATGCATAATATCAACTGAAAAGTCCATCCAGCTCTCCTCCCTTGTGAGGGAAGTCAAAGAAGAATTTGCTCATCAAAGGTCAACATTGAATCTAGTAATGGTTGCCGAGCCCCCCAAAACGAGAGCCATTGTTGCTCGCGCTCCGATCGACGGGAAGCGACAGTGGAAGCTTGAGGAGGTGGATGTCCCGCCACTTCGAGAAAACGAAGTTCTTGTTGAGATTGTTGCATCTGGAGTTTGTCACACGGATTTGATCTGTGGCTCAGGACCAGAAAACGCAGGAGGGTTCCCTCTTCCTCCATACCCCCGAATACTTGGTCATGAAGGTAAGGTATCGGCTGGGGACAACCACGACAGCTGCTAATGAGAGAGACAGGCGCAGGATACGTAAGAGCAGTCGGCTCAGGCGTGAAGAAGGTAGCGCCGGGGGACTCGGTGTTGCTCTCGTTTGCCTATTGTACCAAATGCCACAATTGCAAGTTTGGAGCTCCGGGATATTGCGCCAACTTCACACCTCTTAATTTCGCCGGCGACCAAAAAGCGTTCACGGAAGCTGGGAAAGCCGACACAGCGATAGGGGGTTCTTTCTTCGGCCAGTCAAGCTTTTCCCGCCTACTGAAAGCACAAGAGACATCCGTGATAAACGTCAGTGGGCTGGTTAAGAATGAATCCGACTTGAAGCTGTTTGCCCCTCTGGGCTGTGGTATACAAGTGAGTGGTACAGAATCATTCTGTAACCCGCCTTCATGCTCACAACATCGAGTAGACCGGTGCTGGCACAATCACAGAGCTGGGAGCAGCCAGTCAGTCTGACAAAGTCGCCGTCATTGGGCTTGGAGGCGTGGGATTGGCCGCGGTCATGGTGAGAAAACAGGATTGTGAGGAGTCTGTCGCCTGTACTCATTCCTCGACAGGCCGCCAAAATGAGAAACTGTCAGGTCATCATCGGCATCGACCGCCTTGAGAGCCGTCTTGAAATGGCGAAGACCCTGGGAGCAACTCATGTTATCAACACGGCGGGCTTGAATAAGCCGCTCGCTGATGTTGTACATGGAATCACATCCGGCAGTGGCACCACCATCACCGTCGATGCGACGGGTGTGGTGGCGCTCATCCAGCAAGGCATTGAGTTAACAGCGAACCAGGGCAAAATGATTCTGCTCGGAGTTGCTCCGATGGATGCTGGACTTGAGATTGCCATTGTTCCTTACATGGTTGTGAGTGCACGGCCAAATCTCTATTGAGAGTATATTACTGACAGTCCTATCAAACAGACGGGCAAGCAACTACTTGGAAGCATGGAAGGGGGAGTTCGACCAATCGATGTAGGACACTCTGAGAACGATTCGAAGAGATGATTTTGCTAACAAGCTCATGAATAGTATGTTCCCCGAATGATACAATGGTACCGATCAGGCCGCTTTCCCATCGACAAGTTGGTTAAGTATTTTCCGGTATGTGTGACCGACGAACCATCCACTGAGCGGTCGTGTTGACAGGGACTTAGGTTGAAAACTTCCAAGAAGCACTACATGAGATGGAAGCTGGAACGGCAATCAAGCCCATTCTAATATGGTAGTGCACGATTCTAGAACTAGAATCACCATGACCATGTCCTGTATGTGGACTGTAGGGCAAAAGCCCCAATATAGGATTGTAGGAAGCGAATAAGCCTGAAAGGATTTGCAGGTCGGATGAGCTGTCTCAACTTTGAAATAATGTTCCGCGAGCTGTATTTTCCTTCCTTCTGAGAAGAATGTTGGCGATAACAAGGGTTCCAGCAACTTCAATGAATGCTTTACCGGATCAGGCTTGAATGCCAGCGACAATATTTTGATCCCTGCCACGGGAGAGCCGACAGTCTTTGTTCTATTTCGCATCTATATCAGTTGAGGAAGTGATTTCCTTCCATTCGTCCAACCCTTTGATCGTCTCCTCGCATTTCCCCCTGATGATTCTGTAGGCATCTGCTCCCAGCGCAAGCCTCAGTGGAATCTCTTTGCCGGTGGCACCAGTGAGGGTGTCGACAATGACCTTGGCGCCCTTTGCGGGATCGCCCGGCTGATTCTGGTTGGTGTGCTCCACCCTTTCTTCGGTCCTTCGTACCGCCGTACTATCGTAGTCTGATATGTGGTTCACGTGGAGGATCTTGTGGCCACTGCTCAAGAAGTTCGAGCGGAAGTAGCCCGGCTCGATGCTGCAGACTTTGATGTTGAAATCGGCCAGCTCGAGCTGTAACGTCTCTGTGATACCGCTGACGGCCCATTTCGAAGCCTCGTAGATGCCGACAGCTGGTGTTCCGCGCCACGCTCCGATGCTAGAGAAATTGGCGATGACTCCCGAACGTTTGGCACGCATGTATGGGAGAATAGATCTCGTGACATTTAAAGGGCCAAAGACATTTGTCGCGAACTGAGCCTGGGTTTCTTCCGGGCTGAGGATGTCAGCATGTATTGTCTGATGCGGCCAGTGGTATAATAACACAACATACGTAAGCTCTTCCAAGCCTCCTACTTGACAGTAGCCGGCGTTGTTGATGAGGAAGTCAATGCGCCCATAGAGCCCGTGGGCCTCTTCGGCGAGGACCTTTAGCTTCTCGAGGGGATATGTCACGTCCAGGCTCATTGTGTCAGCCCCTGCCTTTTTAAGATCTTCGAGCTTGTTGGCATTCCGCGCGGAGGCAATGACCTTATCACCGCGCTTGAGCACTTCTAGCGTCAAGGCTTTCCCGAAGCCAGATGAGGTGCCAGTGATGAACCAGACTTTGAAATTTGACATCTTGGTCCACATAAAAGAGAGAAACGTGTCGTGAAAAATGGTCGAGATAGCAAGACCAGCAGATAGCTGTGACAGGCGCTCTCCCAAAAGCAAGCAGACAGAAGCCTGCAGACAGAAGCCTAGCGAGGCAGGCCTTTTATGTTTGTTTTTCAGGATGAATGGACCTGACGTGTTGCGTGTTTGAACTTTCCATCTCGATATGAAACTACTGCACACACAGTCAGCCATACAGCATTGCATCATGATGCATCTCTTGGTAGAGCGTCAGGTGAAAGGCGGAAACGTCTCATGGTTTTGTGGATTGTGAGACTCCGAAACAATGAGCCTCTGCCCAAGTTGCACTTTACTTATTGGCTACCACAAAGACCGAAAAGGGGAGTGCGAACCTGGAACAACAAACAATGTAATCAAATGGGAGCCGGAGACACTAGCAAATATGGTTTTACTGATCTCGTTCATATTCGAGGAACTTCAAAAAGCATCATTTGAAGAACCAGGGTCGGAGCTTGTGCGGCCGCATCGGCCGCGTGTGGCCAACACTGCCGTCTCCGCAGCTCTGCACGAATAGTGGGCGATGAGACTTGCAGTTCCAGGCGAACAGGATACTAAGGCAAGGCAAAATCATGAGACGGGCGGGAAGTCGAAGGATCAAAGCTGAGAAATCAGTGGGGGAAACTGAATCGATTGTGGAGTTTAAAGGCATTCCGGCAAAGAGGCCTAAGCAGCATTTTTACAAAGATCCAACTGTTGCTGGACTGGATGTTGTAGGTACCGATCTGCCCGTTCAGAGTAAAAGTTGGGTTTGCTGAAAGATGCGTCCGTATGTAATACGCTAGAGGAGACGTTTTGCTCCTCTATCATTCCACCTGGCGTCCCTATGGCGCGTGGCGCAATACAAAATGGTCTCGTCGCGTACCTCAAAGTATCTACTGGAGCTCGATGGTTTATCACGCAGGTCTTCGGGTTGAACTCTTTTCGTCAGCTTGTAACAGACCCAATCTCGTGCTTCGAGATGATGGACTCTTGACCAGTGAGGTGCATGTGGGTTAAGATGTAGTCCCTGTGTTGTCTTGCCCATGAGTTGGAATAGCGCCAATTGAGTCTCTTTAGCACTGCGTTGCCCAGTGTGCAGTCCGGGTCTCTTTAGCTCTCAGATTCTCCTACCCTAAAGCCGCCACATCTGGTGCGAACCATCAAGCGAGGACCCAGAACTTGTCCCTTCTGCTGGGCAAGTCGCCTCGCCATCTGCCAAGTCAGTTATGCCCCGCAAACCCCACGGGTCGGGCGTCGATATCCGACTCCAAATCCCCATGTCGAGAATAGCTTTCCTTTGAGCTGAACTCTGTCTTCTAGCATCACCGAAATGATTACAGTCGCTATAGCCGGAGCGACAGGGGGCGTGGGTCGGACAATCCTGGACCACCTTGAACTGAGCGGCAAATTCGAGGTCGTGGTGTTGAGTCGCAAGCTACCTGGAGCGGCGGCGTCTGCGGGCACCAAATATCTTCAAGTCGATTACGGGGACGTGGAAGGACTTGCCAGTGCGCTGACAGAAAACAATGTCCACACCGTTATTTCGACCATCGGCATCAGCTCCCTCGAAACAAGCCAGGCTCAGTGCAATCTGATCAAAGCTGCTGACAGGTCCAGTGCGACAATCCGTCTAATACCCAGCGAATGGTGGGCGAAGACGGTACCCGAGTACGTCCCCCATCAGAGCCAACACCGCCCTTCCTTTCTCAACACGTAGTTGCTTGTTCGAGGAATCCTAATACATGGGCGTTCTGAATCCCAGACTCTTACCTCTAGACCCCACCGTGCAGAGGTGGCTCGATGCAGCCTCGCTACTCAAGTCCAGCTCCCTGCAGTATACGAGGATTGCTTGTGGCTGGTTTATGGACTGTGAGTCATCCCTGCTCCGCTGCTCTGACGGCTGTGGGGGGTAGCACATGCGGCCTGCCATCCAAAGCCTGATCGGGTCCAATACACATTCTGACTGTTCTGCAGACTGGGGAATGCCATACGTCAAGTCTCACCTGTCTGATTTCTCGTGGGGCGTAGACATCTTCAATCGCAAGGCCGCCATACCGGAGATGGTGAAAACGCAATGAGCTTGACTCTGGTCGGCGACGTAGCTCGCGCTGTTCTGCTATTGCTGGAAGCAGAGGAATGGCCAGAGTGGACGTTCGCTGTCGCAGACAGCGTTACATTCAACGAGTTTCTGAGGATCGCCGAGAGAGTTAGAGGTCAGTTGGCTCCCATCCCTGGGCGCGTGATGATGCTCGATGCGAGTCGCAATCAATTGACGCCCTCTAGGGTCTAAATTCGAGCTCACTTACGATACTCTTGAGGACCTGAAGCATGGCAAAGCGACGGTACTGCCGAACCCTGGAGCCACTGTATGGGATGCATCTCCTGCCGAGACGCAGGAGAGAAAAGATTACTTGGTACTGTTCGGGAACTTCTATGTCTCCGGGGTACTGGACCTTTCAAAGGAACCGCAATTTTCTGCACGCTTTCCAGACTGGAGACCCACAAAGCTTGAGGCTTTCCTCGAGGGACTGTGGCAAGGAAAACCGTAAGCATCTGGAGGAATACTTCTGTCTGTTCTCGGGGAATAATCATCCGACATGTAGAAACGTGTGACCAGAAAATCACAGGCAAGCAATACGCGGCGAGGAAACTTGGGCAAGGCTGAGCCTCCCGCGCTCCTTGCTCCTCGGGGCAACTTTGCCGATTTGCGGAATCATCCTGTCGGCAAAGCTTCCTCAGTGGAATTTGTCGTTGTTGAATAAATTCCACAACATGGCCTCTCAGACTTCTTCCTCCACTCGTCTCAAAGCAATGAAGTCCATTCACTCTCTCAAGCCAGAAAGGTGGTCTGTATGAGACCCGGTTTGCGTTAATGTTTCACGCTACTTTCGCCAGAGAATCCGCTCGCTGGTATATATGAGACTTCAACGCAACACATCACTTTCCAGCTGCTTGACTCTTCCCACAAGCTCTTCGTCGTCGAAGTCACGGTCTGCAAGTTTCGCGTCATGCGGACTTGTACGGCTAGAGCTGGTGGATATTCTTCACACATTTTGGTTGCAAGAATGAATGTATTGGACCTTCATAGTTCAACCTGTCCCCGCTTGCACATTGGATTGGTTGACTCCTTGCGTGCCTACATGAAACACCCTTTTCTACTGGTACAATCACATTGTACACTGATACACCATCTTTATAAACACAATTCGTCATGTCATGTCATGTCTTTGATCGCTTCGCTCTGAACGCTACAAAATCAAAAAAAAAGTCGGCAGCCTGAGCTCTTGGACTGGTTGTCGTTTATCCACCACCAGGCTTCGAGTTGCCTAGGTTAGTATTCTGCAGCAAAGCTGACACTTCCTCGGCAGAATATCCGAAGAAGACTGGCCCGTTGAAAATGATCTGGGTTTGGGGCTCTTTGCCCTGGACAGAGTAGTCTGTCCGTCTGTCCGGTGGAGACGTTTTGCGGCTCTGCTCTTGCGGACGTTCATCCCGAGACACTGCTGGAGCCGCCTGTGAACTCGCAGAATGTATCTTTAGATGTGCCACGCCATCTTCCTCTTGCAGGGCACTCGGGGTCGGTTCTTTATCCGCGGGCACCGAGATGCCCCATGGCCGACTAGGAGATTCGCCAACCCGGACCTCCCGCAATGGTTTATCAAAATGTGATACTCTCGGCTCTTCATCTTGGACCACGCCGTCTTGAACTGGAGGCTCGCTGGCATGCTCACTGATTTTCTCGGCCCATTTCTCTACCGCCTGGTTTGACTGTTCTTCGATCCTATCTCGCTCAGGCAGGTATGCTTTGTGCTTAACTCCCAGACCTTGTATCATGTTTACCAAATTGCCATACTTAGCATCAAGCTGTCGCGCGCTGGTTTCGTTGCCCTGATATCTTCGTACACAGATTTCGTGGCTCCGGGGAATTTCGTGCTTATGGTTCTCAAAATATTTAGCAATTTCTTCAGGAGAATGCTGATCGAGGAACCGAATAGGACATTGACCCGGGCGTTGATCTGGGTTGGGCGAGCGTGCTGACTGTGTGTCTTGGTGAAACTCTGCTGCTATGGGATCATCGTGCGCCGACGATGCAGGTCCGTTGGGTATTTTGGCAAAGGGACATCCTAGCGTTCCTTTCACCCCCGGGGTCGTGAAATCCCGCTCAAGGTCTTCAGGGTCGCCGCTTCGGTGCGCTATTGGGCAACGCGCCCCGTTGGCCTGCGGTCTTTGTGTCTTGGACATCTTGTACGTTCGTATGGCTTGCTGCGCTTCGCGGATAGGGAGAGAACATTCGACTTCGGTACAGAGGGCAGGAAATTGTCGGAACTGACGGACGACTTCGCTCGGGGCAATGGAGGATGCCGAAAGAGTACTGTCAACAGCTAATACTTTCTCGTACTGCGCGATTTCAATCAGCCTTCTTCCCTCAGTTTTCAGGCAGATTGAAAATAGTATTCGGGGTATTTTGCAGTTCAGGTAATACATGCAATATCTCGCTCATCGCCACAATAAAATTGCAGCTCTTGATCTAGAGCTAATCAAAAGATTCTCATCATAACGCAGTCTGAAAGGGATAAAAAAGGCACAATGTCAACTCACCTCACTTGCCGCAAAATCGAGCCTCTCCCTCAAGGCCTTCTCGTTTTCGATGTGCGCGCGGACAGTGGATAGCAAGGCATCAAATCCGGATATTAAGGTGTCGATAATTGCCGACTGACTGGCATCAGGGGGAGTCGCGTTCATCGGACTTGAAGACAGTGATGATGGTAAAGTTGATCTGGAGGACTTTGAATTCTTGGTCGGCGAAGAAGTTGCGCAAGGCACCAGCAAAATCAGATGCCGAGCACGACGAAAATCGGAAGCCGCGTGCGGCAGCCAAGAGCAGGAATTAAAGCAGCCGGAGATTGATTCCCAATCAGGAAGACCTTCACGCCGCCTTGGTGCCGTTGTTATGTGGAGGTCAAGAAGCTTTGGCTCCGGTCTATCACGAGCTACTAGGACTGAACTCTCCTGAAGCGACTTCCAGATGGTATGATGAAGAACCCCAATTCTTGACAGACGGTTCAATAAGACTCTAGTGCTTCCGTTAGGAAACCTGGCTAGCTGCGTTAATCTTCGACGCTGCCATCATCGCCCCTGCACGCCGGTATCCCGTTGAAACCTGTCTTTTCGTAGACGTCTAACCTCATGTCCTAGTCCATATCCGCGTCCGAGGCAACTCGAGGCTCGCGAAAGACCATGCCAGGCTCAGAACTTCGATTTGACCCACGCGGCTACTCCACTGCCAGCGGTCATAGCAACTCCTGCGCCCTGGACCACTCCGTTGATTACCGCCAGGCCTGCGCCCGCAGCACCTGCACTTTGGGCAACCGCGAAAGTACTACCAGCTGCAACGTTTCCAATTCCGCCATGAATCCCAGCAGCGAGGGTCCCTTTGTAATGAAAGGCACAAGTCAGTAAACACACGACACCGGGGTGAAGAAGTTGAGACGCGAGGAGTGCTCAAGACACTTGTGCCTTGCCATAGTCCCACTTACCTGCTCCAACACCACCAGCTCCAAACCCTACAACAGAGAGCACCGGTGCAACAACAAGGCCAGGTGCGGCGACAAGAACAACACCAACCGTTCCGCAGGTAGCCAATCCAGGGTTTTGGGCCGTCCACGCAGCGGCCTAGAGGTTTACCGTATGGGTCAGCGAGATATGATTTCACAAAGTCGGGAGATGGCAGGGCGACGCACTGCTGCTGCAGCTTTGGGCCCATGCTCTTTAATCGTTTCAGCCGCCAAATTACCCACTTTGAAGCCCAGGCGGCTCGCTTGTTCGGCCAAAACCTTGAAGGACATTGTGTCTGTTGTTGTCTTGATATGATGTTTTCTGACAAGGCGCGAATGAGATACTTGAAGGGTAGTTTCCTGGTCTTATGGAAGAGAGAAAGGTTAATGAGAGGCTGTTGATAAGGCGGTGCAAGGCAGTGCAAGGCAGCCATTTCGGCCAGCGGGTAAATGTCCGCGTCAAGGAATCGGCCCCCAATCTCTGAATCTCTGCTTGTGATAGGCGCTGGTTTGACAGCAAGGAGCTTCAACCACGGCTTTCTATGGCACACCCAGCGTTTGTCGGTTCTTGTCGATCATCTAGCAGAATTCATTTCTCTCCTTCGCAAAAACGACAATAATAGTGGCCAAAGCTGGGCTCCTGTATACGATGCTCTTTATGGAACTAAATGGGTTGGTGAACGTCAGGAGTGGATTTGGGAAGCTGCTTCAGCCCAGGTTCTTCACCGGTGGGTGGACAACACGACATCTCCGCTGTGGCACCCAAGGTCCATATTATATACGGAGATCCTTGGGCGCTATGATATCTTGTCACAGCCTTACCAATACAACCTTCCAAGCGTCTCGCCACACTACTCTCCTGCCTTCCTCACGTCGTGGTGCTTGGCGTGCAGCTGCTCAACAGGAGCCTCTACTCGATAGGACATCATATTCTTGTAGCTGCTCAGCAGGAAGCACAGCGCGCAAGCCAGCGCGCCAAAAGGTGCCCCGATGATGAAAATGGTGCGGATTGAGTCGGCATACGCCTGCTTGAGTGCCTCAGAGCCTGCGGCGATGATATCTGCGTTCACTCCAGGGATGGATGACAAACCCGACTGGTTGCCGCCGGCCAGTGCACCGATGAAGGCCGGAATGGAGCTTGCCGGCAGCCCTGCCTTGGTGGCTGCCTCTGCCAGATACCTGGGGATCTTGTTGGACAGGTTCTTGGACAGGGCCGCCCCGTAGATCGAGGTGAAGATGGTCGCGCCCACGGCACGGGACGAATTGATCACCGCGGTGGCCGTCGCCAACAAGTGATGGGGCACGCTAAGCTGAACACCCGCGATGATGAGGACAATGGGCGCACCGAATCCGAAGCCGGCCACGGCAGCAAAAGCCAGCTGATTAAAACTTTGCCCGGGCTCAATGGTGGCCAGGCCAGCAATGCCTGCGGCAAAGAGCAGGAATCCAAAGGCCAATGGTTCCCGAACCACCCTGAATCTGGTGCTGACGTATCCCCAGATTGGGGTGCTAATTGCATATGACACCCAATAAGCCATGAGTCGTGCAGTCGATTTGAGGGCGTCCGTAGTAAAGAGGGAAGTCGTCCTAGACGAGAGAATGTCAGCCTGCTAGCAGAGAAAAGGTGTAGGACTGCACGGTGTTCATACATGATGGGGTAAAATATGATGATGGTAAACAAGACGATCCCTTCGATACACATCAAGGCGACATAGATCGGGAACGGCCTGGTCCGGCCATTCGGACCTTTTTGGAACATATCGTGGCTCATGATCCCAGTCTTGGTGCCCTTCCATTCCCACGCTCCAAAAGCACCGAGAACGGCGATACCCAGAATGAGCGTCACCAGGACTTTGGCGTTGGTCCAGGCATAGAGGTTGCCGCCCAAATTGAGCCCGACAAGGAGGAGGACAAGTCCCGAAATCAAAAGCCCAGAGCCGAGCAGGTCAAGGCGTCCGAGTTTTTGCCAAAAGGACAGATGATCAAGTCGTGTGTGACGTTTTGGTGGTCTATACCCGAAGAAGACGCCCATTGCACCAGCGGCCCATATCGCGAATTCAATCCACTGTTCGAGAGATATTAAGTATTGGCCGTCTTGATAGAGTGATTGAATGTCACACATACGAAATACTTGCGCCACCCAGAGTTGCTGCTACTCCTGGCGTGGGCATTCTGCGTTGTCAACGCTCCTCCTATCAGAGGTCCGCTGATATTTGATAGGGAGGCAGCCAGACTGAGAACTCCTTGAGCCACTAGACGAGGTGTTTAGAAGAAATAAACAGGAAGAACGACAGGGGAGAGAGACCTACTTGGTCGCCATTTCCGAGGCAGGATTTCACTGGGCACACTGTAGGTAAGTGGTACTCCAGCAAACCCAAAACCGATCAAAGTCTGAGCTGCGATCAGCCTATAAATGCTCTTAGATCCTGGTGCGATGCCGGCACCTATCATAGCGACGAGACACGATCCGACTAGTAGGGTTTTCCGAGCTTGGAAGGTATCCGATGCCATACACAGGATGGGGCCAATGGTTGCTTGTACTAGAACCAGGGCGTTTGTGACCCAATATCCAACAGTGGTGTTGTTCAGGTCGGCTTCAATGAAGGAGAGCTTTCATCAAGACTTAGTCGGCGCCAGTCTGAGACAACAAAAGATCGTACTTACCACGGAGGGAGGACCGGAGAGAGACATGTTCTGGCAGTAGATCAAAAGAAGCATGGATCCATAGGCAATCCAAGTGCGGATATGAAGTTCAGGCTCCTCTTCACCATCGTTATAAACGAAATTGCCCAGCGTGACGGACTCGGAGTCGACATTGTCGATGTGGATGGTTGTGGAAGTGGATTCAACCTTTGTTTCACCTGGATCCGCCACTCCTCCTTGGACGATAGTATCTTCGAGGGGCTTTGATGTAGGTGAAGACATACTTGCAACTGACGGATTGGCAGTAATATGGAAGGGGTCAAAGCAATAGAGAATAGAGCAGGAATCAAGAACTATACAGGTTTTATGTCTACAATCATGAGCTCACCTTGTCTCCATGAACTTTAACCCCGGTCCCCACGAAATGGCCACCCGCGGGGATGGATAGGTTAGACGCTTGCGCTCGTCCTTTCAAACATGGTTGTGCTAAATATGAATTAAAGTAGCAGTGCTCAGTCTGGTTAAGAGATTCCCGGGAGATAGCATCCCAGCACGTGGTCGGATCTCAGGTAACCGCGGCTACAGTAGTAAATATTTCCTATTTAGGCACTCGTGAAAAGGAATGTAAACTTGCGATATATGGTTGACTAGCTAACATAGGCATTGTGCATCGACCCCGGCATATTTGGACAGATTGGAAAGACAGTCCGATCCCAAGGTTTCGTGCACTGTCTGCCGATCTATACGCAGCGCTATGTGATATGGACATCGGTTTCGCACTATTGCTAAGAGGTTGATGTGTATCAGGATTCATTGTTTAAATCACAGACCTGTCCTTGTTGACAGAGACATCCCCAGCACGCTAGGTTTACCACATCTCATTCCGCCATGGGTGAAAGTGGGAGTTTCGATATCGCAGGTGTGTTCGCTCTGATGGTACCCTCTGAGGCAGCTGACCAAGCCACCGCCCAGAATACTGCGCATGGCAGGAACTAGGATACACATGGGCACGTTCAATCGATACGAAAGTAGGCCCCCTCCTATCCCGACAGCAAAACTTCATCAATTGACTCTAGGTTTGTAGGACTGGAGCAATTTGGGCACAATCTTTACTCCTAACTTCATGGTACTAGCATGCGTATCATAAACAACCCGACCTCACGCAGAAAGCTGACCAGACCAGTTCGATTACACCGAAGTCTATGGATTCAAGGAAGAAAACATGTCACCTACTGACTACGTCGCCTTGATCCAAGGCTCGCTTAGTGATCCAGAAACTGCGACACAGCATCTCCTCGCCTCGTCCAAGGTACGAAAGCTGTCAGCTACCACAGCGACCGTCGAGTATCAGATCCGAGCGGCACACATGAGAATAACCAAAAATCCCCGGAAAGAAGTTGCCAAGGGTCATGCCCATGGGATCTTACAATTTTTCTACCGAAAGCTGGACACCGGCTGGAAAATTTCTGGCATGAGGGCTGTGGGTGATTTTATGGAGGGGGACATTTTGGAAGTGTTTCCAACCTGGCCAGGGAAAGGGAATGATGTCAAGTGGGCATACTAGTAGGCAGCATTACTCGCCTGTCTGATAGGAAGAAGATGTTAGTTTTCAGCAGCGTTGCTACAGATTCTCGCCGGGTTGCCGGAAGCAAAACCACTATGGCCCACTCGTCAAATATTCAATATAGATTTCTGACAGAGGTCGGCAAAATGGTCTGCCTCGATTATGCAACTACTCGGACGACACACTGTCAGAAAAGAACAGGCTTTTTGGGACATACCTAGGTAGCTTCTCATTCCGACCCCGTGACTGTTACTGACCCACAAACACTCAGACCACCGTCAAGATCACCGGGGCAAGGAGTGAATTCTCCCCGCCCCGAGTATGGCGGGGTCTCCGTGTCGCGGTTTCACTAAAATGCTACAAAATGCCCCTTCATGAGGACCCTGAATTTATATACTGGACAAAGGACGGAAAGCACAACTTTTTGCCATCACATAATATTCTTCTGGAAGACAAAGTCTACGTTATTGTCATGGCAGCACCCGACATCCAATTATCACCATCCGAATACGGTGTACAACATATTACCGACCTCGATGCCCCATCAGCGCAAAAGGTCACGGCGCTGCTCAAAGAGAATCACGAAAAGTTTCACACATACTGGAACTTCAAAGGCTATCACAACCATCAAACCCACTACCTGCTGACGGCCTACGCGCTGGGTGCCAGCCCAGATAAGCTGCAGAATGCTTTTGACACCAATGCTCATTATCAACGGCCACTGGCGAGGGCCGATGAACAACGAGTTCAAAAGCTCTACGATGATGACTATTTCCTCTCGCTGATGAGCAATGAGGACTATTATGCCGACTATCTCGAGTTTTTCACACGCAAGTTTCACGAGGAAGGCTGGCAGACGGTGGTGCATCGCTACATGCTCTCGAAGACAAAGCTAGCTGATGAAATGTTGGTAAGACTTTTTGCTGGTATGTAATCTCTGGCTTTCTCACACGTTGGGCACATTTGACTGATATAGAGACTGACAGGTCTTGTCCACCCACTCATCCATTTTGGATTTGGCGTCGAATTTGAACAGCCAGGCATCATCGCCGAAGCCATGGCTCAAACAGCGGTGCATCTCCGTTGCTTCGCCCCATATCTGTTGGGAAGTGAGAAGCTGGCGTCAGGAACGCAGAGCAAGCCGCTCATCAACATCTTCCAGGAGATCCGACAAGACCCTTCTCTGTACGACTTGTCTTACTGGGACGGTGGATCAACTCTTGACGACAACGTCTTGGGCAACGCTCCACCGCGATTGACCGAATTGGCCGCACAATGGCAAGTCAGCCCAAACGAGCATGACCTCGACCAGGCGACGGCAGAAATGATAAACGTGAATGCCTGGGTGACAGCGTGCGCGCAACGTCCGCCTAAGGAAGTCAAACTGGACTTCTTCCTGATCCACCAGGTCAACGCGGCTATCTTTTTCTCCGCCTTCAACAAGCAGTCCTGGCTGACCGTGGAGGACAAGGTACGGCTGGTAGAATGGAAAGGCCGGCTCGACTTGATCACCTACGCCTCACGCATCGCTCCCGAGTTACACGAGAACGAGCTGGCTGACTACAAACCACGAGTACCCGACCAAGCCTCCTGGAGCGCTCTGGTGAGCCGTGCCAACAGGATCGAAGACGACGGGCACATCTCAAAGCTCCTGCGGGCGCTGGCGCATGGTCAAGCCATCTCTGGTCCATACGAGAATCAGCCGGGGCTCAGTCATCGGTTTCCACTGAAGGGCGACGGTTGGCTCACGCTGGCCAACATGGCCGTCGATACTACAGATTCGGTACCTTACCTGGATCGATGGGTCCGAGGGGCAGGTGCCGATCTACCCTGGGATAAGTTTGTGAACCGAGGAGAACGGGTCGATGATGGGAAGAGATATGGGCTGAAAGGGGTCCTACAAGCTTGAACTGTTTGGAATTGTGATAGGATATGCAGATCTGTACACAGTCCTTCGTGCAGAATATGGAAGGCTATCACCATGTCTACCCAAATACCTTTTCTGTTTCGGCGCGAAAAGCTCAGGCGTGAGACGATACTCGAAAGGACATTCAGATTCTCAGATTTTACGGACAACACGTAGAGATCAACAGCAGGGCAGTCATACCAGATCCGTCTCGCTGTCCACAATCTCTGGTCTAGACCCTCCTGTCAAACGACAACCAGTGTGTAGTCACGCTCTTGGAGCAGCTTCGTCCTAGAAGTCGGATTCAATCACATGCCGACCGAGTGCACGACCATTAGTTAAGCTTTCCCCATACAATTCTATGTTTCCCAATACTGACTGAAAAGGTCCGATCACGGGATCGCGACATCTCCCATTGGGTTCGTCCCAACTCCCTCCCATCCCGAGCAGAAGCCCTATCCACGACAGTAATTCTTCATCAAGTATTGACGGTAATAAGGTAGGCAACAACGGACAGGCTAATAAATGTCTCGATCACGGGGAAAAAACGGCGGATATCCGATTCATCTCAGGTCAACACTATCTGGCGTAGTCTTGCTAGACCTGCGCCCGCTTTGCCATTCCGTTTCTCTGTACCATCTTTTGCCCTTTGTACCTGCCTGTGAGCAGACTCTCGCCCATCAAACACCAGATTCCCTGCATCAGCTCGACCTTGCTTGATCTTCGTTCACTTTTTCAAGATCATCCACCTATCTATCGACACCGAAAACTATGGGAGAAGCTCGAGTAGCCGTCCCGGGCTCCAACCCTGCCATTCCCTTGATCTGGAAAGATCCCGTCGACTTGAAAGAAGGAAAATACCCTGGCTTTCGGCCAAATCATGTGGAAAAGGTCGACGGGATGGAAATCATGCGTGACGTAGCGGTGCCCATGAGAGACGGGATCAAGATCTACGTCGACGTCTTTCGTCCTCTGGGCGTCTCGAAGCCGCTACCCACGCTGATGACCTGGTCCCCCTACGGCAAGCACGCCCTCAAGACCTTCGACATGTTTCCGGGTAGCGGTGTGCCCAAAGGCTCGGTGTCTAAACACGCCGTCTGGGAGGGTCCTGATCCAGCCTACTGGACCAAGCGAGGCTACGCCATGGTCAACGGTGACAGTCGAGGGTCTTGGTCATCTGAAGGGATGTTGGAAATCCTGGGCCCCCAGCTGGCATACGACGGCTACGACCTGATCGAATGGATCGCCGCTCAACCCTGGTCCAACGGCCGCGTCGGCACCTGTGGCGTGTCGTACCTGGCCATCGTGCAGTGGCGCATTGCCCAACTGAATCCACCTCATTTGGCTTGTATCAACCCCTGGGAAGGCTTCACCGACGCATTTCGCGACCACACGCATACGGGCGGCATCCCGGAGACCAAGTTCATCAAGTTCACTGACTGGTCCTGCCAGTTCTCGCTCAACAAGACTGAGGACTACTACGCCAACCAGCAAGCTCACGAGATGATGGACGCATATCACGAGTCGAAGAGGGCAGAGAATCTGCCGGCCATCACCGTGCCTGCGTACGTCGTCGCCGACTGGGGGGACTTTGGCATGCACACGCGTGGCGCGCTGAACGGGTTCACCTACATCCGTTCCAAGGAGAAATGGCTGGAGGTGCACGGGCAGAAGAAGTGGCAGTATTTCTACCAGCCCTCTAGCTTGCTGCGCCAGGAAGCCTTCTACCAGAAGTTCCTCAAGGACGAGCCCAGTGAGATCGACTCATGGCCGCGAGTCCGCATCGAAGTGCGCGACAGGGCCTACGAAGGGTTTGTACGGGCCGAGTCCGAATGGCCGATCAAACGCACCCGCTTCGTGCAGAAACACCTCCAGGCGCCATTCGGCCAGATGCGAGACGAGTTCCTTCCCGGGGCATCGGTGGCCAGCTACGAGTCCTTGTCCACGACCGCCAACGCCACGTTCGTCTACACGTTCAACCAGACCACCGAGCTGACGGGGAGCATGCGCCTACGTCTCTGGGTCTCGACAGACGAAAGCGATGACATGGACCTCTTCGTGCAGCTGGACAAGCTGGACAGAAGTGGAGAGAAGGTCCCCTTCGTGGCATTTTCCATGTTCGACGACGGTCCGCTGGGTCTGGGGTGGTTGAGGGTCAGCCACCGCGAGCTCGACCGCGGACTGACCGAGTACAACCGACCGTGGTTGACGCACAAGCGCAAGTTGATCTTGCGGCCGGGCGAGATTGTCCCCGTTGACATCGAGATCGTGGCCACGTCGACCCGGTTCCTCAAAGGGGAGTCGCTCAAAGTGACTATCCAGGGCACCGACATCTTTCGCAATGACAAGGTGCCTCAGATGATGCTTCACGGGGATTCGGCAAATAAAGGTCGGCACTTTATCCATACGGGCGGGGTGTTTGACTCGTATTTAGTCATGCCTGTGATCGATTGATTGAATTAGATAGACACGAGACACAGCCCATGAACATGAGCCTCAATTAAAACAGCAACCTATAAATTTCCGTGTTCTTAGACAAATATCTGATGCCCCATAAATTGTAGACCTTCATGGGGTCTTTATTCCGAGATACATCAGTCTGCATGGGCTCCATCCACAGAGACCAGCATAATTTTTAGAATGAGAAAGGGCAAACTTCGAAATATTTCATTGTATGGCTCGACAGTTTTCCTTTCGCTCCATATCGAACAACCACCTTACTTCCCGACTCTCTCACTGCTTTGACATTCGATTGTTCCTCCTTTTCAGCTTTTTCAAATAATGATCGCATTTTCATTCCCCGCTCTAGCCCTCCCTTCCGTTCCGCAGCAGTGATCACAGAAAGCCGCATAAGATCAAAGCTATCACCGCGAGAACACCTCTTTCCCCTACAGCTCAAGAGTGCCCCTCGTCCACTTGACAATTAAATCCGTGACGTTCTCCAAACTCTCTTGACTATCCTCGAAAAAATGCTCACCTGGCACGAACTCCAGCTTCTTGTTCTCCGCGCCGACCATGTCGTAGATATGCTTCGCATTCGACGGAAAAACACCCACGTCCGCCATACTCTGAATTACCAACGTCGGAAGTGAAAACTCTGCCGCGGTCAGTTCAAACCGCGCCTTGCTCTCCTCCAGACTCCACATGCTCAGCCAGGTCTCGATGGTACAGGCGCGCGCGAGCAGGCCGACGCCATTGTTCGCGGTCTCCGGGTCGCCGTAGAAACACGTCCGCGGGGTGCGGTCCGAAGGGTCAATGGACATGTCCAGAAAGCGCAGGTCGGCGAAGGTGCGGTTGACCGAGAACATGCGGTCAGAGATGCCGGCGGCGTTGAGGCGTACCCGTTCGGCCTGTGCCCACGCGGTGATTCGGTGATTTCGTTGTTTCTGGGCCTCACGATAGCGGGTCTGGAACTCGAGACTGTAAGGTGGGCCGTTGGCCGGGTTGTACATGTCCAGACTGGCATCGCGGCGGGTTGGGTCGTTCTCGTCCAGCACCGACGGGTCCAGGTACATGGTGATGGCTTCTGGCCTTCCCGGATGGGCGTTGAGGAAGACGAACGCGTCGCCTCCTCTGAGTGCCGGGTCCTTTTCCGCACGGGCCTGGAACGCTGCCATGAGCGAGCCACCTCCAGAGTTGCCGATGAAGACCAGTTTCTTGACGGGCGTGTTCTCGACCAACCACTTCGTGCCCGCCGCCACGTCGTCGAGAGCCTTTTCCAAGATGAATTTCTCCTCCATCTGGCGATACCGGATCCCAAAACCGAGCACGCCGTAGCCGCGATGCGCCAGCGGGCCGGATAGGTAGTGGTTGGAGAAGTCAGCCGAGTGGTGGCACAGCATGAATGCCACCTCCGGGTTGCGGTGTTTGGGCTTCCAGTAGGAACCGATGCAGGGCCATTGTCCTGTGAGAGCGCGAGTAGAAGACGCAGACTCGACGCCGACGAACTGCGACTCGACATCGTGGTATATCTTGTGTCGGAACTGGCTAGTCATCCCCAGCGCCATTGCTTTAAATCGATTGTGCCTGTTGAATGGATATATATATCTTTCGAAAACTAAATCTTATCTGGGGCTTCTCTCGATCCTGCGCGAGAAAGATAATAGGATAACAGCCCGTTTTGAGGAAATGGAGATGTACACTGTCGCCAGATGAGGTTCAATGATGTACGTATAAATTAAATATCACAGGCTACACTTGGACGAAGGTCTTCAGGTCGTATAGAGCTTTTTGAGGATTTCAGCTGTCATTCAGCTATCCTATTTGATCATTTCGTGGCTTGAACACGCCCAATTGACTGCACAGCCCGAAACGAATTTGTCAGCTGGGTAACCTAGTGAACAGACAGCTTTCGACCCGGTGGCTGCCATCGAGTGGTGATCCCGACAAGAAAAGGGGCAACATGGGTGAACCGGAAAAAGCCACAGGATACCTACAGTATCCCGCCAGTCAGAACGACCGGGAAACTTTGGGACCCAAAACTCGTCCGCGGAGACTAAGGAACTGTAATGACTTCCCTATGATGGGACACCATGCTCATTTCCCCTTACATGCAGAAAAGGCTGACATAACAGGTTGTTCCATAGCAGTGTAACACGATTTATTGAACGTTGCCCTCGATTTGTGGACGTGACGATCGGAAAACACTCGAGACCGAAATACCTCGCTGCGGACCAGATTCCGACGAGGCATCGACTTCTCTCTGATTTCAAACATTCTCTGCTTGTAAAAGGTTCCTGACTAATTTATCCTCTTCTGCCCTGAGCAGATGTTGAAAAATAAATGTTACTGGATAACTATTTCTCCATTCGTTAAGCCAAAACTTCTGGCTTTTTTTCAGGTATCAGTCTGTCAATTTCGTGTTTCACAGGACTTCTCCGTTTCAACAACAATCCAGTATTGGTTTTCAGTCGTTCCATGCTCAAAGCTCAGCTGCGCCGTAATTAATTTGGGTCATCCAAGAGGGCTGATAGATACAGAAATCGAGATAGCTTTGATCAAGCCAAGCTTATCCATGGAGATTATTCAGGCACAAGGACGTTTGTCCGCCAACAAATCTTATCGGAATTGAAAAGGCTCGGAGAAGCATTCCTAGCGAGTTGCAGTTGTTTAGTCGAAGAACGCTTTTTGTTTTGAACCTATAGATACACATCTTTTGGGGGGGCATATTACTCACATCCAGCGTCCATTCCTGGGAGAAAAGGTCGAGGTCAACATGTTCAATCTCGTCAGTGAGGAAAGAAGACAGGAGCATGTTCGTCTCAGTCTGGATGACACTCTTGTCCACCAAGCCCGGGTTGTTTGCCTGTTGCTCGAGCTCCGCCACGATCCCTGCATTGAATAGGTTTTCATCTACGGGGGACGCCACCGAAAGGGCTGCTTGGTAAAAGACATCGTTCTGCTGCCGATCGTTGCTTGATGCAATTTGACCAATGCCCGACTCGGAGAATTTGGCTCGAAGCAGAGGGATTGCTTCGACTGCGAGATGGGATATCTCACTGAGGACCTCGAGCGCGGCGATGACGGTCGAGAACATGGACATCACCGATTGTGGGCTGATCTGTTGCTTGGCATGCAGTTGAAACAAAGACGAGCCGGTCCGGACCAAGGCAGCCGTCATGTAGTCTGGGTACGGGTCAAGGAGGAGAATACTGGGCAATCCTGGTCCCGCGTCGTGCTGCGTAAAATCTGTTCGCATGGCAAGACTGACCGCATTGACAATGTTTCGGCAGGCGCATAGGCGAAGAGAATATGGACTCGAGTCGGTATCGGTGAAGACGAGGGTATCTGGACACGAGTCTGCTAAGATAAGACTGCCCATCTGAAACTGAATCTTTAGGAGAGCTGCGGTTTTCTTTAGTAGCCCGTCTCTCCCAGCTTGTTTGCTTTTCGAGGCGAACTTACTATAACTCATTTGAGTGGAACGGCTCAGATAGATAAAATCTCGTTGACACAGAGACAGGAGCGGTTCAAAAACCTCCTCAAAACGGTTACTGTCTCGCCTGACGGCTTCGAGGGCTTCATCCAGGGTAATTTCGGACACTTGATGGTATATGGCATCTTGCACGCGAATAATGGCCGCCCAGACCAAGACTTTGAACGCAAATGCGTGCTGCAGGATGATGATGACTTTGCTGTCATCAAGCGGCGCACGAAGGTTGTGGAGAGCCCGATGTTCTTGTTCAAACACGTCAGTTCGCCTTCGGATTGTGCTCCATACCTTGACTTCGCCGCTTCTTCCCGGTAACATGATCGAGGGTCGGCATCGAGTCAAAGATCGAGTCGTGTCCAAGATAATTCCAAACCAGTACATGATGTCAGCCTTGACCTTGAACTCGTCCTCAATGCCGGGCTGCTGATCGGAGGGCCAGTGAGATTGACTGTTCGCCGCTCGAGGATACACTTCCGGCGCAAGTAGTCTTGCAATCGGATCTGCATGAGCCAGTGTGTCCGGCACGTTGGAAAGCAAGTGATTGTGATGATTCAGCGCCGCGTCAAAGCACAAGGTTTTGATGCCGTTTCCCTCATCGATTGAAGAGGACGGGACGATGGCAAATAGATACAGAGCCAAAATGGACCTGTATGTTGGTTTGGACATGGCCGGATATATGTTCTGTCGTGCCTGTCTCCAAAGATTTTCCGATAACTCTCGCTTCAAGTTTTTGCGGGCTTGAATGGTGTTGGCATCGCCTGTGCTGCCGCCGAGGGAGAGCCATCGGACCGCATAGGCGTACACGGCAAAGGTAAGAGCACGATTGATGCCATTGTTGACATCTTGGCGGATGGTTTCGGCAAAGTGATCATTGTGGTTCGTCGGTGAACCTCCCGTCTCGCTGTCCAGGGTGATTGCAAGTCGTGAGATCAGCGTCGTAGGGGCCTACATAAATTTACATATTCTGCGTCAGTACGCACAGGGTTGAGGTTGACACCGAGGTAGACTGACATTGCTTGATTGGACAAAGGGGCATCCTGAACCACCTATCCACAGCCCTATCCTTGGTTCGAGCAAAGTAGTGAAGACATTCCACAAGATTTGGTGCAGCTGCAGAGCTTGCTGTGTCCGAGATAGGGAATCTTGGCCTGTTGATGGGAGGGGAGCTATCTGGTGGCTGTTATCCACTGGCACAGGACGGTCAGCAGTCGGATCCGCGGATTTTGCTTGCGCAATGGTATTCTTTTGTGAATTCACTCTTTGTTTGTGGCTTGCCGGGACTCTGTTCGGATCGTTCAGTCGAATGCGGCTTTGGGAAAAGGTACACTTCAGCCCCTTGCGGGCACAGTTGAAGCAAGAATCGCCACTTTGCAATCTCGAATTACAGCCGAGTCTCGACTGACGGCAGGCATCGCAGCTCGAGTATGGCTTTCCTTGAGGCATCGGGTCTGAGAGAGCTAGAAACCCGATCACTCTAGTAGATGCATAGGCGAGACGCAGACAATAATATTACCCGTTGTGGCTTCAAGGGAAGTTGAGAACGTCACGCCAAGGCCAAGGCGGGGATTTCCCCAGCCCGGGTTTGGCGGGGCAAGTCCGGGGAAGAATTGGAAGCGTAAGGGAGAGCGGAGCCAGAGAGCTGGCCAGAGTAAGAGCCCTGAGGGTTTGTAGCTCATGGAAGCGTATTCAGGCAAAAGTTGACAGACCTCGACTCTATGGACCAAATCATGTGACGGAACACTCCACACTCTGGCCAATATCATTTAGTATGCCCTCTATAACAGGCCTCGTCGTCAGTCAATGAATAGACCCCCAGACACGATAACGTGAGTGCCATTGATCCATCGTGCCTTTTCGTCACAAAACATGGCCACCGCGTAAGCAATCTCGCTCGGAGTGCCCGCCCTTGGTGCCACTGGTGTCTGTGAGTAGATGGAATTCAGGTATGTGGAAATCTCCTTGAGTGCACCACGAGCCTCCGAAAGTCCTTCTGTCGATGTTGGTCCTGGACTGACTGCGTTGACAGTACACCCATATACTGGGGGCAGTTCTTTGGCCCAGCATCGCGTAAAAGACTCGACCATGCCCTTGGTTCCGGCGTATATCGTCTGGCCGGGTCCTGGATACTTGCTGGACGAGCTCACAATATTGACAATCCTTCCCGATCCCCTTGTCATGTGCTTCACGGCAGCCTGGGTCAAGAGGAAAACACCTCGGCCGTTGACATTGACCAGTCGGTCCCATTGCTCCAACGTCTGTTCTTCGAGTGGCGCGCTCGAAATGACGCCCGCATTGTTGACGAGGATGTCAAGTCGACCGAACTTTGTGACGGTCTCGGCAACCAGTATGTTTGGTCCATTGATGGTAGACAAATCGGCTTCAACGATGATTCCAGGTGATTGGAGCGAGGCATACACTTTCTCTGCCCCTGCTTTCCATGCCGGACTTGGATAGTTGATTACAACCGTTGCCCCTCTGCCCGACAATTCCTGCACAATCGCCGCTCCTATACCTTGCGAAGACCCAGACACAACAGCAACCTTGCCTGATAGACTGCTACACCCTTGTAATTGTGCCTGGTAACTTATCGACGACATGGTTGTCAATGGGATTTGGATTGGGCAAATTTGTGGCGGCACAACAAGTATCTTGCCGATCTGCTGTAGTGTTTTATCCCCCTGAATTTCGTGTTTCACATGTAAATTACACCCTGTGATCGGTGATCCGTTCTATACCCCGGAGGCCACCAACTTGACTCTTCAGTCCCCATGGGGAGGGAGAAAGCGCGAACTGTCTAGAGGGTCGTGGAGCTTTCCGATCACCTGACCTGGAACCGCTTGCGGGTAAAGCGCACTTCGGGTGTTGCGTTGGTGCCAGACCATTATGTCAAGCGACATCAATTGGGCGTTTAGTATAGCCTTTCCGCGGGCAATGGGTATGGCTTCATTGAAAGGTCGACTCATCCGAGCTCGAAGCCAGTCGCAAGCCTCACAGACCAGCAGGATCAGCAATAGAAGCACCTGAAGCCGTTACATATATATCGAGCATGTGTAAGACTCCACTCTCACTGAGCAGAAAGACCAACCCAGACTACTCATTGTGCAGTGAGCCAACGAGTCGTTCGCCGCTTGGAGAGAGCCATATCCCTCCACCTCCTGTTTGCTGTTAAAGATGACGGGCTTCCAACTTCGTACGCTCAAACAGTTGGATGATACCGAAGGAACTGTTCGGTTGCACGATGGTAAGGCAGCCCTCGTATATGTCTACCTTGGAGTGCTGCTCATACTCTTGAAGCAAGGGGCCGGAGTCATGAATTTGGAGACCACGACTTGGTGCTCTTCCCTCCCGTCTCTCAAGATCCCAACGACCCGCTACGATGGCCAGCATGGAGAAAATGGGTCGCCTTTGGCAGTATGTGTGTACTGGCCTTCCTTTCCAATGCTGCTGTGGCCGGAGTCTATCCCGCCTTCGTGGAGATCTCAGTCGAATTCGCAACGCCATATGCTCAAGTGACAGAGCTATCGTCGTACCTGGTCTTGATTATCGGCTGCAGCGTAAGAGGAAAAAACCATTTATCCTTGCCGTACACTAATTGCTAATATTGAGGGGTAGAACTTTGTTTGGGTTCCTTTGGCTGTCTATTATGGCAAGAGACCAATCTTCCTTGTCAGCTCGGCGCTTCTGGTTGCTTCTACAGCCTGGGCAGCTCGCGCCACTAGCTTTGAGAGCCTGCTTGCCGCATCGGCGCTGACTGGAGTCGCCGCTGGCTCTACAGAAGCAATTGGCGCCGCCATTGTCAACGTGAGTCACGTCCTTGCTGTGCTATGGCGCCCCTAGCTTACAACACATAATACAGGATATCTATTTCCTGCACCAAAGGGCCACTAAGATGAGTATCTACATCCTTTCTCTGGCCTTAGCAAACAGCTTAGGCCCCTTGATCTGCGGATACATCATTCAAGGCAAGTCTTCTGCTGTTGCTTCAAATCAGGCAACTCCCCTCTGATCATGTGTGCTTCAGGTATTGGATGGCGTTGGGTCAAGGGCATCATCTCCATCCTGTCAGGCGTCAACTTTGTAATGATCTTGTTCCTTGTCCCCGAAAGTCGGTTTAAACGAGACTTAACTCAAGTTGAGGACGTCAATGCAGTTCAGCCTCGAGAGAGCATTATTGATGGAGAAGATCCTGCTGAAAAAGAAAGCACTCTGGCAAATGAATTCGAACTGGCACCGATTCCGACAAATTCCTCGACAATACCATCCAAGATGTCCCAGATGCAGCTTCTCGCATTTTGCTCAGGCGTCCCCAAAGACATGAATCTCTTGGAACTGTTCCTCCGCCCTTTCCCACTCATTGCTTATCCGGCTGTTCTTTGGGCCACTTTAGCTTGTCAGTCCCCATCCCTAGAAGAGCTTTTGTTCCCTCTCTCTGATATATTTGAACAGATGCCGTCGCGCTGGCTACAAGTGTCATGTCATCCGTCGTCAACCCTGCTGTCTTACAAGCACCCCCGTACAACTTCAGCAGCGGCACCAATGGATTGATCAACATCCCCAGCTTGATCGGCAATCTGGTCGGCGGCTTCCTGGGCGGCTGGTGCACAGATTGGGTCGCCGACAAATGGAGTATCCGCAACCAAGGGATTTTCAACCCAGAGGTCCGACTCAGTATGATCACAATCCCACTCATTCTTACGACGATTGGAATGGCTCTCTTCGGAGCAGGACTGGAGGAGAAATGGAGCTGGCCTGGCTTGTTTGTATCTTTCGGCCTGATCAGTGTAACTTTAACCGCCACAAGCAGCATCTGTATGACCTATGTCCTGGATGCGTACTATCCGGCAGCGGCAGAGGCATTGTTGTTAGTTAATGCCCTGAAGAACATCATCGCCTTTGGATTCATCTACGCCGTGTCTCCCTGGGTTTCGAAAGTCGGCTTCAAAGCGGTGAGTTCTCCGTTTCTCCCTTCACAAGCGACCCACTCTAATAAGGTCATGGCTATCATGCAGGCTCTAGGTGAGATGGCGGCAATCTTCTTTGGCATCACTGCTCTGGGATACGTTTTGATGGCCTTTGGAAAACCAATCCGACATTATACCTCGACCAAATGGCGGATCATTTTGTGGTAATAACGGCACCGATGTCACAACCAATTTGCTTGGTTGAACACTCTCCCTCGCTCGGGGATCTTCAATCTTCTCATTTGGAGCTATGACAGAAAGGCAGTGAAGTGTGCTTTTCAATAGGACTTGCTACTCGTTGCGAAAACATTCTGATTTAGTTCTAAACAAACTGCTGGTTTGCTCGATAGTTCAATATTACAAGAAAAATCCTTTGAAAGCGGTCATATTTCAAAGCAGCTATGCCTCTTTTTCCTCTAGTCAAGAGAAGTTGGATGTTAGGTAGAGACATGTTAGATGGAGTCTTTATAGTCCTCATCAAGACTTCCGATTGTCTCTGCCTTCAGTCTTCGTACTACCCACGGGAACCAAAAACATATCTGATTCTTTGCCTTGATATAGCAATTCCCCCTTCTTGCCCCCATGCTTCCCTACATGGCGAGATATCCTCCATCCACTGGCATGGACACACCCTGCACAAAGCTAGCCCTGTTGCTACACAAGAACAAGCAGGCGTCTGCAATCTCCTCGGGTCGTCCCCACCTCTTCATTGGAGTCAAAACGTCGACCGCCAGCGTTTCGATTGCTTTTCTATACTCGTCATTCCCATGAGACATGGCTGTCATCGTCGCACCGGGCAAAACCGCATTGACTCGGATTCTATGGCCCGCGTAATCGACAGCATCGGAACGTGTCAGACCCATCACGCCCGCCTTCGCGGCGCAGTAGTCAGCCGTGTTGGGCATGGCCACCATTCCCAGCCCCGAAGCGATGTTGACTATACTCCCTCGCTGGCCGCGCACCGCGGGGATGCCAGGATAGACGTCCGAGTCGAGGCTCTGAGCCTTCATCACGCGAATCTCCTCCCTCGAGCACAGGAAGCTGCCGCGTAGGTTGACAGCGACCACGCGGTCGAATTCGCTCACCGAAAGCTCCGCGGATGGCCTGCCCGTGGCATTGACACCCGCGCAATTGACCGCATAGTCGACGCGGCCGAGGTCGCGCCGGATCTTCTCAAAGGTCGCGACGATTGACGCCTCATCCGAGATGTCGCAGCCATACGCATGGATCCGTTGCGGGGAATCCTGTTCTGGGCCATGCGACGAGGCATTCTCTCTAATCTGAGACGCAACGGCTTCAACTCCAGCTTCGTTGAGGTCCACCATGGCAACACCGGAGCAGCCGGCGGTCACGAATGCTTTTGCGACGGCCAGGCCAATACCTGTGCTTCCATGCATTCTCTTGCATCAGCAAACAATGCACATCTTTCCGTTGTTTACATATGTAGAGTAATGTCTCGACACAAATCAGGGCAGCAAATCAAACAGTGCATAGACATGTCATCTGGATTTGGTAGGGCGAAAGAGTATAGTCCCTTACCCGATGCAGCACCGGTGATCACAGCTATTCCAGGTACACTAGATTCTCTTTCTCCATGTAGCGAAGCCATCCTGACCGGAATTCAGGGTAAGAAACTTGTAATCTCTGCTCTGGCCCTTTCTCTTCTTTTTTGGGCAAAACGGAAAGACTGAAAGGTTGTGGTGATATAAGAGGCTAAAGCATGTCTGGATGCTTCTAAAACAAAGAGTCTGTTACCGAGTCTTTCATAGTCATGAAACGATCCCCTTTATATCAGGTGAGTCCATTATTTTGCACCTTTTCTTTGCCCTGCCAGACATCGCAGCTTGCCCAAGGTGTGATCGGAAGAAACAAACACACCAATTTGTCATTCGGTCTAGTGCTAAATTAGACCCCAACGGGGATATATAGGTACAGATTTAAGCTTACGTTTGCTTCGGAAGGAAACTATCATCTCTATGATACTAACTCAAAAGGATAACGCCTGTTTGAACGTCTTCCCCCGGGTGAAATTGATGCTAATCTGGCTTCGAACGATCCTTTGTTTCGCCCTCAACTACGAGTCCGAGGCAGGTTGCCGCAACCGTTTTTAGCGAGCTCTTTCGTGGATGAAAGTTATCGCTTTCGCTCTCGCGTGAAACGCGAATTTGGGGAGGGCTTTCGAGATGAGGATGAATAATACAAGTCAATGAGGGACGAAAGTAACTAAAACTACGTGGGGATATATGAATGGCTTCGGTCATCACAATTCTCTGTACTGCTTCTTCGGCCATGGTTGGTAGATCCCTAACGCCTTTTCTTCCATGGCTCCCCGTTACCAGACAAGTTCTGTCTACTCCCACGGATCAGCAACCAGCTTCACCCCACTAACTTCGCCAGCAATCATCAAATCCAGAGCTTTGTTGACTCCTTCACCCAAGCCTCCAGTAATCTTCTTGATCGGTTGGGGAATCAGCTTTCCCTTTGCGAGGCTCTGTGGGAAATAGGTCCGATAAGCCCATTCTTCCACCCCAGTCGTGTCTTCCTCAGCAATGATGTCTGGCCACGAGCCAAACACCCGCTTGACGCCGTCTGGTAACGTCTCTGGGCCAAAAGCGGGCAACGTTGCGAGGACGTCTCCCCCACCTTGTGCCGCCAGAACGGCAGCGTTGACGGCGACAGTGGGAGGCAAGGCAATCACATCGGCGACCAGGTCATACGGGCCCTGAGCCACCAATTCCTTGACGAGAGCGTCCTGTGGCTGGGTGTGGTCTATGACAGCCGCCGCGCCGAGCTTGGACACAAAGTTCTTGTTCTTTGGAGAACTGGTCGTGACGACTTGATAGCCTGCCTGCGCCACCCACTGTACGGACAAACTGCCCACGCTGGACGACCCGCCGTAGATGAGAATCTTTTTGTTCTTCGCTGTGGCAGAATCGCCAAGACTTGGCCTTTCCAGTCCGGCGCGAACATTGAACAACCCGATCGTTGTCGTAAGATTCCCAATCAGGCTGGCAGCGGCGGTGAGATCAACACCGTCGGGCAATTTAGACGCCGCCTCAATTCGAGCCACCACGAACTTCTGAAAGGATCCGTACCGATTCCCGCCGGCGGCGAAATTTCGCCGCACAGCTACCTTGTCGCCAACCTTGAACCCGGTCACTCCCTGGCCAACTCCTTCAACGGTCCCTCCACAGGACAGACCCGGGATGAAGGGATATGGGGCAGGGAGCAATGCGAGTCTGGCTATCTTGGCTTCGACCGGGTTAAAGGAGATGACTTCGTTCTTGACGAGTATCTCGCCCGCTCCTGGTGTATACTTCTCGACCGATTTGACCTCAAGGGGAGCTTTCGCGGATGGAACAATGGCAGCTTGGTTCGCCATGATGAACGATGGAAAATTACACTGTCAAGACTCAAGAGACGCCTTAGGGTGGAAGAAATATCTATTATTCAATAGATAAAAGAGAAATTGGGGTGAAATTGGACGCATCGACAGGCTGTATTTGCGGAACAGCGTACAAAATCTCGGAAGAATATCGTCCGACTTCCACGGTCACGGATACCAGCGCTGGAGAGTTCAGTTGTTCGGGCCGTGGCCATTTCACATCCACCTGGATAGCAAAAATGTCGCACCAACGAGATCTCCGAAGCTCGAAGCAATCGATCTCACGATCACAAGGGACATACCTAAACTCCGGGAATAGCCCAGGGAGACTGGGAGGATTTACCAGCAGACGGACGAAAAGACCAAAGGTATGCGTCTGATCGGGATGAAAAGTTCCCGACTTCAAGCCCTCGAGTGGGACAAAAGGGGTTAGAACCGACCCACCGAGCCCGAAAAACTTCCTTTCTGGGGAATTTGTGCACCTTCAGTCTCCGTCCACGTGAAAAGGCCGGCACTGGGCTTCTCTCTTCGCTCGGACTCGCCCCCCAAGACTCTGGCAATCCTTTACTGCTGGAATTTCGTGAGTGGAAGCGATTTACTGTTGACGCAATTTCACATGCTCCCACAGTCTCAGAGATCCCTCCATAACTGGTGTAGAGCCCCGATTCTTTGGATAACTGTGGTCCTATTACTCTGGATGCACACGCCAGAGGACATTTTGATTTCAAACAGATAAAGACGTATTACTACATGATGGATGTGTGAACAGGTTAGGTTCGACGGACTCTACAGACTCGGCGATTTGGAGTATTCCAGTTCAGGATGTCACAAGCTTCTATCGAAAACAAATCATGCGATCGATCTGATCTGATATCCTTGCTCACCAAGCGAAAGTACACCTATCCCTTGATGAGGCTGGCCAAGGGAGCGGGGTCCTATAGTGCGACAGCCGCGGTTATTCATGATTGATCCTTGCTTTAGTAGGCCGGATGCAAAAGGAAAGAGAACAACAACTTACAGATAGGATCTCAAGTCTTGAGATGAGCAAACACCCATCGTGGTCAACGAGCTCGTAGACAGCCGCTGAAGGTCCAGTCACATCTTTCCCATCCGGCACTGGCGCCCCATAACCTCCAACAACAACGACCTTCAAGCCTTCTGGGTCTGATCCGTAGATACCATTGATGTAGTGTGTCATGCGAGGCCAGGTTTTCCAGGCCCAAATACGTTGCTCGATTAATGCTGGTCCGATATCAGTCCTTCAAAATCCCATAAAAAATACTATTTATCTGAGACAGAAGTTTACCTGGACGTCCACGATAGACCAGAACAGGCGAAAGGTGGTATGTCGCCTCTTCGGTGAACAGGTGACCAAATGCCTCGGCTCCTTCAAGGGTTTCGTCGTCAAGCAGATGAAAAAATTTCTTGAGAAATGATACCGTGCGCTCTGGTACGGTTGTAGGTGGGAAGATGACACTAGAAGACATTTTTTCTGTCTCTTCGACTTTAATCTCGCCGCCGAAGCCAGTGCATCAGAAGTTCAAACGGTACTTCGAGTATTCGAAAGACTCATTACTACAGTCAGCCTTCAAAGGCGAGGTATTGTATATTACTGCAGATAGATGCTAGATGTCGAAATGCCTGCAGAGCTTTCATTGTTTCGTCCGCGGGAGGAAGAGGGGTGAAAGTTTGCGCCTCCGCGGAGCCTAGGGTAGATACCACGTTTATGTCCGATCCCCGAGCTCGCGACGACTCTCTTTTGAGATCGCAATTGACGTGGTGCGTGATTTTGACGAAAAGAAAACACATATTTCAAAATCATGAATGGATCTTTCTGATCCGAACGAATTGGGGACTAAATTGAGCGTGTGTGCTGCATTGACTTCTTACAAGACCTCTCTCCCCGGCAATCATGGCATCGACAAGAATTGCGATAGCAGGATTTACTGGCAGAGTCGCTCAATACATCGCCTCCCACCTTCTGCAACGGTCGAATAATGTCCAAGTGATTGGCATTTGCCGAGATCCTAGCAAACTCCCTGCCACCATCGCCAAACATCCGCAAGTCGAGACGTGGAGAGCGGATTTTGCGGATCGCATAACCATCGAAAAGGCTCTCCACAATGTGTCGACATGTGTTTGCTGCTACCGCGGTGATGCGGACGTGGTGAACAGCGGCCAACGAGTTCTGATCGATGCCTGTATCTCTCAGAACGTGCAACGATACTTCGCGTCGGACTTTTCTTTCGATTACCGGCCCTTGAAGATGGGGGAGTTTCCCTTCAAAGATTTTCAGCTCCAGATCGATGACTATCTGAAAGAGAAAGAGAAGGAAGGAAGCAATCTCAAAGCCGTCCACATTCTCAACGGCGGATTTATGGAGGCCATCCTGACACAGTTTATGGGCGTGCTGGATGTCGATTCGACAAAGATTCGATATTGGGGTACCGGAGACGAACCTTGGGACATGACCTCAACGGAAGATACCGCCCGGTTTACCGCAGAGGTTATTTGCGATGAGAGCGCGACGGGTGTTTTGAAAGGTATGCTTTTGATCCTTTACCCAAAGAATTGAAATCCCCTCACGACTCACCTAACATTCAAGTCCACAGTTCGGGGAGATAGCAAATCTGCCAAGGAAATGGCCGACGTTCTTGAGAAAGAATACGGCGTGCGATTCACATTGGAGAATCTGGGATCTTTGGATGACCTGTACCAGAAAATGGTATCAGCAAGACAAGCAAATCCCAAAGAGCCGTGGAAATGGCTCGGTATGCACTACAACTACTTCACCATCAACGGATCGACCTTGTTAGGCGACGGTACAGACAACCACAGATATCCTCATCTGAATGTGGAGGATTTTGCTTCGTTCTGCAGCAAGCATCGTCTAGAACAGCTCCCGAATCTTTTTAACTAGGAGATATATAGAGGAGTACTGAGAATCTGTTGAAGTACGACCCAAACTTCGTAACAAACTCATACACGGAGTAATACTTTTGGCATTTTTCTCCCTTTTTCGGCCTTTCGGTTGACCATCTTCACAGTAATGGCAGTAGATTTTGCTTGTTCATCCTCGATTCCGTCCTGTCGGGATCTATGCAGAATGCAAGCCTGTGGCTCTGTCCGATCATGTGAGGATGATGGGAGCCAAGTGTGTCTCCAGCTCGACTCCATTTCCATCGATCAAAAGCTCCACCATGTGACGGGGGGAGGACACTTGAGCCAAATCGACCATAAAAGTTGATGATTGAGAAAGGATACTTGATCTGGCTTCCAATATCTCTCAGCACCTTATATCATCACACCCCTCCAAATCAGCTTGACAACATTCCTGATCATAACCACCAATTCCATGGCTTCCGGCCAGGAGGAGCATCTTTGTTTGACAATCACCATCTATCGAAAACCTGGCATGGAGCCGCAAGAGTTTGTCGACCACATGCACAAAGTCCACGCCGTGATATGTGCGGACCTAATGGAGGAATATGGCATCGTTGAGTACACTCAGGTAAGACTTCACTTGCTGTTTTTGGAGACCCTTAGTAATGCCATCTAGACGCACATCAGTCCCGAAACCAGGGCGGGAATCCGTGAGTTCTTTCCAGACCCGACATTTGCGCCATTCTCGGACTTCGATGCAGTCGTGCAGATCACATTCAAGAGATTGGAGGATTTTGTCAGATACCGCCACGACAAGTATTTCGAGGAGGTCATCATGCCCGATCACGCGAACTTCGCCGATATTGGTAGAACTACGTAAGTTACACTCCCGCACAAAGAGAAATGGATCAAAATTTGTGTCAACATAATGAGAAAGGCTGACTGGTACAAATTTGGTGCGAAACCGAATAGAATGACAGTTGGGAAAAAAGTGTGGTTTGTCAAGGATGGAAAGGCACAGGTCCATAACCATTTTGTAGAGTCAGGAAAAGAAATGAGAACGGAAGAGCGGATGGATTTTTGTCAGACACGATCAATTGAGACAGGTTAGAAAATGGATGGTGTAAGATTTGTCCAACGATGGCTTGAATGATCACATTTGAAATTCTATCCAGTTTATCTGTTTGCTTGTTGACCAAAGGAAGAGTGAGACTGCTTGAGCCCGCGTCGAGAACATTTTCCTCGTAACTCTGCTATTGCTATTCTCGCCCCCGCGGAAATCATTTGAGCCAGACTTCCCACGGGGAGCATTTACTTCGTAGGCACCTCGTGTTCGACGAGTAAAGCCCGAGTTCCTTGTTCCCCTCATCCAGTACTAGTACGTTACGGGCATTGCTCGGAAGACCCGAGCGCAGGTCATTGCCTCAATAAGGCAAAATCAAATTAATGGGTCTCGTATCTAAGTTCAACATATTGTTTTATCAGATTCCCTCGTCTCCCGGTTGAACAGAACTGTATCCTCAGTTGGTTCAAAAATCTTCACATTTCAGCCCTTGTATCCTTGACACAATACGACTGAACGGCTGAAAATGCAGCAGCGTTTGAAAACCATTACCCTGCACGGACATATCTCCTCCCCCAATGTCCTCAAATGTGCAATCACTATGGAATACCTGGATGTTCCCTACGAGGTGAAAATCTGGGACATTGTCTTCGACAGGACGAAAGGCCGCAACCTCGACAATTCCCTCGATAAGTTGAGCCCCAATGGCCGAGTGCCTGTAATCAATGACCCAAATACGGGCGTAGAGCTGTGGGAGAGCGGCGCCATTGTCAACTATCTCAAACGCCAGTATGACCACACGGCCATGTTGGGGCCGAAGGGTGATTCTGAGCAGTCGATCAAGGACCGGGCCGAGCTGGACAAATGGGAAATGCTCTTGCTGACTACGATTGGGCCCATGACCGGCCAGCTGGTGTGGTTCTCGTTGGTCCCCCTTTCTTTGATGACATTATCTGCTTTCCAGAATGCCGAAAACTTTTGTCGCCCACTGTTCTGCTCTGTGTATCTTAGATTGACTATATGCTAACTTCTGCGATTTGCGAGAGAACAGCATGTATCACCACGTACCCAACGAAGACGCCATCGACCGGTACTTGAAACAGGTGTATCGGTACTACGACGTGGTCGAAGAGCAACTCAAGACGACGGGTGGCAAAAGTATTTGTCCGTGGGGGTTTTCCTCGGCGGACATCCAGTATCAGCCGTGGTTATCTCGTCCGACTTATATCAACGTGTCTTTGGATGGCTATCCCAACATCCGTAAGTGGGTGGAGCTCATGGGCAAGGAGCAACAGATCCAGAATGCCTACCAGAGGATCAAGGAGGCTTCTGAAAAAGCAGGGCATTGATAGGGAGCTCGAGGATGAATATGATCTGGCTTGGGCCCCTTTGCTTTCTTGCTAGAATCCTACCGAAATAAAGCGCCAAGTTACAGCCTCTTCCCGGTTGAACAATTTGGGTACCTTGGTTAGAAATATGGCAGTAACACGCTCATGGTCGAGAAGCAGTCGATATCCCCTGAATGTTTCCGTCGTTCAACTCCATTCTTTTTCAAGCTACTCGTTCGGATTAATCCACCACAATAAGAAGAGGATGAACGACGCATACATGTTTGGCTCGACACAGTTTCGACAAGTAGCACTCATAATTTCTCACCACCTGTGGACCAGTCTGAAACCCTGAGACTTCTTGAAACCTCTTGATGGTCGAATTTAGAATCACTCCAAATAACGTTTCGCCCATTATGAGTGTCGGATAAAAGGCTACTATACAATATAACTAGTGGACTGTGCTGGCCGGGTACGACGGATACTTGGATCCGAAAGAGACACTCAGTCTTTATTCTTTTATACTTCATCTTGGTGGGGAGAAAACTTGCATAGTTGATCTCCCTCCTCATTCATAGGCATCTGGCAGTCGAGGTAGGTTTACTACTGTAACTTGAGACATATTCTCCACCATTTCTCGGTCCATTTCTCTTCCAGATTCTCTACCACTCGTCAATCCGACAATCAAACATCAACATGGAATACCATACCAACGGGAAAAGGTTAAGCACATCAAAAGTTGCATTAGTCACGGCAAGCTCTGCTGGGTTGGGCGCCGCAACGGCAAAAGCCCTAGCATCTGAGGGTTTCTAGGTGGTGATTAACTACCATACCAGCAAGGACAAAGCCGAGAATATCGTATCTAAGATTGAGACTATTCAGAAAAACATGTTGGCGTCAATAGCTTCAAGAACTCCGACAGATGGTGCAGAAGCAGGGGTGCAGACGGAGGCAGATACAACTATTTCAGCTGAATCAGCCTCAGCCTCAGATTTTAACGGATTACGAAATGGCGGCGGCCACCAGGAGACCCAGGGACGACAAGTTCTCGCCGTGCAGGCCGATGTGAGCAAGCGCCAGGACATCCAACATCTCATATCGACCACGATAACCCACTTCGGTCGACTGGACATCGTGGTCTCGAACCAGGGCTGGACACGCATTTGCGACTTTGCCGATTTGGACGACAACATCCTCGAGGCCGACTGGGACACCTGCTTCAACGTCAACGTCAAGTCGCATCTCTACTTGTTTCACGCGGCGAGGCCGTATCTGATCGCCACGAAGGGGCTTTTCGTCAGCGTGGCTTCTCTCGCGGGCGAGGTTCCGAGCGGAAGTTCCATCGTACGTAGATCTTCCACTTCCTTCGTCTTGTCTTCTAGTCTCCTCCCATTTGATTTCACTAACTCATCTTTCGAAAAATGAATAGCCATACTCGGTCACCAAAGCCGCCCTGATTCACCTGATCAAAAGCCTCGCCAAGATATCCGGGCCAGAAATTCGTGTCAACTCGGTATCGCCCGGGATCCTGCTCACGGTCAGTACAAAACGCCCTTGATTTTGTCTCCAGAGCTTGTATGGAAGGGGGAAGAGAGTGGGGGAAGAGTGAGCCTGCATCTACCGGTGCTGACATTGAGATCAATATGAGATAGGAATGGGGTCAAAAGTTCCCTCAGGACAGACTGGATGCGGCGACTCAACGGAGTGTGCTCAAGAGACTGGCGGATATCGATGTAAGTGTGAAGTGTTTTCTCCAAATCCTCTCCATCCTCTACCAGGCTGTGCTTTGCAATCCCGCAGACGTACACCTGTTATTCGAGCATATTACAACCTTTGCTTAGATGTTAATGTTGAACACTATGTGGAGAAACTGAACAAGTTCTTTGTATATAGGACGTAGTACAGCAGATCGTTCTGCTCGCCACGACGAGGTCTGTCACTGGTCAGAACATGGTGATCGACGCCGGCTGGTCTTCTGCTTAGGAGAAGTCATTTGCAACTTCCGGATGCACTCGCCGCTGCTGCTGTCAGTGGATATTGGGGAACTAAAGAGTATTGGCATGCGGCCAGAGATCGATCAAACGTGCACCTTTTGCTCTCTCAGTGGCTATATAGTCAGCTCGCGATGTAGCCCTCCTTGCAACCGCGCAGTACCAATAGCCGCATAACATTGAAAGTTTTCTTTTGACAGATCAAACTAATAATCTCATTCTCATTCATCCAGACACGACCTTCGGAAGCAAGACCATATATCCCCAGGGCCGAAACCTTCCTTCTGCTGGTGCAACTGGCAAAATAGTTCCCAGATAAGCTAGCTAGCTTGCAGCTGCAGCAGCGTTGGAGCCAAATTGTGGCAATGACAGGTCCTTGCGCGTCTGCTCGATCCATTCAACCTTATCTCCCAATAGTTCTGCCGCACGCAAGTCACCGGATCTTGCATGAGCCTCGAAGTTTTCGGCTCTTGCTGCACGTCCACACAGCCTACCCAATTTGCCGGATGCCTCGGGGTTTCTGACTTCCTGATAGGTCTGGGTACGCAGAAACTTGCCGACCCAAAGACCTCCTGTGTAACGGGATGCTTTACGCGTCGGAAGGACGTGGTTGGTTCCGATGCACTGCCGCCAACGGGTCAGACCAGAGACCAAAGAACGAATGCGGAAATTGGCTTCCGCTTTTGCTTACCTTGTCCCCGTAAGACACGCAAGTGTTCTTGCCCAAGAAGATGGCGCCGTAATTGGTCATCTTTTCGAGCGCCTCGCGCGGATTTTGCGTCAAGATCTGAACGTGCTCTGACGCATATTCATCGGCGACCTTGTATGCCTCGTCTAATGAGTCTGTCACGATCACCTCGCCCAAGGCCTTCCACGAGACCGACGCAATAGGAGCGGTCGGCAAGACCTTCAACAGCTTGTCGATACAGCGCAACGTCTCCCTCCCGACCTTCTCGCTGTTGGTGATCAGTTGCGCTGGAGTGTCTGGCCCGTGCTCGCATTGCGAAAGGAGGTCGACGGCGCACATATACGGGTCTGCGTGCTCGTCGGCGACGACCAGGACTTCTGTCGGTCCGGCAAATAGGTCAATGCCGACCTGACCGAACATTTGACGCTTCGCCTCGGCCACGAAGGCGTTACCGGGCCCGGCGAGGAAATCGACTTTGGCGATTGTCTCGGTGCCCAGTGACATGGCGGCAATCGCTTGGACACCGCCCAGGATGAAAATCTCGTCGGCACCAGCAAGGTGCATGGCGGAGATGGTCGCGGCTGGAAGTTGCCCGGCGATAGGTGGTGTGCAGCCGATTACATGCTTGACCCCGGCGACCTTGGCTGTGAGGATAGTCATGTGGGCGCTAGCTAGGAGGGGATATCTTCCTCCTGGGATATAGCTACATGGTCCTCGTCGTTAGTGAAGAGTCACCACGGACAGAGGCTCTTTTGTTATTACCATCCTACTCTCGCAATGGGATTGTTTTTCTGGCCCAGGAAGACTCCCGGCTGAATCTCGAGTTCAAACTCTTGGAGAGCGCTCTTTTGTCTCTCGGCAAAAGTCCGAATGTTTTGCTGGACCTCCTTGATATCTTGAATGATCTGTGGGTCGACAGAGGCAATGATTTCGTCGATCTGTTTCGCAGACAGCTTGAAATCCGTTGGCGACCACGAGTCGAACTTCTGAGAGTACTGTCTGACAGCGGCATCCCCATCGCTTCTGATATTATCGATAACGCCCTTGACGATGCTGGAAACATCTGCCGCCGGGGCCTGTTGAACGGTAGAGTCCGCTTTAGATTTGAGTCTTTGCACGCCCATCTTCACTGTGCCGTATGATCTCGCTGAACCCGTCTTCAGTTTGCGTTTTTCTTGAAAATAAAATAAGAATGGACGATCGATATTCAATGATCTTCATGGCAAGCCATTGATTGCTGTTTCCAGGGCTTTCTCGCCGTGAACGTCGCGTCATTTCGGACATAGCCGGTCTTGCCATTAGCCTTTGCGAGGAGGCCCTCGGTCCAACGATCTTCTCAGCGCGCGGGGTTTCTACATAAGACTGCCGACAGAGCCCCATTGCCACAGTTTCGGTGGGTTGGTCACCCAGATCCTGGACCGCCGAGTCCACGACTGTGGGCGATAGAACTGTGTCTATATGAGGAAATTTCTTGATCTGGTTGCATCCACGTGATCGGAATGGATGGTTTCAGTCCATGGGAAGGGTTATAAGAGTCCAGCTATAGGCAAGGCTAACAACATGGGCCCTTTCCAATCTGCTCGAGACCGAAGTGAAGCAATTCGGGATGCCGCAGATTCCGCTTTTGAGCGGCCTTTCGCCCGAAGTCGGTCCCATTGCCTATGGGATGATGGGTCTGACATGGGATGACCCTAACCCACCCAAAGAGCAGAGCCTGGCCACCATGCGAGCCGCGTTCGAAGCGGGAGCAACGCTTTGGAACGCAGGTACCCTGTACGGCACTCCTGAGTACAACTCGAGCCACTTACTGGCCGAGTATTTCTCACGATACCCCGAAGACGCAGACAAGGTTGTCGTCTCCATCAAGGGAGCCACGGTTCCTCCTCCCAAATATATTGACGGTACACCGGGGAACATACGACGAGATATCGACCGTTGCCTTTCGGTCCTCAGCGGCAAGAAAGCAATCGACATATTCGAGCTGGGACGAGTTGATCCGCTCGTGCCCATCGAAGAATCTCTGCAAGCACTGAGCGCGCTCGCAAAAGAAGGCAAAATTCGAGGCATCGGTTTAACTGAAGTCAGCGCCGAAACCATTCGTCGTGCCGTCGCCGTGATACCGATTGCAGCCGTCGAGGTGGAGCTCTCTCTCGCGGCTACCGACGTTCTTTACAACGGCATCGCCGCGACGTGTGCCGAGCTGAATATCCCGCTCGTAGCATGGGGCGCCATGGGACGGGGCATGTTCACGACCAAACACGTCCAGTGCAATGCAGACATTCCGGAGGGTGACCACCGCAAACACATGCCGAAATTCCAGGACGACGTGCTGCAGCAGAACAACCGACTGATCGACGAGGTCGCGAAACTGGCCGAGAGAAAGCAATGTACCTTGCCGCAAGTGGCGTTGGCATGGGTGTCGACATTGTCGCAGAGTATAATGCCGGATAGGACGAGGTTACCGCTGATCATCCCGCTGGCGGGCTCGTCAGCACCGCAGAGGGTCGAGGAGAATATGAAAGCAGTCGACGTTAAGTTGACCAAGGACGAAATGAAGGAGATTTGGGACATTTTGGAGGCGAATCCCATCAAGGGCGATCGGTATCCCCCGCATATTCAGGCGTTCAGTCAGTACTAGTCTCATTGAATATTGGTTTAGCTATCGGATACATCTAGCCTGAGTAGATGTACAAGTGCTCTAGGAGAGCACAATCGCACAAAATGTGGAGTCGCATTCGACGACCATGGGGATCTGTTCTCCGAGCAGGTCGAGGTATCTTATCAATTATATTCCTATAGCAGATAGGTAGGGCATTGCGTAGTCAAAGGGACAGATATCACCGAATTACCGTTCGTGGTTAGATGGATTAAATCCTATTCACTAGACACTAGACTTGGGCTTATGTCCTGTTCCATCCGTTCCTTCAAAAGCCCTTGTCTCACTCTGAGCCACTCATCCGTCTCTGTCCTTGTTATACATACGCTTCAGCAAAATTCCTTTCAAACACCCTTTTCAACACTTCGAATTTCGAAGTAGAGAAAGGAAACTGCTCCAACCCAGTTCAAAAGCTCTTAAGTGCCGCCATATTTGTATCGGATTTAATCTCCTTGCCCCAGATTGATCCCAAAAGAGATTTGAACAAAGAAATACATCAATCCAGCTTTCATGGCCTCGTCCATCTCGGAATACCTCGTCGTTATCCCAGATTTCGCCAATGTCCCTCCGGAAGTCCGCGCCGAAGCTCGTCCCATCCACTTACGCGAGATTCAGCCATTGGTCGATGCTAAGGTCGTTGTTATGGGTGGGGCTCTGCTGTCCCGAGTCCCTCAGCCTGGTGAGCCCCCAGCAGTCAATGGGAGCGTGATGATGGTGCAGATGGAGAGCGCGGATGCGGTGCGACAGAGACTCGAGAGCGATGTATATCACAAGAAAGCGATCTGGGACTTGGATAAGGCACAGATCATCTTGATCAAGTGCGGCTTTCGGACACCTTTGTGATGGCACTCTTTCAATGAGACCCCAGCTTCCGGTGCGACAAGTCGCTGCAGGGGCCGGCCACGGTTATACTAGAAACTTATCACCATCAAAGAGAGCAAAAGTCTCCAAAGATACTATCGAGTCCTGCTCCCTGACTGTAATCCTTATGTATTTTTCTAGGCCCGGGTATCTAGGAGCATCCAAGATATGGCTCCGATGTTTTATAGCCGTCAAAAGCGGCGGCATGCCCATCACTAGCCTGTCAAGACCATGCCCGAAGGGGTGTCGAAGCCTAAACCAAAGACGGCTTTCCCGGCAACCTCTTTACTCCTACTGGGCAAAGACTGATAGGGCAGCATGGGGTAGCCTGGCCCCTTCCAAAAGTTCTAGCTTCCCGCAATGAACCGAGGCTCAAGTGCCTTGAATGGATCAATGGACCGAACGCCAGTTCCGCCGGAGAGCAATGAAAATAAGTTTTGGTCTATCTGCGACGAGTGCCTCCTCGATATCATGCTTTGCTTCCCTGTCGTGAGCTGCGAGCCAGAGTGCTGAGAATCCATCTGCCCACCATGAAAGCCATTCAAGTGACGAAATACGTGTCCGGACCCCAAGACCTCTTTGTGACCACGCTTCCTACACCCTCCCCTCATCCCACGAAATACCTGATCAAGATCCGCGCGTGCGGCACAAACTTCTTCGACCTCCTCCAGATACAGGGTAAATACCAGCATCAACCGCCCTTGCCATGGATTGCAGGCATGGAGTTCGCGGGCGTGGTCGTGGCAACACCCACTACTCGTGAGGGGTCAAAGAGCGCAGTCGCCAGCAGTCTCGATGGCACAGTCAGCACGCAGACCAACCACAAATTCAAGGTCGGGGACAGAGTGTTCGGTGCCACACATGGGGCATATTCAAGTCACATTCTGGCAGCTGAGACCTCGTTATTTCCGGTGCCTCATGGCTGGAGCTTTGCCGATGCCGCTGGTGTGTACGTGACTACACCTACAGCTTACGGCGCCCTGGTTGTGCGAGCGAACATCCAGCCGGGCGACTGGGTGCTTGTGCATGCCGGAGCTGGAGGCGTCGGTCTATCGGCTGTACAAATCGCCAAAGCTTTCGGAGCGACTGTTGTTGCTACGGCTGGGTCGGAGCGCAAGAGGCAGGTCTGCCTGGATTTTGGGGCGGACTATGTGGTGGACTATCGAGACAAGAACTGGCCGCAGAGAGTCATTGGACTATGCGAGCAGCACAGAACAGGCAATGGAAAGCAGGGAGTGGACATCGTCTATGATCCAGTTGGTAAGTGGTCGCGATTCCTGGTGCATCGAGCCTCTCTAACGAGCTGCCGCAGGCATGATCGACCCCTCCATCAAATGCATAGCCTGGAACGGTCGGCTCCTTGTCATCGGATTCGCCGGCGGCACTATCGAGAAAGTCGCCATGAACCGAGTTCTCCTGAAGAATATCAGCATCGTTGGGCTGCATTGGGGTGCATACGCCCTGAAAGAGCAGGACACGATTCCGAAAGTCTGGAAAGGGATCTTCGATCTAATCAACTCGGGCAAGTTGAAGGGCATCACATATACCGACAAGCACTACAAGGGTCTTGAAGAGGTCCCTCAAGCATTGATTGCCTTGGGTGCGCGCGATACATGGGGCAAGGTGGTGGTGGAGCTAGATGAGCACTATGGGGAGGAAGGCAGGAGCAAGCTGTGACGACCTCCAGAGGTACGGTTTGTTGTCAAGGATCGGATTGGTCTACCAGTTAGAATGCCATGGCGTTCTTAAGTGACTTTTATGGAACCCCACGGGGAGGATTTGTACATCTGTAAGCGTGGTTCGCAGCCAAAGCTTCATTGAAGAGCGATTGCTTCGATCTCGACGTCAACGCCCTTGGGTAGTTCCCGTACAGCAACGCAAGTCCGCGCCGGTTTGTGCGAGAAGTACTTTTCATACATGGCGTTCATCTCTCCAAAGTGCTTCATGTCGGAGAGGAAGACCTGTTTAACTCAGATCAGCTTTCCGAGTTCAACAATTGAGAGAGCATAGCACTCACCCCAGCCCTAACGACCTTGCCCATCTCGCTTCCCCCAGCTTCCAGGATGGCCTTGATGTTCTTGCAGCATTGCTCGGTCTTGTCAGCAATAGAGCCCTCGACTAATTTTCCAGTCGAATCGGCGGGGATCTGTCCTGCTACCCAAATTTGGCCGGCGGCTTTGATGGCCTGGCTATAGGGCCCAGCAGCTGATAAGAGATACGACAGTCAGTTCCAATCTCCTCTCAACCCATGGATGAAGTAGAACTGGTCTTACGAGGGCAAGCATCTTTCGCGAGAATGGGAGTTAATCCGGACGACATTTTGGCCGGGTAGATGCGGAACTGGCGAGACTGTTGTCGACAGAGCAGCGAGCGAGAGAAGAGAGGATTGATATACCGCGGGGAATGGTTTAGACGATGGGAGATGCTTCGACAGGGCGTGGACATGAGGAATTGGGAGGAGAAGTCCGTCCAAGGGCGCGATATTGATGTGCCACCTGCTGGTTTTGTAGATCCAAGATTCCCACCCAGAGCAGCTTATGGATTGTGGCCGCGGAGTGTGGGAACAGAAAGGCGTCGTCTGACAGAAACAGCTGCACAGTAGTTTTTCGGTTGAGCTGCTAAAAACTATTCTGTCAGACAAGCAGATTCTGCCCCGCGGCTGACTACGTGGATCAAACTCTGCCTCAATTCTCCCAATCAAATCTTTTTCTCTATTGAAATCCAAGCACTACATTCAGTCCATCACAGCTTCACTGGCCTATAGCAATAGCCTTGCCGTTGCTCTGCATTGCTACTTGTCATGGTTACACTGGGACAACCTCCGTTCACGGCCAGCCCCGGCGTATGCGCCTCCACAGTATTGTTTTGTCTTGGTCATCAACATGTCCCAGGGCGGACAAAGGTGGGTCAATATACGCCCGTGAGCACGTCCTGGAACAGCTTGCGTGAAAATGTCCCAAACTACACATCTCCATACAACAGGATTCACCCGAGACGTCGAGGCCTGCCCGACCGTGCGTTGTTCGGCGACTCCTGAAAACGCACACCCATCTCAAGATGGGTATTGTGTGCTGGTGAGACACCTCGCTCAGAGAACCATGAATTTGGCCGACTGCCGTCAATTCGCGGAGAGAAAATAGCTTGAGAGCACAAGCCTCTGAGGTATCAGTTGCTGGCAATGATTCATGACTGATATGCCTCGCAACGGCAGACTTCGACAGATTCAAGGACGAGTTCAATCGATTCTTTTCGACCAAGGATATTGGCCAATTTCGCAATCCAGACATTTAGTAATTTTGATTTCAGCAGGTGGCTTGGGACGCTGGCCTTTTCGTTTTCGTTTGTCTTCATTTCGTTCATGGCGAAGACTCTGTGCTTTGAAGTGGCTTTCTCCATTTGCCGACTCGAGATTCCGCCGAGTCCTACATTCCCAACTCCCTCAAGATTTTCTCATTGTGCTCCCCAACTTCTGGAACTTTATCCATCCTGGCATGTAAACCCTCGACATCCTCGCCTTCAGGGACGCAGCCGGGCGGCAAAAGCGCCGGAATCACGCCTTTGGACGTCTCGACCTCGGTCCATCGGCGCCGGGCACGCAATTGAGGATGCTCCCAAACGCCTTGCATGGTGTTTACCGCCGCGTTTGCAATCTGAGCCTCGTCGAGCTTTCTCACGGCCTCGGAAACTGAATATTTCTCCAGAGCCTTGCAGATGATATTTCGCAGCTCGTCTCGGTTCTGAACACGGAGAGAATTGTTCACGAAGCGTGCATCGGTCGCCAAACTCGGGTTTCCCAGAACAATCTCGCAAAATCTCGCAAACTCCCGTTCGTTCTGAATTCCGAGCATGACTGAGCCGCCATCGCCGGTCTCGAAGGGTCCGTACGGATATATCGCTGCATGGGAGGCGCCGGTCGGTGTTGGTGCCGGCGCACCTTTATAAGTATAATATAGTGGGAAGCTCATCCATTCCACCAGACTTTCCAGCAAAGAGATGTCGATCTTGCTTCCCTTGCCAGTCCTCTGCCGCTGCATCAACGCCGCCAGGATATTGCTGTAGGCGTACATTCCCGCCGAGATGTCTGCAATGGAGATACCCACTTTCGCGGGCTCATTCCTGGTACCCGTCACAGACAGCATTCCTCCTTCGCTCTGGACGAGCAGGTCGTATGCCTTTTTGTTGGCGTAGGGCCCGTCCTGGCCGTAGCCGGAGATGTCACAGACAATCAATCGCGGATGATGGTCTTTCAGCGTTTCATATGCAAGACCTAGTCGGGCAGATGCGCCGGGAGCCAGATTCTGCACGAGCACATCGGCCTTGTGGAGAAGTTTCTTCAGGATCTCCAGGTCCTTTGGCTTCTTCAGATCCAATGCCAGACTCTCCTTTGACCGGTTTGTCCAGACGAAATGCGATGCAAGTCCGTCCACGCGAGTGTCGTAGTCTCTTGCGAAATCGCCCACTCCCGGTCTCTCGACCTTAATGACACGTGCCCCAAGATCGGCGAGCTGTCTAGTGCAGAATGGGGCGGCGATGGCTTGCTCAATGCTGACGACCGTAATGCCATCAAGAGGCCTCGGGGATTGGACTCCAGTTTCGTCTGCGGCTGTCGAGGCGAAACGGCGCTGGTAGCCATCGTGGCATGTCCTGCTGCAGTGGCTTTTTCTCGCAGTTGATGTCAAAGGGCGACTTTGGCCCTCGAGGTCCTTTAGCCGCCTTCCGTTGGGCACCGCCCTCCGGCTTAGAACTGCGCCCGACGCTAGGGCGACACTTCGAGATCGCAGATTGTTGAACATCCTTCCGTGAATTCACAGGGAACGCCAATTGTGTCGATGGAGGCACCTGTGCTTCGAAAGAGGTGAGTAAAGCAAAGGCTACAATTATTGGGACGCCGAGGCTTTTTGAATGATCAGTCGGTCAAGGCTGTGGGGGGGCCGAGCTTATGACGAGCCATGCCATTAGTCTTTCAATCTATATAACTTCCAACACGAGTTTCGAAAAGGAGAACAATTTGTTCACACGGGAAACCTCGCCGGCCCACGGAACGTCTGAGAGCGGGCCAGCGAGAAGCGGCAGCAATCTCGGAAACTGGCACCCTGGAGCTCGATGTTCGCGAGACCGAGGTCGCTGTTTCGATACAACCAATCAGCAGATGGCTGAGGATGGTGGCTGCGTCTCGAAACTCCGTTATCGGTGACCCTGTTGGCGGGGGCAATTCTAGAGCTTGAAGCTCCGGCAAACAGACGCCGTAGGATTCGACTTTCATCGCGTGCAACGCGGATGCTACATTTTCCCTCTACATCTGCGACTCGTCGCTACGGTCAAGTTTTGATGGCTCTATACAACTTATAACGCACTACATCTAGGACTGCCTACTACTTCGTTGATGGACAGGGCCATTTACGAAGACCGAGGAACATATAGGTTGTCCCTCCAACCTTCCTCACTGGACCTGTTCAAATGGATGCTTGTCAGTTCTTCCCGCGGAGCACTCTTTGAGAATGGCCAACTCTTTCTGTTATCGCTCTCTGCCTTCCTAGAAAAACCCTCCGTCGATATTGATGACCTGGACGTCTCAGTAACCTCGCTACATTCGTGGCATCACGTACTTACCGCTCCGGTTATGTAGCTGGCCTCCTTGCTCAGCAGAAAGGTGATGACCCTCGCAATCTCTTCAGGCTCGCCTAGTCGCTTCAGAGCAGTCCTGGAGCCCAGTCTATCGTATAGCTCCTCATCGGTGGCCCCGGCTTGGGTCATCGGCGTTCGGATGACGCCTCTGCTCTCGTGTAAGTGAATGGCACGTTATCCAACCCAGCGCTGCTTACGGAGCTACAGCATTGATGCGGATGCCACGGCTTCCTGACTCCTGGGCCGCGACTTTTGTCAGGCCCAAGACCGCCCACTTGCTGGCGCAGTAGGGAGCCATATATGGCAGCCCCAGCTGTCCTGCAACGCTCCCAGCATTGACCAAGGCCCCGCCATCCTTCATGTGACGCAGCTCGGCGCGCATGGAATTCTTGACGCCGTTCAAATTGACGCCCAAGATCTTATCCCATTCACCGTCCGGCACCCGGTCAACGGCGTAATCTGTCCCCTTGATGCCTTGGGTGCCCAGAATTCCCGCCATGTTTGCCGCTCCGTGAATGCTCCCAAAGTGCTGCACGACTTCCTTCATGACTGCTTCGAGGGCGTCTGGGTCCTGGACGTCACACGAGAAGGCGAGGCCTCTTCCACCGAGCTTTTCCACTTCTTCCAAGACATGCTGAGGCTTGTGGAGGTCGATGAGAGCGACATTGGCTCCTTGTTGTGTCAGGAGCGTGGACGTGCACCGTCCTAAGCCTGACGCCGCCCCGGTGACGATGTAGGTGTTCCCCTTGAGATCTGGATACGACATTTTGAGTTCAGCAACGATGCTTTTTGGCCCAGATTCAGATTCAGAGAGGTGCAGTTTCGTTGTCCGGAGCATTCTTGAACACATTGACCATGGGAATGTTTCGGGGTTTGCCGGGTTTTGGTGTCAATGCAAGCTCTGCAGGGGTGAGTTATGCACAGCAGTCTACGGCCCCATTTTGCCATTGCTGCAGGATCAGGGTCGGAGAATGCCTCCGAACCAGCCTCAAACCGGCCAAACCAGACTGTTGACGCATGGAGCACGTCTCATACCGCGTTCATAACACCAGCATAAGTCTCCATCCTCACGCACAAGGAGAGTGAGATCCTAGGACAATGTATCACCTGCACAGAAGCCGGTGGGCCGTCACCGGAGACGAGGTCATATTCCGATACCAGATGGATCGGACTCCGGCCGATTCGGAAAGCGGCTGCACTCAAAGAAATGGAAACAAAGCTCGCGCATCCTGTTCGAGGCAATCCCATCGCTTCGGTGCGGTCCGACCGCTATCCAAATGACGAAGAATTGATGTACTACGCATATATCTCCTATGGCCTGCTCGTTCTACAGATCTGTGGTAGGACAACTTGCTCCATCGAGGCGATATCTCTCGTCTTAGCTCCTAGAAGTCTATACCAGGAGCTTTGTTCACATTTCCACGATGGCACTGTTATCTGATCTGCGCATCTTCAATGGTCAGCCTGTGCCAATCACAGGTATTCTTGTGCTTGGTCTCCTGGGGTGTGGGCTATATTTTGTTCTGAGAATAGGGAGCCGGGACAAGAGACTCCCACCTGGTCCTCCGACATTGCCCATCATTGGGAATTTGCACCTGGTTCCGAAGACGAGTTTAGCATTGAAGTGAGAGAATTCTTGTTTCGCTGCCATCTGCACCGTTTTAAGCACGGCAGGACTTACCCAAAGTCGTGCAGGTTGAAAGTCTGGGGCGAGCAGTATGGAGGCATCTACTCCCTAAAGTTCGGTCCTTCCACTGTTATCGTGCTGTTCGACCGGAAAGCTGTCAATCACCTTCTCGATAAAAAGGGAGCCATATACTCGGAGCGCCCTTTCAACTATGTCCCAGGTCTTGTCACGGGCGGGGATAGCCTTGCCTTTATGAACACGACGCCACTCTGGAGACAGGAAAGAAAGGTGGCAGTTCACAACCTCTCTGTAAGAGCGCGTCGGTCCCCGTGGGGTGATATTACTTTGAGCTGACCTTTGATTCTGCAGCCTCGTGCGCTGGAAGGGCAAGTTGGTGAAATTCAGCATGCGGAGTAGGCCAGATATGGCTAATCGGTTGATATTGACTGCTGACGAACATCGTAGGTCTGTCGTCCTGTTGTCGGACCTGCTGAACAGCCCTGAGGGATACTACTCCCACATCAAGCGAATGACAGCTTCGGTGGCTTCGACAGTAGTGTTTGGTCATCGAGGCCCCGACGCCAACAATTTCTGGGCTCATGTAAGTCGCTAAAGTTTGAGTTATCGTCCAGACGCTAAGAAGTATACTCGGAGGCCGTGTACGACGCAATGGACAACTATAATGCTTCTCTTGAAGTAGGGGCCAACCCGCCGGTTGACGAGTTCCCGTTCCTTCGGTATATACCCGACTCGTTGGCTTACTGGAAACGACGAGCCAAGGGCTCATTCAAGTGCATGGACGACACGTGGAACGAAGCCCGGAGGCAGGTCAACGTTCGCCGACAGAAAGGGATCAAGCGTGACTGCATCATCGACGCTATCCTGGACGGAGAGAAACACGGCGAGCTAGAGCTCAACGACCACCAGTTGAATCACTTCATGGGGGTCTTGGTGGAAGGAGGCGCGGACACGACGGCATCCGCAATGTTGACCTCGATCATGTTCCTGGCTATGCATCCCCAATACCAGGAGAAGGCTCGCAAAGAGCTCGACGCCGTCTGTGGCACGTCCCGGTAGGCCACCCCAGGAGGAGGGCGAGAGGGCGGCTCTAGCTAATGATCCATAGGCTTCCCCAGGTTTCCGACATGGACCAGGTTCCTTACATCAATTGCATCATCAAAGAGGGCATGCGCATCCACCCAGTGTAAGTCGACCAATCTTCATGTCGATGTCGAGATGCGAGCTAACTCGTCCCCAGTCTCCCTCAAGCTATCCCGCACCGTGTCCTCCAGGACGACTTCTACGATGGGTACCTCATCCCGAAGGACTCGACCGTCATCCTCCCCAGCTGGGCCCTCCACATGAGCGAGACCCGAGGCTACAAAGACCCCGAAGCTTATAACCCGGACCGCTTCGTCGGCTTCAACAAGTTCGCCGACGTCTACGCCGGCAGCCCTGACTACGAGAACCGCGACCATTACGGGTACGGGGCGGGGCGGCGTATCTGCCCCGGAATCCACCTGGCGGAGCGGACACAATGGAGACTCACAGCCAGGCTCCTCTGGGCGTTCGAGATCCAACAGAAAGTCGACTCGGTGACGAAGAAACCCATCCCCATCGACTTGAAGGCTTATGATGAGGGCATGGCTCACTGTCCGAAGCCGTTCTCCGTCGTATTCAAGCCAAGAAGCCCGGATCATGTCGATGTGATCAAGCGTGAAATGAGTGACGCTCTGAAGTTTTTGGAGGCATGGGATGACTGAACGCCCGGTCGCAGAAATTTGAACGCCTACTGACCGGCGCAGGAGAGGCTGACGTGCGGCTTGCTTTTTTCAATGCTCGTTTCCGGTCCATAGTTCGCTTTCGCCAAACTTTAATCGCGGAATCCCTGTTGATTTTAAAGTGGGAGCCTATCCAGATGCAAAGACCGTGCTCTGCTTCTGTATTGTCGAGGCTATGGAGGTCTATTTAGGACATCCCTGGAGTGCATCGTGAAAAGGATGGCTGAGCAGGTTCGAGAGACAAAAACGCCTGTCTGGCTTACATTGATGAACAGCCACAGCTCGTCGAAGACTTAGAGCGTTTGGGTTTGGAAATTCTCACATAGGAGCAAGAGCATCTCGTTTGTGCGGGTAGATCTATTTCCCCCGGCGTTGGATGCGTCCTAGTGTGTGCACAGTCACAGGCCATAATAGATGCTCTACTCCCATCTGGTCTCTCAGGACTTTGTCTTTATGACACAGCCTGGCAGCAGTCGTGAATACCTAAGGAGGAGTTTGTAGCGATACATCAAGTAAGTTTTTTCTTGATTAGCAAGGGATTTACTTGAGTGCTTTTGTGCAGTTTGGGAGCAGTTTCTGCCCATATTATGCATGCAACTTCAAGGACGGCAAGTGTCAAGGAATGTACTTGTTGGTCTTGGCCACGAGAGAGTCTCACGTATCTGGTCTCAACCCGGGTCCCCGAAGCTAGGCCTCACGGGCTTCGGGTGGTAGTGATTTCGCCCGCGTTAACAGGGCCGACATTCTCCGCCGGCCTTTTCTCCACGTCTTCATGTTCCCACACTTCAGGGTGCTGCTTCTCGCTTTCGCCACTGCCGACCTTCTCGTCCCCGAGCTTGTAGATCTGGCGCGGGACGTGGTTGGTCAGGTACGGGTCATAGTCCTTGACGCAGAAGCAGGCGATCAGGCCGACGCCCGCGACCGCCACGGCCGAGTAATACACGTACGCGTAGGCCGCTGCGTATGCGTACGGAAGCTCCGCCGCCACGGCCGCTTGAATCGTGGTGGTGATGCCCGGAACCTTCTGCATCGCCGCTGGGGTCCCGATGACGATGGCCTCGAGGAGGGCCGGCACGGAGCCCTCGGGCAGGCCGGCCTTCACGGCCACAGGGGGGATATAGGCCGAGAGCTTGGATGTGGTCTTGCTGCTGAGGACGGCGAGGTAGATGGCCGTCATGATGGCTCCGACGATGGGGCGCATCGCGTATAGAATGGCTGTTGGGAGTGTCCTGGTCAGTTTTCCCCCCACAGATATCACATCGTGAAATCTCGCTTGGCACTTACAGAAGGTGGTCCCAAGATCTGCATCGTTGGTGTCCATCTGCACGAGCAGGCCCGGCATGATTTCCAAGATGCCCGCGGGGAAGGCAGCAAATACGGAGAGCACGGCGCTGCGCGCCAGGCTCTGTGGATTGCAAGATGCCATAGACCCGAGAAAGGCCAGCATGACGGACATGAGGAAGATTAGCTGCAGCCGGATGTGTTTCAGGATCGCCACCAGTGCTCCCCAGCAGACGATTGACGAATATATGGCCAGAGCGATGGTTGTCTGTTCCCAATGTTAGCCTTTCCCAACCACTGTCAGGCACAGTCGGGCCTTACCGATAGCCATGCAGTGGTCTGCCAACTAGTGGTAGGAGAGCTATAGAGCCGTGCAACCTCTGGTCTGCTGTCAGCTTTTGAAGACTTCATTGACCGTTGAGAATGAACTTACGCGACGGCCAGATAATGCTCAACGCGACATAGGATGTCCCTGCCACGGACTCGATAATGATCAAGCAGACGAACCCCCTGAGATCTTTGAAGAAATGAACCGGAACGATCGGATTGGGATGGGGGCCGTAGGCTTCTGTGGAACTCGTTAACACTGATCATGGTGGAATTACGATACCAAGGACTACTTACCCCAGAAGACGAATATGATCACTACGCAGCCTCCAGTGATGATAAGTCCGAGGATGGTTCCGGATGTCCACGAAAGAGGTTGGCCGCCTGGTTCAGTCAGTCAACTAGTTTGTCAAGGATTCGTTCACTGACCCCATGACACGCCCAGTAAGAAGAGGACGAGGCCGGCAACAATCAAGAAGCACCCCAGGAAGTCGACTCGTTTGAGTTCTCCCATTCTTGTGCGAGTGCCACGGTGCAATTGTTCGAAGTTCGGTGGCCGGTAGAAGACCACTTGCATGACGAGGACGAAGACCATGAGTGGGATAAAGATGTAGTAGATGTATCTATGACACCCGTCAGTCCACGAACGTTTGTGGGGGAGAGAGAGAGCCACTCACCTCCAGTTGTAGTAATGGACAATTCGAAGAGCTAGATACGCCGTCAGTGCCATGGTAGAGGATCTCGGAAGCGTCATACCCAGGTATTGCCCGAATCCAGTGGAAATAATGTTCGGAAGGCAGGCAAATGCAACGCCCACGAATTTGAAGCGGTTGGGACAGATCTCGCCAACTGTCAGGCCGTAGCACGTATGGACTCCAGCTGCGAGGCCCATCAAAACCTGCAAGGACAAATTAGGATGAAGAAACAGTACGATAGGTCCTCTGTGCACTGACATTCGCGCCAATCAAGGTATTCATGCCCTTCGCTGTAGCAGCAATGATTCCTGACACTTTGTGAGCTGCGCCTGCAATTAAGCTCTGCTGCTTGCTCTGGTCCACATACCTCCAACGAGAGCGATTGAGGACGCTCCGATGATGAACCAACGGCGCCCAAACTTATCGGAGATCCTGCCAAAGAGAAGAGAACCGATGCCGCAAGAGATAGTCCAGATGATAGAGAACAGACTAGCATTGTTGCTCGGTCCTGAACGGGTATGGGATCAGAGTATGTCTCAGGAGGGAGGCTGGTGCACGCTCACCAATATCCGCATTGATGACGGTCAAGACTGCTGCTGGGGGGGCAAAACCCCAATAGCTGACAGCCACGGCTGTGCCCAGGGAGATGATGGCCCCAATCAACCGGATGCTCATGAAATAGCCTTCTTCGACCTTCTCGACGCTGGTCGACAGTGTGTTCGAGTGATTGATATCTTGCAAGGCGCCTTCATCGGCATGAGCAAGTGCAAGCTCCTGGAGCTTGGTGTTAGCCCCTGTGGGTGCCATCGAGACTCCGTCTGTTGCCATGACTATTGTAGAGTGCTGACCAGGAAGATATTGGGCACGCAAATGATCACTATGACCCGTCAAACGTTAAGTATCGTAGCCATATATGATGGTCCCCATTGCGACAGCAGCCCCTTTACGTGCCTCTATTCAGCAAGGCTGCTTCCCCGGACTTGTCGGAAGTCGGATCTGGGGTTGGCGGAGGTGGTGTCCTTTCTGCCTACCAGTCGCTCAGGGTCGACTAAGCGTCCTGGATGCATATCGGACCAATTTATTTATTTTGGCGGAGGCACCTCCGAATCGTACTCAGGACCTGTCGAGTCGCTCGCAGCGGCTATTGCTCCTCACGACACCGGAAACACACTTTGGGCCGGTCCAACCCAAATCTCCAACCTCCAGTCATCGTCTCGTAAATTGCATACCCTCATGCTTTCGGAGTCGGGCGCCGAAACATCCACCTCCGCTGACCATGTGAAGTTGATAGACGCGGATACTGGACTGTCGTTGCGTGCAGTGTGTTGGTTCAGCCTCGGAAATGCTCCTCGCTCATGCCAGTGGTATTTCACAGTTAGAAAGCTTGGCCCAGGGATTCGGACGTGCTCGGAGACCCATGTTGTTGGGATCCCGACACAGGTTATTCCACAGAAGATGTGTCGGACGAGCATTTACCGGACGATGGAAATCCAGTGACATCCTTTGACAGTTATTGGTGAGCTATATAGAATGCTTTTATACTCCGGAATGTGTCTTGCTCGTTCAACTGAATGTCATTGACGAGAGATTCCGACGTCGTGCTAACATTGCGCTTCTTAATCTCTTCATTTGGACAGCAATACTCAGATTTTGTTCGAGACTCCCCAGTCCTCGTGCGACCTCGGTCTCAAAATGTCAGTCAATGGAGCTGTGACGGTGAATGGGAACTCAAAGCCAGAGGAATTTGACGCCATCATTGTCGGCGCGGGTTTTGGTGGCATCTATCTCCTACATTCGCTACGCAAACTGGGATATAAGGTAAAGGTTCTGGAAGCCGGAAAATGGTTCGGTGGAATTTGGTGGTGGAACTCGTACCCTGGGGCTCGTGTCGACACTCACTGGCCGTTTTACGAGTTCAACGCACCGGAACTATGGGAAGACTGGACATGGAAGGAGCGCTTCCCCTGCCGCGACGAAATAGTCAGGTACTTTGAGCACGTTAACGAGAAGTGGGATCTCTCAAAGGATATTCTCTTCGACAATGCGGTTGTCAAGGCCGATTTTGACGAGAGCTCTAACACCTGGACAGCTGTTACGGACAAAGGGTATGTAGCCAAGGCACCATTTTTTCTGCTGGCTACTGGCTTCGCCGCCAAAACATTCATCCCCAACATCAAAGGACTGGAGAGCTTCAAGGGTCAGGCATATCATACTGCCCTGTGGCCTAAAGAGGGAGTCGAGGTGAAGGGGAAGAAGGTCGGGATCATCGGTACCGGAGCAAGCGGTGTCCAAGTTATTCAAGAGATTGCGCCGGTTGTCGAGCATCTCACAATCTTCCAGCGCACGGCCAATCTTGCTCTACCCATGGTCCAGGAGTTCTACGATGAGAAGACGGTCCAAAAACAAATCGATGCAAAGAAAGATTACCCAGCTCTGTTCAAGCATATTCGAAACACATTTGGTGGCTTCGACTATGAATTCTTGACTAAGACTTCTGAAGACGACACGCCAGAGGAGCGCATTGCATACTGGGAGTCACAATGGAAGGTCGGAGGTTTCACCCTCTGGCTCCACAACTACAAAGACATCTTGAAGAATCCCGTGGTGAACCGAGCAATGTACGACTTCTGGGTGGATAAGACCCGCGCGCGTCTTGCAGGCCTAGATCCAGAATTGATCGAAAATCTGGCGCCATTAGAGCCAGAAAATCCGTGGGGAACGAAGCGACCCTCCCTGGAAACACACTATTATGAGACCTTCCAGCAGAAGAACATTGACCTATACAACATCAAGAAGAACCCAATCGCCGAGATCACACCCAAGGGTGTCAAGCTCACCGGCGGCCAAGAGGTTGAGGTTGACCTTCTGGTCCTCGCCACGGGCTTCGATGCGGTCACAGGCAGCCTCCTCAAGATTGACATCACGGGCGTTGGTGGCCAGAAGTTGGTTGATAAGTGGGCAGGAGCCACATACACCCACTTGGGAGTAGCGACCACTGGGTTCCCCAATATGATTTTCATGTACGGGCCCCAGGCGCCGACTGGGTTCGCCATCGGGCCTCGCATTTCAGAAGTCCAGGGCGACTGGATTGTCGGTCTTCTGGAGGAGATGAAGCGGCATCACTACACCAAGATTGAACCGACCCGCGCGGCCGAGGAGAAATGGAGAAAGATCAATAACGATGTCACAGCTGAGACCCTCATGGTCAAGGCGACCACCTGGTATATGGGCGACAACGTGCCAGGAAAGCCTCGTGAAGCCCTCAACTATATGGGCGGGCTGGGCCATTACGAGGAGCTTTTGAAAGCTTGTACCGCAGCTGGCTACGAAGGGTTCAACCTGAGCTAGTCAGAGCCCCCGAGAAATAAAGTGCTTTAGAAAGATATCGAAATGAAGGAATATTGTATATATCATTGTGCTCTGCTTCATTCAAGGGTAAGCTGATCGCCTGAAGGTAAGCATCCATGGCCTATCAGAGCCCATGAGTACAGCAACATTTAGCGACCAGTTGCCAGTCCCAATCAGTGACCATAATTGATTTCTCCTACCTAGAGCCTCGGTGATGGGTCGAGTTTGGAAACTGAGTAGTATTGACATTCACACAGACTGAATACACAGTCGTGTGCCCGTGACATACGGCTCTGCACCTACCGTCCGTATCTCGAATCGCCTGGCTCTTCGGAATTATGCTGGAGGGCCGGTCGCGAAACACTGTGGCAGTCGCCTGCACCCCGATGCTTCGTGGGAACTTAGCACCTCAGTTGACTGTTATGAGAAGCAGTCCACTTGAGGATCCCGAAAGGCGGGGAGCGTAACCAGGGCTTCGGATGGCGGAGTCCGAATCTCCGGACGACTTTCGGTTTTGTGAATGCAAAAGTCAGGCTAGGAATTGTTAGTCCCCTCCTGAATTGCTGCAAGGGCACGAGCCCAGGTTGATTGCCAGCAACCCTGGATCCAGGTGCCTGAGAGATAGCAACCACGCCTCGTCCATGGCCGGAGGTGGCAACGAGCCCTCATGATTCCTTTGACTGGCGGAGGTCTCCACTCTAGCGTGATAAAGCACGACGATGTAGCCCTCCCTTTACAATTGATAGATAGACATCTTCGTGAGATCGTCGCTCTATATTCAGATCCCACATCTGTACTTCAGACATCTTGGACCGTTTCCTGCCACTATGCCAACTTATCCGTCTTTCGACTCCGTGCCAAAAACCGCTGGCCAGCCTCAAGGAAATGCTTGGGCTCTTTGGGGAGAGAACGACGAATTAGGAAGTGAGTCTAAAGTCGTGAAAGTATCCTCACTGGTATATACTGACAAGAAACGTAGCTCTCAATTACTTGACTCCTGAAATTATCTTGCAGGCAACCAAAGAGATCAAGGCAGGCGTCACAATACAGTTGGATCTTCCATTGAATCATTTCGACCACCTTGGAGCCGGGAGACAAGGGTTTAGCCACCAGATTATCGACTTCAAGGAGCGACTCAAAGGCACCGATTTGGAAATTGTCGCCCATGACGATGTATTGACCATGAATACCCAGAGTAGCTCTCAGTGGGACGGTCTCCGGCATATCGGACTGCAAGAGTCTGGCATCTACTATGGCGGAGTCAAGCACCGAGACATCGACGAGAAGCGTGAAGATGGAAGGCTGGGCATTCAGAGTAAGTCTCTCTCTGCCGCATTTCGATGGGAGCACAAAGGCCGCCAATAAATGATAACACAATACTCTTTTTTCCCCCGTTCTTGTAGAATGGGTACAGCGCGGTGGCATAGTTGGCCGAGGCGTCCTACTGGACTACCATGGATGGCGCCAACAGACGGGGCAAGCCCCGGTCACCATCCCTTCGAACACCATAATCACTACAGAAGAGCTGGAAGCAGTGATCAAGCACCAAAACACACAGTTGCACGACGGAGACATCCTCATCCTTCGCACAGGGTTCACAGTCTGGCATCTGCAGGCAGCTAAAAAGGAGCAGGAGGAAGCTTCAGCAAGAGGTGCATTTATTGGTCTTGAGGCGACGGAAAAGAGTGTCAGGTGGCTCTGGAACCACCATTTCGCCGCAGTGGCAACCGATACACTAGGTTTCGAGGTCACTCCCATACCGTTCATGGAGCCTGGTGCCGTGCGTCTTCACGAATGGCTTCTAGTGCATTGGGGAACCCCGATCGGTGAGCTTTGGGATCTGGAGAGGTTGGCAGAGGTCTGTGGGGAAAGGGGTCAGTGGTCCTTCTTCCTAACAAGTGCCCCCCTTCACGTATATGGCGGAGTCGGCACGCCGCCCAATGTAATCGCGATTTTATAGCCCTGGAAGAAATCGATCCGGGACACGGAGCACAGGTCCGTGCGATTTAGATGCCATGAGACAGCAATTCACAGTTCCGTCGCTCTATACAACCTACAACTTCGTCTGGCGAGCAGTAGACGTTGCATTTCAAACGCCAACAGCGAAACTCTCGAAACTTCCAAAGTGGTCCGCGTAGGTGGAATTATTCTGTAGAGTGCTGTTTCGTGGGTGGCTCAGGAGAATAGGTCATTCAGTTTGTCCTGCGTACATAATTCTACGTGTCCGCCGATGTTCATCTCATTCATCTGTACCAGATTCCATCAAATTGACTTCATAGCTTTGATTCGGTTGGCCATGGCGTAGGTGGTGACGGAGATGTTGGAGGCAATCAGATCGAATCCGTGTGGCACGCCTGGGTATACATGGAGTTCGGTATGGATATTGGCGGCTGCGAGGCGGCGTGCATATTCGATGTCTTCGTCGCGGAAGATGTCCAGATCTCCCACATCAATGTAAGTTGGCGGTAGGCCTTCGACCGATGGTACTCGTGCTGCCGCAGCGTAATATGGAACATCTGATGTACCCGCCTTGCCGCTCAGATATGCTTGCCAGCCTGTGGCGTTGTCATCGATCGTCCATGTCGCAAACGGCTCGAGCGCCTTGATTGGTTTGATGTTTCTGTCTTCTACCATGGGATAGACCAGGATCTGCTTCGCTAGTGGTGGGGTTAAAGCTTCGTCTCTCGCCTTCAGCCCAAGGCCCGCAGCAAGACCGCCGCCACCACTGTCGCCCATGATCGCGATCCGAGAAGGGTCTATGCCATACTTCTTTGCGTTCAGGCTCAGATCCTGCAGCCCGGCCCAGGCATCTTCAATTGGGATCGGGTAGGGTGACTCCGGTGCATATCTGTAATCGGGAGCAAATATCTGGACTCCGGAGCGTGAGACGAGGTCCTTGATCTTTTTGCGGTACAATGGCACGTCCAGGGCGATGTAGCCTCCACCGTGCAGGTAATAGACAGCAGGGTCCGAGCCGGTGGTCGGCGTGCCCTTCTTCGTGAAGCGGTAGACCGGGACTTCGAAGCCGTCGCTGGATTTGACATTGTATTTCTCCTCCGCGACATCTTCTGGGTCAAGATATGCACCAAACACCGGACCGAAGAAGGCGTCCAATGCCTGACGCCTCCCTGCGACATCTCCTACAGCCAATTTTGGCGCATTGGCCATCGCTGGGAGCAAGGGCTCCAGCACTTTGGCGAACTCAGGATCCAGCGCGAGAGGCATGTTGGCTCCTGGAGCGTGCTGAGGTTGTGAGCGTTGAATATTCTCTCCAGATAAGCACGCTTTCCAACGATTGCACCAGCTCGTAACCACTGGGACGAGATTTATTATAGAGAGCAAGATACTTCGGTGTGGCTTGATGGTTGAAACGGAAAGTCAATTCCGGCATTCATCCTCCGAATTGAGATCGAGTGGTTCCCGAATATTGTGATTATTCAGCAAATCGTCCTCCTTGTGGGGGAAAGATCGAGACTGAGCTTCGACTTTGTCTGGCCCTATCAGTGTCGCTTATGCTCGGCGGAACTTATCGACTTAACCTCGGAGAACGTAAGCTCAGTCCAGCGTCCGTAAATCCGCAAATCTGCAACTCCTCACGACACCTCGGACGGAAAGAATGGCGGGTTTTTGACTAGACAACAATATGTCTTTATTTTCGCTTGATAGAGACAAGAGAGACGTACAGGCAAGACGCCCAAGCTGACAAACGAAATGTATCGAAGATCATTTGAGGCGCGTCTTTACAGGACCACTTGAAAAGAAAACCCCACTTCTAGACAAGTGCGGGTTTAGGTGAAACCACCTGTATGTGCGAGTCGAGAGATATCCTCGCATGGCTTCTACCTCTTGCATCTTCAAGGCAAATTCAGATGCTCGGTAAATCCACAAGCCGGCCACGATTGACGTCTGGATGGCATGAGGGTTGTGCAGTACAGAGGCTCTCTAAAGTGGCAGAGTTGTCCATATCCATTGTAGCCACCTTGCCAAACCTTTGTCCAAGTCTATGGCGGCGCTGCCCCAATATTGAGGTTGGCTCCAAACACTGATCTCGAGTCCTCGCTAAGGAGCCAAACAACCACGCGGGCGACGTCGTCAGGCTCGATGATCTCCCACCCTCGGCTTTTCCAATCCTCCAATTGTGCGTCTTTCCCGCCCGTGAACTCTCTCAACATGGGAGTGGCGGTCGACCCTGTATCGTAACAAAGAGCGTTAGGACACTTTCACAAGGCGGACGGAAGGTCAAAGCTACATAACATACCTGGAGACACGGCGTTGACTCGGATCCCAAACTTGGAGACGTCCTTGGCCACACTCTGCGTGAAATGTGCGTTGGCAGCTTTGGAAGACCGGTACGCGTAGACGTCCGGATCGTGTTTCAACGAAGCCATGCTGGCAATATTCACGATCGCACGATCGCTATTGGGCGTTCCCAGCGCCTTCATGGCCCGAATCTGGGCACGTGTGCAATAGAAGACCCCGTCGAGATTGACCCCCCAGACCCGCTTCCACGACTCATCGGTCTCTTCCAGAATGGTCGGGGACTGTCTGACCCCAATGGTTTGCGGCAAGCCTGCTGAGTTGACAGCGCCATGCAGATCTCCGAAGGCCGCAACAGCGTCCTGGATCCAGTCCTCGACGGCCGACGACGACGTCACGTCCAAGACGGTCGTCCGAATCTCAGATCCTGGATTGAGCTGAGAGATAGAATCTTTGATGGCCTCCAGGCCCTTCGCCGAGATGTCGCTGGCGGCCACTGCGCGCGCACCGCGTCGAGCCAGGAGGCGAACAATGGCCGCTCCCATCCCGGAGCCTGCGCCCGTAACCGCAAAGACTTTCCCATCGACGCTCATGATCGGCGACGAAGATGGTAGTAAGTGCTTCGACGAATTTAGATTCAAACCTCGCACTTGGGCGTCTTGAATCCTCTATAAAAAGGTCGGCTATGTGCAGGGCTCTTCTTAATTAGCTCACACCTCAGCGTCAGGGGCTGCACGTCATCCATCCACGAAGTGATAAAAGACTGTTTCAAAGAAGAGAGAAAGAATGCTCCCGTCAATGATCATTTTCGTTCTGTCTCGGGGTTTCGGGCAATGGATCTGAAATGGACCGATACGGTTCGAGGGGGAAGTCGAGATGCTGCACGGCATCGCACCTTGACCAATGACTGAGCGTTCTCCGTACCCACTTTCTCAACACTTCCCCCACCTTTTTGCTTGGAATAGACAAAAAGAGATAAGCGTTGAACAATCCACTTTTCGTTGCCATCTAGGACTGGCTGCATCTGGCAACCTTCAGTTCAGTCCGTCAGCGGAGAAGCTACAGGTATTTTGGTTGTGGATGCTCTGCTCACTTCCCTAGTCGATTCGGAGGATCACAAACGAACTATAGAGTCGCCAGTGGCAGAAACTGCCAGTTATGGTGGGACGGACCCTCGTCGGAGCATCCTCCGCGAGCGGCCTCTTTTAACTCTGTGGCCTTGTCATGAGTCCGAACGGCCATTCGGTTGTCAACCAGCCCTTGACCGTCCGAAACTTGGGTGGCGGAGTGAATGGAATTGAATCCGACACCCAAGGGGCTGTTGTCTATCCGCTTGGACTGGGAACATTGAACAAAAGTGCATGCGAGCCACTATCATTCCTCGGCCCGGCAACTAATTTTAGCCTGTGTCTTCGGGTATAACGCTTGCACCAAAGACCTGCACGGTGCGGTAGGTGGCCTGGAAATTTGTGTCTAGACTCATATTCATGCCTTTCGCAGCCAAGTCAGTGGAAATTACCTCTGGTCCTCAGTCCCAAGCCCTCGTGCGGAACCATCCGATTATAGAGTTCCAAAGCCTGTAGCAACACAACAGAACTCCGACGACGACAACGACGCCAGCCCTCAAGATGATCTCGAAACCGACCCTTCGCATCGGCAGCGTCTCGTCCACGACGGGTGACAACCCGCATGCAATGGCCCGCATGGTCCAACACGGTAACGTCGACGTGATAATTGGGGATTGGCTGTCGGAGATGAACATTGCTTGGAACGCCATCGTGAAACAGCAGAACCCTGAGCTGGGCTACGAGAAGGGGTTCCTAGACCAGCTGGAAGAGTGTCTCGACGACATCGTCGCGCAGGGGCTCAAAGTGATCACAAACGCTGGTGCGCTCAACACCCGGTCGCTCGCTCGCGAGGTTGGCAGGCTCTGCAAGTCAAGAGGATATGACGTCCCCGTTGCGGCCGTGCTAGGTGATGATGTACCTGACGTCATTAGCCAGTTGGGCCAGCGCCGCAATGATTTCAAGCACCTCGACCACGAGGAGAAGCAGCTGGACGACTGGGAGCTCAAGCCTGTCTGCGGCGCGGCATACATCGGGTGCCGAGGGATCGTGGAAGCCCTGCACTCAGGAGCGCAGATCGTTATCTGCGGTCGATGCACGGACGCTTCGCCACTCATGGGCGCTGCGGCCTGGCGCTTTCAGTGGTCCGAGGACGACTATAACGCCCTAGCAGGCGCCTTGGTCGCAGGGCATCTGACCGAGTGCGGGCCGTACGTGACGGGTGCCAACTTCACCGGATTCAAGGAGATCCTTGACGATTTGGTGGACCTGACGTTTCCGATCGCCGAGATCAACAGTAAAGGGGAGTGTGTTGTGACGACTCTATCCGTCGGTGGCGGTCGCGTAACGGAAGACACCGTTCGTGCCCAGATCCTCTATGAGCTCCAGGGCCACCTCTATCTGAACCCAGATGTGGTTGCCGACCTATCGCAAATCAAAGTCGAAGCGGAGCCCAGCACGGGAGACCGCATTCGCATATCTGGTGTCAAGGGCCTACCACCTCCGCCAACGACGAAGGTCATGTTCACTGCCCCAGGAGGCTACCAAGCCGAGGCGACATTCTACCTCAACGGACTCGACATCGGAGACAAAGTGAAAATGATGAGACGTCAGCTCGACCATATCTTCAAAGACCACAAATTCAGTAAGCTCAGTATCGAACTATACGGGACATCACCGGAAGACCCTGTCAGCCAACAGGCCGGGACAGTCTTCTTCCGGATATTTGCGCAAGCTCGACGACTAGAGGACATCAGTGCCGCCAAATTCAAGATTCCCATCTACGCACTCCGAATGCAGGCGTACCCGGGATACCACATGAACCTAGATTTCCGTACAATGGATCCAAAGCCGTTCATGGAGATCTTTCCAGCTCTCATCTCACAGGACGCCATCAAAGTCCAAGTTGAGCTGGAAGACTCCGGTAGACTGATCGACATCCCTCCTCCGCAGCACACGGCTGAATATCCACGGATCCGCCCATCCTACGAGACGGCGAGCCCCGTGGACTTGACGAGCTTCGGGCGGACGAGAAAGGTGCCGTTGGGATCCATCGTGCACGCCAGGTCAGGCGATAAAGCCGACAATTCGAACATCGGCTTCTTTTCTCGCTCCCAGTACGACGATGAATATGAATGGCTCCAGGCCTTCCTGACCGTGGAGAGGCTCAAACTCCTCCTCGGGGATGACTGGTACGATGGCGACACGTCTCGACGTGTCGAACGCGTGGAATTTGTCGGCATTAAGGCCGTGCACTTGTAAGTCTCTCCGAACCTCCCCAGGTCACTTGGAATGACCTACTCCTTCCCTACTAATGCACATACGTCTTTACAGTCGAATACTAGATAATCTTTCTGGAGGGATCGCCTCTTCGGAACGTATTGATGGGCTGGGTAAAGGCATTGGCGAATTCTTGCGGAGCCGCTTGGTTGATGTGCCTCTGAAGTTTCTCGAACGAGGCCGCATTTCATAAGCTAGCAAAAGTTGCAATTGAGACACAGCCCCGAAACTTGAACAATAAGGATCTTCATCGTGGTGAAATACAGACAGAGAGAGCCTTGCACGTCATCCCTATTCCCTCAATTTCGTGCGTTTGTTTCGAAGCCGCTATGTACGAAACACCTTCTGGGTCTCATGCGTATATTATTGACTATGACTCGAAGTTCCAGCCAAACGGCGGTTGGAGTAAGATGTTGTCATCGAAATGGTCACCAAATAGCTCCGGAAACCCTCCAAAATAGTCTTGATAGCTGTGGTCGAAGTCACTGCTGAGGATGGGCCATGGAGGCTGCTGAGAGACCTGATCGCCAGACAGAAGATGTCTGTTGGGTCCTCCTTCCTGGTTTGATGAGGACATGCTCTGCACCTTCGTGCCCATAAAGTATTCGGAGGCATCGGCCAGCACGGCGTCTGAAAGTCTTGCAAAGATTTCGTGACAACCTCTGCCCGTATTCCACCGTTCCGAGATGGCAACCAAGACCGTCGAACACGCTCTCATGTCACTCACAATTTGACTGATGCTCGGTTCCGGGGTCAATAGGGCTTGGGGAGGTGGGGGCATCCCGTCCATCGGCCCCTCCATCTGATGTCGCCTGTTCCGGAAATGAGTCCTGAGCGCGTACACGTATGAGAGTCCCACGAGGAAGACGGCATGCAATGTGACCCAGGCATAGTTAATCTTGCGAGCTTTGTGGAGCTCTGCATATGAGGAGATGGATTGTTGGGATGAGTAATAAATCTGGGTCAGAACCTCTGATGTTTGCGGGATGTCCTGTAAGGAATGGATGGGGCGGTGCAACATCAGGATGCAGTTATGATACAGTAGATTATACCACTCCCGCGTTCTGTAGTTCGACTTGTCCTTGCTTCTCGTCGCAGAGACATCTATCAGAGGCAATGAGGCGACGCCGGCTCTCCATTGATCCAATTCTTCGGCAAGCTGCTGCTTGATAGCAAGGCAGGTCTGGGGGTCCGGCATCCGACTCTTGGGCACGTTGTGCAGGTTGGAGAGAATTTTGCCGGTGATAATGCGATGCCAGGTGATGTGATTGAAGATTTTGGTATTCGCTGGCCAGTGGGGATACTGCAACATGTCTTCTACGGATGGCGACGGACCCCAGGAAGCGTCCCCGTCGTCCTCGACTGCTGGATGTTCTGTATCGATCTCGAGAAGATTGATCGACACAGGACGACCCAAGGTGTTGCTGACGATTCTGTCCATCTGGAAAAGAGACCAAAAGCAACGGCGCTTGATGCCGAGTTCCTGCTTGACGTGGTCCTCATTAGTGGGTGATAGACCGACGGGGACGCGGTAGATAGCCTCTCGGTGGAGACCTAGCTCAATGCCCAGTCTTGTTGCCATGCCCAACAAGTGCCACAAGCTTGCTGAAGTGCTGTAAGATACGCTCAACATCCGGTATTGACATAGGAGCATGATGGTCTGTAAAGCAACCAAACCTCCGGACTCGAGAACGATGCCCAATTTCGAGATTGCCCGCTCATGGTACGTCTCTGCATCGGGGAGCGACTGCCAGGAGAATCTGTGGACTTGGACGGTCGCAATGGCGAAGATCATGTCCAAGGAAAATGCCTCCACCGGGTGAGACTCATAATACTTTTCTTCCGCGTACATCGAAGTCAGGGTGTTGATCAGCTTCTTGGGGTGGAGATACGGGAAGGCCAAGTGATCATGCGACAGGTACGCAGCCAGAAGACTCCGTCCAAGTGGTTCTGCTGGCAAGACGGTTTTGGCCATCTCAGGACTGCTGTATCTCTGTCCATCGGCCGTAGCAAATCGGCGAAAATAGTCTTCGTCTTCGTCGTCGTTGTTGTTGCTGTCGCCACCGATGCGTTTCGGCCGGCTACCAAGAGGGAAGAGGTTGGCCAGAATGGCGCCACTGGCCGAGCCCAGGTACTGCCTAGGCCTGCCAGCGTGGAGGGAGAGGGAGTAGACTTCTTTAGCGACCTCGTTGTCGTTTTCCGTCTCGCTTTTATCTGCTCCGTCGTGGCTGTCGTCCGGTATCTCCATCATCTCGGCAGCCGTGTCCAAGTCTTCACCTGAGGCGGACCCGCCAGCGGCTCTTGCTGCATTTTGGGCTTCGCGAAGCTGCTTTGACAAGAGGCGATTTTTGTTCTCCAGCTGCCGTAGACGACGCCCTATGGTCTCTGGGATGTCGCCACGGCCCAAGCCCCCTCGCGCGTTGTAACAGCATGCGGTCCCAGCATGTATGCACGTGGAGCACGAAGGCAGAACCTTGTCACACCGTGCCTTCCGCCGATAGCAACGATCGCATGCTAGCCGTGACAGTTGATCCTCCTGCATTTTACAAGCCGTTCGAAGGGACAGAAGCAGTCGGCACTCTACAGAGCACAATGCGGGCGACAAGGAATTGCTCTGAAATCCTCAACCAAGAGAGATCAGTTTAGTTATGGAAGATCCTTGGATGCATGGGAGAGAGTTGTCTGAACTTCCGGCGTCAGGACTAAAGCATGAGGTGGACCACAGGGTTCGGCGGCAGGCTTAAACAGACCCCTCGGTTCATTATGTAGATTCGCTTTGGCACATTCTCCCCAGGAAGACCCTTGCCCGGGGGGAATGCGGGGTCTCCAGAAGGGCTACCAAGAGCCCTACAAGCTTTTGTGCTCCTTCAGTCGGCTCAATGGGAATTCTACCTATAGCTCTCGAATGGTAGCCCTTGCAGTAGTGGTCAATTGGTATCACGGGCGGCGTTTGTCGATCTACCTCCAAGGTCCAGCTGTAGAAGGAGCCCAAAATGTACAATGGTCCACCAGGAGATCGCGACTTGGTCTCCTTTGAAACAAATCATGCAGCTATCACTTTTCAACTTAGACTTCTCTACTCTCATATACATCACGCGAATCAAGTTTGGCCTTCCCCATCCGCGTTCGCGAAGAAGACGCTTCCCACTAGCTAGAGGGTGGCTCTCCCGTGGAAAGGTTTTGCATCTGCTCTCAAAATGCCCAACCAGACTCGCGTCATGAGTCGTGACTGGGTGAAAGCACCACTTCCCCGGACATTGCCTAAGATAGTTGTATCTGTGGTGCAGGTTGCAGAGCTTCTCAGCTCCAGTAGTGCATTCATGCCCGCACTTAGATGTGGGATGTCGATTCAGACCAAGCCCGAGGTAAAGACGGCATGCGTCGCGACATAAGCCTTCGGGAGCCCTCAAATGACTACACGAGCCTCAACCATGCTGCAGCCTAACTTTGGCGCCAGCACATCAGACCAGCTCAGGAGCTCAGGCCATGTGACCTTGAAGCCTAGGAATTTGGCTCTGTCGGCCGAGTAAAGTAGAAAAAGTAAATCCGAACAAAGGGAGCTACGCAGCTTCGGAGAGGAGTCCGCAGTCCGTCCGAACCGTGGGTTTGAAGACATTCCGCCTCGTCCGACCACCCTCCACCCATTCCTACCCCAGACCCCGAGTCCTCGGTGACCTAATATTTCCCCCTATAGACAAAGGCAATTGCATTTGATGCGAGCATTGACTAGCCGGAAATATGGGAGTTGGAGGATGTCCCCAAATACATAGCTAGTACTCTTCGAATACACGCGTAGAGAGCACGGAGACGGCATATTCCATGTTCTTGTATTTTCTGGCAACACCACGATGACGTCTTTCAAGATTCCCAAGCCAACGGAGCTAACCAAGTTCTACATCAATGGCGAGTACGTCGAGCCCAGCACCGATGAAGTGTTCACCGTTCGCAATCCCAAAGACGATACAGTAGTGTCAGACCACGTGCCGGTCGGAGCCCAAGAAGATGTCGACGCGGCAGTTCGCCATGCCGAGGCCGCCTTCAAAGGCGAATGGAGTACATTTACATCGGCGGAGAGAGCTCGATGTCTGTACAGGCTGTCCGACATCTTGGACGAGCACTTAGGAGACCTGCTTCGCCTTGACACCCTCACCGGTGGACACCCGGTGTCTCTCATTCCGACTCGGGAGAAGAATTATATTGTCAACGGACTTCGGTACATGTGTGAGTAGATTTTCGAAACCTGATCCGTCTCTACTGGGCTACTGACACGCTACGAGCCGGTTGGTGCGACAAGTTCAAGGGCGATTATTTTCCTGATGACGACGGCTTTGTGAAGATTGTGAAGAACGAGCCCCTTGGGTAGTACTTGACTTTCGAGTGGGAGATATCTCCGAAGAAAGGTAACCCTGCTGATGCTTTGACAATAGAGTCTGCGTTGGGATCTGTCCCTTCAATTCTCCGGTGGCAACGTTCTTTCATAAAGTCGCACCAGCCCTGGTCACAGGAAACGTGATGATTATCAAACCTTCAGAGAAGAGTCCTCTTGCATCCCTTGCCCTGGCTCCACTCATCGAGCGGGCAGGAATCCCCAGGGGTGTTGTTCAGGTTGTTACCGGGCCGGGGAAGACGGGTGAGCTCTTTTCCAGGCACATGCGTGTTCGCAAAATTAGCTTCACTGGCAGCATTGCCACGGGTAAGAAGATCCAGGCGGCCGCCGCTCAAAGTAATCTCAAGCGTGTGACTTTGGAACTCGGTGAGTCCCTTCTCTTTGGTAGTGTTGTACGAACCAAGGTATGCTGACTATGTTCAGGTGGAAAAGGGCCAAACGTCATTTTCGAGGACGCCAACTTGGACAATGCCGTCGAGTGGGCCCTCCGAGCTATCATGGCTCGAAGTGGCCAGATATGCATCGCAGCTTCTCGTCTTTACGTCCAAAGATCAATCGCTGATGAGTTTATCAAGAGATATGTTGAGAAGATGAGAGAAGCGGCCAAGCACATGGGAGACCCTTTCGACCCCGATACAGCTTATGGCCCTCTGGTAGATAAGCTTGCATTTGAAAAAGTCCGCGGCATGATCGACAGGGCCAAGGCGGGAGAGGCCGAGCTCTTGGTAGGGGGAAATTCGATCGGCAAGACCGGCTGTTTCATTGAGCCTACCGTGTTCGTGAATCCCAGGCCCAAGGCTGAGATCCTGACCGACGAAGTCTTCGGCCCAGTCTCCGTAGTCAGCACATTCGACACAGAAGAAGAGGTCATTCAAAAAGCCAACGACACTGAATACGGGCTGATGTCTGGAGTGTTCACGAGGGATATTTCTAGGGCACTCCGTTTCTCGTCGAAGCTGGAGACAGGGATTGTGGGCGTCAACTGCGCCAGTATAGTGAGTGAGAAAACGATTTCCGAACCGCCTGATACTGAAGAAAATAGCTTAACATTCAAGTCCCCTTCGGCGGCGTGAAACAGTCTGGAATGGGCCGCGAATTTGGAATGGACGTATGTGGACTGATTCGATACAGGTGGACAATTAAGCTGACCCGCGCCAGGTTCTCCGGTCGTTCACAGAGACGAAAACAATCCTGATCAAGTAAGTCAAACTCTATGCGTGGTTGAGCATACCGCTGACGTCCGACTTCTAGCACGCGAGCGACTTGAGAGAATCACGGAGCAAGGGAAAAGATTCGGGGTCATTAAAAAGAATTGCGAGTCCTCAGCCGGCAAGGCCAATGGCAGAGTGCTGGGGGAACCAGTCGTTCCAGACGGGAAATGGGATCAAAAACTCTCCAGTAGTACTCTTGCTATCAGCTTAGAAAGACGGTGGCAGGTTCATCTCTTGTAGTCTCGTCTTACATACAAAGAATTGTGCATTGTCAAATTCTCCTGACTGGTATTGCAACCTCATTCCACCTACATCTTGGCCGCTCGTGTATTGTCTTTACTCAAAATTCCATCACTCCCACGCCGAGGCATTGCATCCCTGAGAACTCGTCTGAGGATCTTTCCAGATGCTGACTTGGGGATCTCGTCAATGAACTCGATTTCAGCGATCCATTTATAGCGTGCCTTCCTCTCTTGGACGAACTCAATGAGCCGTTTTCGTAAGGTATCGAGATTCGCTTGTTGTTGCGCGGCGAGCTTGGCGACGACATACGCCTTGGGACGCTCACCCACATATTCGTCCCTGACACCCAGAACAGCCACATCCTCTACATCTTCGTGGCCCAGGAGTAGATCTTCAAGCTCGGCAGGAGCCACCCCGATACCATTGACCTTGATCATCTCCTTCAGACGGTCTGTAATTGAAACCATCCCTTCTTCGTCAATGCTTCCGATATCGCCTGTGTGGAGGAACCCTTCAGCGTCGAAAGTTTCTTCGGTAGCCTTTTTGTTGTTCAGGTATCCCATGACAACTTGAGGTCCGCGGGCCCATATCTCCCCAGGCTGATTTACTCCGCACTCTTTGCGGGTTTGTGGGTCAACGAATTTGACCTCTGTCGATGGGACGATCGTTCCCACTTGAGTTGCATATTTATAATCATATTTATCGGGCGGATGGAGAGTGATACATGAGCAGGACTCCGTCATCCCATAGCCCTGCTTGAAGCCTGTGTTGGGGAAACATTGTTGGAGTAATGTAAGAATTTCTGCAGACAAAGGCGCGGCACCGGACATAAGTCGCCTCAACGAACTGAGGTTGTACCTTTCAAGTAGCGGCGAATTGCGCACCATGCGGATTAATATCGGTGGCACTAGGAGCACCTCCTCGAGCTGATAATCTTGTATACTCTGCAGTGTCGACTCCATGGTGAAGCTCGGTAGTAGATATACGGTGGCATTGAGTAGAACAGGTAAATGCAGGTGGTGGACAAGGCCCGTTATGTGGAAAAGGGGTAGGACCGCCAGAATTCGGCGTAGAGAGCCCGGGGTCATCTGGCTCACTTGTAGGCACTGGGCGATTATATTCGAATGGGCCACCATGACAGCTTTAGGAAGGCCTGTGGTTCCGCTCGAAAAAGACAGAAAGGCGCAGATATCCTTATTTTGCTTGTTCGCAGGCACTCTGAACTGCTCGACTTGTCCCCAAGTGTTATACGACCTGCCGATTTCCAGCAACTCAGTCAACGTGGTGAAATTCTCCACCTCTCCGTAGATGAGGAAGATATGGTCATGTCGTATTCCCACACTCCTAGCCGCGGCCACTGCGATTGGTAGGTTGCTCGGCGCGGTAAAGAGAAATCTGGCTTCAGCTGTTTTGAGTGCAAATGCTAGCTCTTCGATAGTATATGCTGGGGAGGCTCCAGAAACAATACCGCCAGCACGTAGAGTACCAAACATGACGCAGGGGTACCAAACGGTGTTGGGGGAGAATATGCTAACTGTTTGGCCGTGCTGGAGGCCATATCTCCTCACAAGAGCTGTGGAGAGGTGGGTGGTGTGTAATCTCAGATCATTGTAATCAAGATGCTCTTTCGTGATAGCGTTCGTATAACCTCCGAGCTCCTCGAGCTTGTACCTTCGCAATGGACTGTACTCAGAGTCAAACAGCCATGTCCATATTGGCAGATGCCATGGTACCTCAATTGGAGGTAGTGAAGATGTGAAAATAGGCATGGCCGGAACAAAGCTGTCTTTCCACGGCTGCGAACAGGGGTGAATGGAGGCCACAGAATTTATTGACCGAATCGTCGGCCTCAAATTGCTCAGCCGAAGTAACCAGCCCAAGCACGTGTGTCATGATTTGGAATCTCGGAAAAAGAGAATGAACTCACCGCCCGTTGAATATGCTGCCGCTCATCCCTAGCACTCAGGAGCTATGTCCGACAACTCCCAATTCCGAAACACGGCCAACTTGAAGAATGTGGTACCCACTAATAAAGCACTTGGGATGTATCGCCACGGACATTTCCTGGATCTGGTGAACGAGAAGGCTGTGAGAGCAGGAATGCCGAGTCGCTCACCAGTAGGTATAATGCTCGAATGCCGGAAGCTCAAGCTTACACTTGCCCATTCCGGCACATTGGAGGCTGTCAAGGATTCTACGCATTCGAGGCCGACTGTGCCGAAGCGATGTGATAACATAACGCAGACTCCAGTATAGTGTGGATGCACAATATAAAGCACTAGGAGTAAATGTAACGGGATGAGAAGAAAAGAAAACTAGCAAATCACTCCAGCGGGGAAGAAATATCACTGCGGGCAGGAGAACAGATCTGCCAAGACGAGGTTATTCGACACCTGGCTCACACCCCTCTTTTGGACGAGGGTGATGCCGTCCTATGCTCGGGCTTGCGACCACCCGTGTCTCACCAACTAGAGAGCACTGGCCTTGGGCAGCGCCCCTGTATTTATTGCTTTACCGCAGTGTTTGTGACCATACCGCTAGTCGCAAACAAGCCTTACTCTATCGTTGAAATGACCAAACAAGCCTACGCTCTGGAGCCGCATTCCTATCCCTGGAAGATTGGAGCTTTTGCTTGCACCATTCCCTCCCTTAATTCTCCGTGCTAGGCCTAGACCATCCTCGGGAAATTGCTTCCCTTTGTGCTTCGAGTTTGCCGATGTCTAGAGATAATATTTGATAAGACAGTTGGGGTCACCACGCCGCTCTCGAAACGGAGTCGTCCCCCCTGGGCTGGCAACTCACATGCTTGTCGATCTCCAGGGGAGGAGGAGGAGCATTTAGGTCCCCTTTCTCTGAATCTGTTGGATGGCATGTTTGCCGACTCCCATTTCGCCCAATCATTGTCCCTATCTTTCTGTGAGGGGCTAGTGCCTTTGATCCATCTTTATTGATGGCCGAGAAACCGTCGTCAAGGAGCTAGCAGCCCTGAGGACTCGGATATCAACTTGAATGCAAAGAGCGACTGGCACGAGGAATCCATCTTCCACATCCCCTTTAGCACCATGATGAATATCCCGCGCTTGGTCGACGGCCAGGCATCGGTTCTGTCGTCGTGGTCGGATACTAAGGTCCAGGAAGCACCGTTCGACGCTGAACGTCGGCATCCTGCGGGTGGTTATTTGAAGAAGATCAATTTCGGGGCGCTTCCTCTGCGAGATAAATCTCTCACTATATATTGTGAAAATAAAAATTGGAGTCTATTGAATCTCGTTCTCCCCCTCATGTCTACTCTCCCTATGACTTCATTTCGTGTCTCCAACGTACTATCTAGCGAGGCATTCATCCTAGTGCGAGATCCGTGTCACCGACTCCAATAGCCTTCCATCTTCCACCGTGGCTTCAGCAACATCTCCTTCAACTTGTGGTCGGTCATACTATTGCGCCACCATTTCTCATGGACCGCCGCGATGCCGTGTTGATAGTCTTCGAAAACCGGGTGATTCATGACCCAGTAATGTCTGAGTTGGGAGTAAGGCATGTTGCCGCCGGGCCGGTGGACGTATTCGAGCAGATTATTCTCGGGTGCCAGCATCGGGGTCCGGCCCTCAATTGCCCCGATTTTGAGATAGTGCGCCAGCATCTCCTCGGACGGATGAAGCACCATGAACCCCGCGTTGAGGGCCTTGGAGCGCGGCGCCGGCCACGGGTGCTTGTCGCTGCCGATCGGAGACGAGTCGGCGGCCAGGAGATACCGCCGGGGCTGGGGCCCTTCGTCGGCTTTCGTCTGGTCCTCCATGCCGAGGTTTGTCTGGATGTCGGTCTCGGGCTCCTCGAAGATAGCGTCGAGGGGTTTGAAGAGGACAATGTCAAGGTCCAGCAGCAGGACCTTTTCGAACTGCGTGAGGCGGAACACGTTCATTTTATCCATGACATGTTTCCAGCGCGGCCGGTCCGGCTTGACGGTCTCCAGCTCGATAGAGGGGAATTCGGCGACCCAGGCCCCCTCGCGCTCTATGCGGCGCCGTTGCGACTGTGAGACTTGCGGTGATACCAGGACGACGACGGGAATTGAGTTGTTGGTTCGTGTCTCGGGATCATGGAGAAGTTGGTATACGAGGAGACGTACGGATGTGAGATAGACGTTGTCTTCGGTGTCTTCCTCGCCGGCATCCTCCTTTTCGGTGGGTGCCAGGTACACGACGTATGCGTACTTGGATTCTGGGTGTTGCAAAGTGCCTCCAGGAACCACAGGTCCTCGAGTCGATATTGCGGAAGGTGACGAGACTAAAGAGCCCCTGAGGACTTCGCTGTACGGCCGGGATGACGTCGAGCCAAAGAACAGGATGAAGACGCTGAGTAGCAGGGCGCCCGATATCACGACCCCTCGCGACCACGCCGTGAACCGACATGAGCCCATGGCCGTGTCAATCGACTTCCTGGCACCTCTCGATGATTGAAGGATATTGCAATAGACAGTGTGGTATAAGGGGAGACAAGCCAGCGGCATGGGTTATTCTCGGGAACAGTGACGCGACATCTCTTCGGAGAATAGGCAAAAGCGCAGCCCCCATTGGAAAGGAGACGCGTTGCATGACCGAGGTAGAGGAGGCTGTGGCATCACAATCAGCCCCTGCATCGAGGGCCCTACGCATAGATAAGGATGCACTGCTCGGGGGAGGTCAAGCCCAAGTCACAGCCCAGAACAAGAATAGTCTTTTCGGACCGAAGCAGCCGAAGTCGTCACAGCGGGGCGCCAGGACGAAATGGAGCCAATCCCTGATAAGGAGAGACATTTCCGCAACTTTATATTCAT